AACAACTGCCTAATGGTGCTTGTCACTCCATTTTGCACAAGCTAATCATGGCTGTGATGAGAAACGAGTCATCAGAAGCCTTGCGGAGACGGTACATTATCTCATGACCAATATTTGGCTATATACTTCTCACAGAACCTTTTACTGAATGTTATGCTTATTCATTCCTCTCACTGTCTTGTGGAATTGTGCAGCCAATATGCGTTACTTCTTAGCTATTTCCAGTACTGTCAGCATACACTTGATCCTGATGTTCCGACTACAGTTCTCCAATTCTTGTTGCTGGAGGAGCAGGATAATGAAGATCTGGATCTTCAGAAGGTCAGCTCTCTACTTCTCATGGCAAGTCTCTTTCATTTGTTTCTTCGTGTCTATAATCACCCTACTATCTTTTTCTCAGATTGACAGAGAGCAGGCTGAGTTGTCCCGTATTAATTTCACACTAATAAGGAAAGAAGGTCAGGCCATCTTAGATTTGGTAAGGATATGAAGTATTGTTTTAGATGTTGCTCGACTGCTGCCACTCCTTGTACTGACATAAGTATCTTCGTATCTGTAAATTTAACCTCTATGTTGATGGTTTTTTACTTGGGCTTTGCCCCTGATGTTGGCTAAGATTCTTCTCAAATTTTAGTTCCCTTTGCTTGTTTGTCTTTCTTTTCAGTTCTCATGCCAGTCTGTTGCTCTTATGTATTTGCAGATAATAAAGGATGCATCTCAAGGCAGTGAACCTGGGAAAACTATAGCGCTTTATGTGCTAGATGCACTGATTTGTATTGATCATGAGAGATATTTCTTCAGTCAACTTCAAAGCAGGGGATTCTTAAGGTCTTGCTTTATGAACATTAGCAACACTTGCCATCAGGTTGGATTTCTCAACAATCCTGATTCACAGGCTGAGGGTTTTTCCATTCCATTCTAATGTGAACTAACTAGTTGGGAAATTATCAAGAAAAAGAATTGGAATAGCATAAAGCACTCACAAAAATGAGTGCTTTCAGTGCACCCAACTCAAAAACTAGTATTAAGGTGTCGAATTTTGAATTTTAATTTGTAGAATTAGTTTAATATGATGATATAACATATGATAAAAACTAATTAGCAGATTACCCTAAGCCCTAGACCTCCAATTTTGAGTTCTATCCCTAAATCCCAAATCGTAAACCCTAACCCTAAATCTCTAAACCCTAAATCCTTCAAATTAAAGTAAATTTTTAATGGTGTTTGTGCAAATTCATGTGCGTTATTGTTCATCACATCATAAGTGATGATTGACATCATTTTGACATAAATCGCATGTTTAAAATGACGGTTATGAAGTGAGTGCACTGAATGCACCCAAAAAATTGAGTGCACCGAATACGCCAATATATATATATATATATATATTATTTGTTTCTTTTTATAAATTATTTTGAACTGTATATTGTTATATTCATAGGATGGGGGGCATTCACTAGATTCATTGCAGCGAGCATGCACACTCGAGGCTGAACTTGCACTGCTACTGAGAATTAGCCACAAGTATGGGAAGACTGGCTCCCAAGTGCTCTTTTCTATGGGTGCTTTAGAGCACATTGCTTCATGCAGGACAGTTACCCTGCAGGTGACAGTATGCTCTGTTTATTATTCATCCTTTTTTGCACTTCATCTCATATAAACTAAATTAGATCGTAACTTTCAGGGTAGCTTGAGGAGGTTTGATCCTAAGAGTAGACGAAACGTTGCAGTTGACATTGACAGACAAAGAATGATAGTGACGCCTATTTTGAGATTGGTGTTCTCATTAACATCCCTGATCGATACAGTGGACATCTTTGAGGTCCGGCAAATCTTTTAATGTTGGCCATTATTCATGTCAAGTTCACTTTTGTCCTACTAATCAAAACTAGCTAAGACCTGTGCATAATTGTGGCTGATGTCTCCACATTCTTTCACAGAAACTAAAATCATATTATCCTTTTATTTTTAGAGAATTGTTATCTTACATTTCGGTGTATTTGACAGGTTAAGAACAAAATTGTACGGGAAGTTATAGATTTTGTGAAAGGACACCAACTGCTCTTCGATCAAATTCTTCATGTAGACATTTATGATGCTGATGAGTTGACAATAGAGCAGGTCAATCTTGCGGTTGGTATACTAAGCAAGGTAATGATCAGAAAGTTGCTATCAGAACTCTCTCTCTCTCTCTCTTTTTTTTTTTTTGTATGAATTCTGTCAGAACTCGTTGAAAGTGCGTTTTGCTTTAATCTCCGCACTTTTATGATTTAAGTCATGTTCGGAAGCTTGAAAACTTTTTAATCTAGTCAAAAATATCTTCTTAACAATATACCTCTTGTTCCTCTGCTTTTCTAGCTTGTGTTTGTGATTTCACTGAGCATAAGATTCTATAAAATAAGTTGGCTTGCTATTTGGCTGCTAATTTTTATGGGAGGAAACTAATAATATATTCCTCCTTTCGTTCCCTGGAAATTTTAGGTGTGGCCTTATGAAGAGAGCAATGAGTTTGGTTTTGTTCAAGGTCTTTTCAGTATGATGTGTGTTCTTTTTTCACGTGAGGTGGAGTCCAATACTACAGGAAGATCAGTTAAGTTGTCTGAGGTATCACCTTTTTCCCCGGCTGCAAGTATGTTTACAGTGATTTTTGTCTTTTTATTTTTATTTTGCTCTTTATAACTTGTTTAATCTTCTACTTTATGTCTTATCAGAGCCGGGGGAAGTTGGAATTGAACTCCTTATACTTGCGTTTCAGTCTTAGTTCTTATTTATATTTCCTGGTTATAAAGAGGTCCCTAAGACTTCAGGTACGCCAACAACAACAATCAGATCAGTGCATTCCTAACTAATAATGGCCTGTGCATCTATCTGTAAATCTTTTGTGCTGAAGTGATCCTTTCTCATGACTGATGTGATAGGTATCAGACAACGTTGACTACCAATCTTCTGCTAGCGTCCATCAGCCGACGTTAAGACTGCTTGGTTCGCTTCTCAGCTTTGTGGCAACTTTGCTTGAGAAAGCAGCTGATGAGAAGTCACAGTTGCTTAATAAGGTAGCAAATCCAATTATTTTTAAAGATATTCTCATCTCAAGTTATTCTTGTCGAAAGGAGAAATTTTTACTTAAACTTTGTTGTTCATCGTGCCATATCTCTTAAGAATGTTTAATATCATCTGTTGTCTTCAGATTCGGGATGTAAATGAGCTATCCAGACAGGAAGTGGATGACATCATCAACATGTGTGTTCGGCAAGAAACTGTATCACCTTCTGATGGTATACAGAAAAGGTACGTGTACTCTGTACTGTATTTAAATTGCATAACAGAGTGTTATCATATCCATTGTTGACCTGGAAGCTAGGAAACCAAATCTAGAAGGTGCAACTCCACCAACATTTCATATTTGGTTGTATTTCTAATATGTACCTTATTTGTTTACAGGAGATACATTGCAATGGTGGAGATGTGCCAACTGGCTGGAAACAGAGATCAGTCTATAAGATTGTTACTTCCACTTGCAGAACAAGTGCTAAACGTCATTCTCGTTCATTTACAAGACAGGTAGACCTTCTGCTCTCTGTCTGACACCTCCCCCATGTTCGCCCTAGGCAAATCCAAAGAGTACAGACCCTCACCATCATCCCGTCTTTCCATTTTATTGTAGCTCTTCGGCATCTGAAGCTGCTAGTGCTCCAAAAACAATTACATATGGCACCACCAAAGGCGATTATGTTGTTAATGACGTGTCTTCGTTATGTGGTCATTTGGTGTCGACTCTAGAACGGCTTGAGCTGCTGAACGAGGTAAGCTGCTTCTTCAAACCCTCCATTCATCTGCTCCAAACCTGGTCCTCTGATTCCTTGGGAAAGAAAAAAAAAAGGGCAAACTGCTCGAATGATGCATTGATATTCATCTTTGTTGGTGGCAGGATAAAGTAGGGCACAACTTGAAGGTGTTCAGGAGATTGGTGACGTCGCTCAAAGAAACCGCAATCCAGAAATTGGCTTTGACAGAGTAGGATCAACCAAAGTTTTTGTAGATGTATTGCTGTGCATCAGAATGATGAATGTAGTCTCATCTTTATTCTGTGCCCGCTGATTGCCTTTATTGGCGTTCTGGCTGTTGTAATGTTCTCAGTTTGCATCAATCGATGATACGTGCAATTCTCGGCTCTGAACGAGACTTGAATGTGTTCATAGCTGATGCTCAACGCTATCTTATAGCACTCATTCTTAAATTAATGGAGGATGAGGTGTTAAGTTGTCAGAGATCGTGATGATTGCTCGAGTTCATTGGCCTAAACCAAAGTCTTGGTTGTCGACCATGGACTCGCTCTCCTTTCCTCTGCCATCACCCGTATCATAGCCAACTAGTTCGCCTTTCTCCTTTGCTAAACAACTGCTAGTTTCTCTCTTTTCCTATCCTATTTCTTCTCCTCGATTTGGGTTGGGAGGGAATTGGGAGATGGAGTTATCGAGCCGACGATCACCAATCGGGGAAATGCAGGCTTGGTGATGAATGATGAATTACACTTTCCAAACTCATACGGTTCCCAAGTCGTTTTGCGCAAGTAGTCTAATCGAGCTGGATCGACTATGCTGCTGCCAACATACTTAATGGTTTCTGCTGCGCATGATCTCTGGTTAAATCTCATGGCCGCCACTGAAGAGCTATACGAGGTACCGATCAATTTACATAGCACGATTCATTTACGATCATAGCTCAGCGAAAAAACGGATTTTATCGTTTGCTTCAGAGTCGATTCAATGGTCAGAGACAAGAGTACAAATCATTTTCAATACTATGGGAAATGATTTGTACTCCATAGCCAAATCTTTTACATGTAAAATGTTCAAACTTGCATCTTGCCAGAGAGTCGTTAGTGCAATGTGCAACTTCACGACAGGGCTTTCCTCTAAAAAGTAAAAATTATTTGTCACGAGACATTGCAACTGAATCTAACTAGTCCTTCAGTAGCAACTGTTCTTAAAGTAAAGGAACTCCATGCTTCAGCCATCGTCACTGCACTCTGTTTCTTCAATCAAAAGTACCAAGACACAGAAGAGAGATCCCGCGACCCATTTCTCAATTTTCTAGATCCAATCTCCCGGATCTTTCCCCGTTAAAACTACGCCACCTCCATAGCTTTCCCGGGAAAATTTTCAGGAAGGGGAAGAAGGAACTCCTTAACCCGTTCATTCATTCTCCCATGGCAAATGGCTGGAGAAGAGAAAGCAGACACCCAAAGCTACTCTCTCCAAAGCCACTCCTGCTCCTTCTCCTCTCCCTGACCCTCCTACTACTCTTCCTCTTCCTCGCTTTCCGTTCCCCTTCAGACCCCAATCTCACGCCATCTCTCTCCCTCTCCAATCCTTTCCCAAAGCCCTATCCAATCCCCCAATTCAACTGCTTCGATTCGCCCCAAGCTCACCCTGTAGTCGCCAACTTAGTCGAAAATGTCAATTACCCTTTCCTCTACTCGCTCCCGGATTTCGGATCGTTGCCCGATAAGCCTCACAAGAACCTCGTCCGGCTGCTTAAGGGGAAGCTGTTTCGAAAGCCTGATATCTCCGCCACGATTCAGGGGATTCTGGAAGGGATGAAGAAGGAAGGGGGAAATGATGGCGGGCTGGTTGTGGATGTTGGTGCCAATGTGGGGATGGCGAGCTTTGCAGCTGCGGTTATGGGGTTCAAGGTGCTGGCTTTTGAGCCTGTTATGGAGAATCTGCAGAGGCTCTGTGATGGGATTTGGTTTAATAGAGTTGGGGAGTTGGTTACTGTTTTTGAAGCTGCTGCTTCGGATCATGTTGGGAATATCACTTTCTATAAGGTAAAGTTGTCATTTTGGACCTTTTTCTGATTGATTGACTGATTTAGAGTAGTTGAACATTTCCTGTAGTAAGGAGTGGTGTTTAGAAAAGGGCAGTTTAGCGAAATTTGTATAGCTAGATGGCGACAACGGAATCCTTGGCTTATGAGGAATAGATTGAGATGAACAGATTAAGAACACTACTGCTCAATCAGAGTGCAATTAAGTTGATTTTTTTATGTTCTTATATAATGATAAGAAGAGTGTAGATGAACTGTCCATTTTCTGGACAAATTTGGTTAGCTAGGCACTGAGGATTGCATGTCGATGGGTACTTCAAGACTGTAATCTGTTACTATCGCTATCGCTGCTTTAGGATGAACTGTCCATTTTCTGGCCATGAATGCTTGTCCTAAGCAGGATGAGGATAACTTACTGATAAGTGATGACCATCTCAAGTGCTCTACATAATGCCGTCAAGTCTTCCTCTTAACAGTGTTTTTAAGGCAGAAAACATACATTGTTAAATTGAAACCATAGTGGAGATCAAACCAGCGAGATTAATAGTTTTCAGGGATAATAGATGAATCATAACAAGACCAGTGTAGAACGGTTGTAAAACCTTGATAAAACCATATTTGCTTGGTCGCTAGTACATGGTTTAACCAGTACAACCAATCTGTACGGTATCACAAACACTAGCATAAAATGCTCATAGTTAAAAGAGTTCCCTCATTATTTGATCCTTTTACTTATCTAAATCCCCCTTCCTTCTTCAATTATGTATTCTGTTTGAGGCAAAGCTGTATGCAATCAGTCATCCCTTAATTTTTGGTTTGATTGTTGTTATCAGTTGGTCGGGCGGCTAGACAACAGTGCTATCTCTGCCACCGGTGCAAAACTGGCTTTCAAGTCGAATGAGGAAGTAGCAGTTCAAGTAAGGACGATACCTCTGGATGAAGTGATACCAGATTCACAGCCTGTGCTTCTGCTCAAAATCGATGTCCAGGGTTGGGAATATCATGTCCTCAAAGGAGCCTCCAGATTACTCTCCAGAAAGAAGAGTGAAGCCCCATACATTATTTATGAAGAAGACGAGCGCCTGCTTCAAGCCAGCAATAGCAGTGCCAAAGAGATTCGAGATTTCCTGCAGACTGTTGGCTACCATGATTGCACCCAGCATGGTACGGACGCCCACTGCACCAAGAGCTAAAGTTTTTGGCATGATTAATGTAGAAAGCTGATATTCCAGGATTCATTATTCATTCAGGATCTCATTTTTGTAATGTTCATTTGCTTGCGAGGATTGTACATTGAAGTTTAATTTTATTAGAAAGAACTGGAAGAAGGAAGGAAAACAAGGGTAGGAGTTTGTACTCGGATTATGATTATATATCTATTACTAGTGTACTTAGAGATCAACAGACTAATTGCATTTACATTGTACAATTCTTGATTGAATGATAGACAACAAGCATTCTTTCTGCAATTCTAAACATGTGAGTTTGATCTGGTGATGTGCTTCTTCATCATTAAATTGGAACTTCATTTGTTCTGCTTCTCTGAACCTCGAAAGAAATACTGGTCAATCATCAATATAGAACTGAAGCCTTCTCAGGATCATTTTGGTGCACTGGTTTTCGAGGGACCAGCTCTCTCCACCATAACATCATAAAGCTGTTTGCCATTCTGTTTACAGAAAAAAAGACACGGATTAAACTTATGGAAATGAGACTAAAAATCAGAGGCTGGCTTTTTATCAAGTATAAAGTAATATTTAAGACTCCGAAACTGGTTTTGGTAACAATAGTCTCCATTACCCGCCCTTGGAATAATCTTAGCATCGGCTGTTACTTACGAATATGACAGGGAAGAAGTGGATTTGGCCTTCAGGTTTTGTTTGGGTCTCCTTAAAGTATACCAGGATAGGGAAGTTAGGCCACCATAGTTCCCAGTTCACAAAAGTAGAATACCTGTTTTCAGAAGATGAAACAAGGCATGCCTTAATCTTAACTCCATTGAAGCATATAATAGAAGCAATGAAAGAGGTACTTACTTCCATCTGTTTTTCCCACCAACGAATACATTTTCCCCTGATTCCTCAAGCTGCTCTCCTACTTTTACCTCCTACGATCACACAACATCAAGCATTCTTTAATAACCAAAAGATATTGGACGACATTGAAAATGTCGGTAAAAAAGGTGAGTGAACTCACCAAGGCCTGACCATCAAACACAAATCTCACCCTGGTAGTCTGTTAACAAAGAAACAAACCAATATTAGCTGAGATCAATCTTAGGCACCACAATGCTGTGCTTCATCGACCAAATCCCTTTACGTTTCAACACATAAATGTCACCTGAAACAAGAGAAGCAATCCAAGCAAGCCAACTGGTACTGCTGGTACAAAGTTATCTGTATAGGCTAAGCCACCAGCCACACCTGGTTCAAATAAGAGCATTCATTTAGCAGCCATAAGAATCGAAGGCTCCCCTCCCAATTTTGACTACAACAAGGCCACAGTAAGTGCTAAGTACAAACTGCAATAACCATATAGAACGAATCTTCTTCAGACAGATAATGGAGGTACCAAGAAGAACAATGGGGATCCGGTAGTCAGGATCAGGAATTACAGTTTCTTTCTTCTGTGCTCTTCGACCAAGCTGTGCCAATGCCAAAAAAAAACTCATACATTAGCACCCATAAGTTCTTTAGTTACATAGTTTCCATTTAGTTCCAATGTAAGGGAAACCAAAGCACAGTTGGAAAGGGTTTTAGAGTCACAGACCACTGAGGCAACAACGGCAATACGGCTTCCTACTTGGATTCTGCTGATCTGAGTCCTCATAGGGCTCGGATTACATAGCAGTTTCCCATGGAATGAACTCCTTAGGTTACCGAAACATCCAGTTTGCTCACTATCTGCTTCTAAACGGAATTGAACAGACAATGAGTCAGTAAGGAACTCCCAACAGAAATGAGGTAAAGACCAAACGTATAAACTACTAACAGTAAAGGATAAAAACAAAAAGGCGCAAGCTTTTTGCTGACTAATCCCTAAAGATGCTTACTTTGTGAAGGTAGGAAGCGCGCAATCGATAAGAGAGCACTCGCCATGGCTTCTTCTGCTCTCTTGCTTTCCAGAGGCCAAAGGTTTCTTCCGTTCTTCTTCCCCCTGGTGAAAAATTTTGGCGTGAAAATTGGATTATTTACGTTATTGCCCTTATTTTCATGGTGGGTTTGCAGCAATAAAAGGGTAGCTCAGTAAATGGCAGTTTAAAAATGTCTTTTGTCTTTCCTTCTTTTTTATGTTCTCCAGGGAGAGAGTGAGCCTTATCTGGTTAATTCATATCCAGAATTCGTTACAACCAATAACAGCTTTATAAACCCACCAAGACCCTCTTGTTCCTCTCATTCCAAAGACTCGAGCTTTGGTTTCAGGGGAAAAATTCATTGCTCTTTTGTCTGTATAATGGCGAGTTGTTCAAGCTTCACTACCATCTGCTCTCTTAATTCTCCAGATAAACCAGGTAAAGTCACTGCTGCTTCTGTTTTCCCCAGTACTTGGGCTCCTAACTGAATATGTTGGCTATGGCTGTATAAAAACGCAGGAATTATTGGAAATTCAGTTCCTGGAAGGGTAATTCATGTCAACAAAGTTTTCCATTCCTCAAACGCTTCAAAGTCTCGGTCTTTGGAGGTCAAGGTAAAGTTCTTTCTTGATACAGTTTAAGTTGAAAACTTGAATTGGTAGCCTGGAAGGTAGGTAGGGCTTTGAGTTTTGCTTCGAGCAATTCAGATTACTGTCAATAATATGACTGCTGCTACATTTGAGTAATAAGGGCCCTTGTTCTCCCATTGAATTACTCTTATCTTATATGCGTGAAAGGAGATAAGGTAATGGACATGTCCTGATGTTGAAGTACTTGAGACTGGTGCAATATCTGAGACTATCTTACTGGATAAAAAAGAGGCATTAATGATCTGGTTAACAAAATATCATTGGTTGGCTGCATGAAGCGCAAATTGTTGTGTACTTGTGTTACCAACTCTGTGGGATTTCTGTAACCAAATGCAGAAACCAATCGTGCTGATCAAAGCTCGATTCGGTTTCTATTCCTGCTTGCTCGATATGTTGACTCTTTTGTCTCTTGGCGCGACAGGCAACAGATGGTAACAAAACCGTCAAACCAAGGAGCATAGTCTGTACTGGCTGTGAGGGCAACGGTAAGCTCAACGCTGCATTGAGTGCCTACTTTGATAATTTTTGTGCATCTTCTCCTGGTATAAATGAAATATCATGAATGTATGTAAATTATGAAGGAATTGCATGCTGCCACAAGCTTATCTTTGTTACATAGATCATCTCTTGTCTTTGAATGCCATACACAAGCTCCCTACCTTCTATTTTCCCACATAAATTGATGCAGAAATCTTTGATGATGATGAGCTTTGTGTTAATGAAACATCTATGGTTTTATACCAATATGGTTCTTCTTTGTGCAAATCATTCAGGGGCTGTAGCATGTTCTCAGTGCAAAGGCTCAGGAGTCAATTCCGAGGACCACTTCAATGGTCGGTTTAAAGTTGGTGGAATGTGCTGGTTATGCAGGTACTTACCCATCAACCCCCCCGACAACCCAGTTAACCATTTCAAAACTACCCAGTTAATGACGGAGCTTCTTGTTACACAGTAGTTCTGCAGTAGCTTATGCTCTCTCTCCAAATTACACCTTTTCATTTGCAGGGGTAAAAGGGAGATGCTCTGTGGAAGCTGCAATGGAGCTGGCTTTCTTGGGGGGCTCATGAGCACTATCGATGATTGAAAAGGCGAGTGCTATCTGTAGCGGACAACTGTGGAAATAATGAGAAGCGTAAAGGGTCGGTTTCTGTATAAGTACTCACAGTCGTAGAGATTTATCTGCTGTCGTATTATCGTATCAAGAACGCTGATTAGTAATGCGAAGCATCGTCATATTGTTTCGTATATTGCTTAGCCAGGTTTCATAGAGTTTGCACTCCAGCTTGTGGAGATGCGTAGTTTCTGCAAGTTTTTGATTCCAGGGAGAACTAATGCAGGGGTAAAGTTCTTCATCCCTGTCTTCAATTTTTTGGAACAAGAATAAAAAAAAAATTACCGCAAAATTTTACAATTACGCGCCAGGTAGGGGTCGAACCTACGACCTTCTGCTTAGGAAACAGACGCTCTATCCACTGAGCTACAGGCGCTCTTATTATCATTTTTCACTGCGTGAGAAATAACTTTTTGTTTTTGTCACATGTCGGCCGAGAGAGATTCATCAACAACAGCAGAATTACAGAGATTGAATCCATACCACACCCCATTTGGCAGAAACACATCGAAATCCAAGTCCACTGTCCTAATGTAAGGACCGTAGACCTTCACACTCCCAGGTTTCCAGCCGTCGGATCCTTTCCTAAGCATGTAGAGATAGCAAACCTCCTCTACACATGGCCCCGTGATCTTGAAAGTGTCCTTGGAGCACCTCTCAAACGTCCCTGATTTTGGGTCATCTAGCCTCTTTGCATAAACCTGCAGCCAACACAAAATCAACCGGTTACCCTCTGCTAAAAACTCGATCTTCTCAAATGGGTTGCTCTCAGATTTCGATTTTGATACCTCGTTGCCATGAGAGTCGCCAAAGGCCAGGCTGATTTGGTCTCTGGTGAAAGAAGTAGATGCGCAGCTGGTCTCTATGATTACTGTGTACGGACAGCTCCTTGCAGCTGCCTTAGCCTGCAAAGTCAAATTGAGATCGTATGATGTTTTTGTTTGTTACTAATCTGTGGAACATGAAACTTCTCGACCTGATACTTTACCTGGATATCAGTTGACTTGGGCTTGAAGCCATGGATGAGCTGAAGCTGTGGTTGGAGGGTTGCAGACCTGACATTTGGGATGGTTATGGAGAGAAAGTAGAAGAGGAGGGCTAGATGTATAATCTGGAGTGGCTTCATAGTTCTTTCTTCTGATCTGTGGTCAGCAAGAAGAAGAACATGGGGAGTATTTAAATATGGTTTCCAAGTTTCCAACTAAACAGCACAGCTGGAACCTGGAAATGAATAAATGGAAGGAGGAGGAGCTGAAGCCTGTGAAGTGTGTGTGGGGTAGAAGTTTGGTGTGAATTTTTATTGAGATCTTATGGTGGTTAATTGATGGACCCTATTTGTATATTGTGTAGGACAAGCATATATGACAAGATTTCATTTTCATCCCTCTAATCATCCATTTTCTGTTCGTTACTGATACATGCTTTCATATACTAATTGCAGGATTGAACGACTTGGTTGGATATCTCAATATGCTGACAAAACCAGACAGCACTCCACCAAGTTTCCATAATAAGTTCCTTTACTGCCCTTTCCTTCTACCATCATGAGTCGAGAGATTTCCCTATCCATTAAACCATCAAAGTCAACTAGAAGTCTATCTAAAACAAGGGCAGAAGAAACCAGGACCAGAAAACCACTGCTGAAAGATTCATTCACATGGATCAGTTCAATAGGCAGAGATCATATTCACAAATTTCTTCTTTCTTCTTCTTCTTCATGCCCTTGAATCAAGTTTACAGCATCTTCCATGTTTGTTTCATGTGGAGAAGTAAAGTAAAGATGTTTTTGAAGTATAGACATGGACAGACAAAGGCTTCAACCTTGCTGAGTTTATCAGAGACCATTTACGATAGTACTAGACGGAGGATCTCCCCTGAATGCTTGAAAGACTTCTCAGTTTCTTCCAAACAATGGTTCTTCTCTTCTCTGCTCCAGTTCTATTAAGCAAAAGCAGTTCCACATCAAAGATAGATGTCAGAAGAGTGTCACTGAAGTAAGTTATGGTGGATGGGCTATTAGTTAAGAGACTAGCAGCCAAATTACCTCGGCAACTTCATTCAACTTCTCCCTGACATTCTGCAGAATCTGTGAAAGATCGCCTTCCCATTTGTAAAATTCCAACTCTTTATTGTCGAGAATCTTTTCAGCCACCTAAGAACCATTACAATTTAACAATTAGACTTGTGTTAGTGTTATAGGCTACCAGCTTAACATAATGTGTTTGCTTCACACAAAAGAGAACCAAAAATATATTTCAATGCACTTAAAGAACAGCTAAACAGCAGCTAAAATCACCACAGCAAGGATCATTTGTTAAAGAAAATCCAAACTAACGAAAAACCAAACTCCTATGAACATAAACCAGCTCGGTTCTCAAGAGACCTATAGAAAAAAAATTCACTTATTTGAAGTACAAGTAGCATTTACCTTCCTCCCAATCATCCTACCACCAGCACTGTGGGCAAAGTATATGTTGTAGAAGTGGCAAATGAACGCCTGAGGATCGTTATCTGCCAGTTCCTTGAGATATTCAGAGTAAGTAACTCCAGGAGAAGAAGGTTCAGGAATGGTATAGCCTTGCTCTTTGAACCATTCCAGATCTTTAGCCAAACTTACAGATCTTTCCAACCCTGTGTTCTTAAACTCGGCATCTACAAGAACACAAATTAATGGCTTCAGGCTTTAACCTTCATCATGAAATTACCACCCTAGGAAAGAAGAACCTCCCCACATACAAGATGTAGGAGTTTGGTAACACAATCACACAGAAGAGTCACACAAGGGAAATTCTGGAGTTGGTTAGCATATGCATACTGGACATTTTGAACCACTACTTTGCTCTTGTGATCCAACATCTATAACCCTAGTGACACAATCTATGAGCCTCATAGACCCCAAAAGAGGAAAACCTCAACTGGTTCAACCACAGCTTTTTCACTCACTGACGTCACTCGAGGAACCAGAATCTAGGAAGAAAAGAACACAGAACATTCTCTGCTAGCGTTGCAACGAACAATTATCAGAACTACATGATCCCTTGAAGCTTATCCGAAGTTCCTTAACATCTCAAACCAACCATTGAAGCCATAAGCAAACAAACCTCAACATTCATGACAAGGTGAACAATTCGACCAAAGAAATGAACTTTCGAGCAGACTTAACTATCCAAAACCCAATTGAAAATCACCCAAAAGCATGGAACTTACAGATAGAATGAGGCGCGCTGTCGACGATTGCTTCAAGAGTATCGTAAACCAACTTGCTATCTACTAAGAACCTCAAGTACCCATCAACGGAAGGCTCCCATTTGGGGATGGCCTGCTCTTCGGGCTTCTTAACTTCCTTCTCCCCTTCTTTCGCCTGCTCCCTCGTGTGCAGCTTCATCGCCACGAACCTCATCTCCTCCACAAACCCCTTCGCCTCTCCAGGGTACCTCTTCTTCTGCTTCTCCGCGGTCGTAGCCGCCACCACAACAGCTCTCTGGGGCATTTTATCGAACATCATATAACCAGGGACACGAAACTGAACTGACGCCGTTCTGGAGACAAACCCGGATGATTCGATATGGGAAACAGCAGCTGAGCGAGAAGGCAAAATAAACCCAGCTCGGGGCTTGTTAAATAGAGACTGGGATTGAGAGATTGGAGCAAAAGACGCCATTTTTTTCTAGCTCTAGTTCGGACTTCGGAAACGTGAGGGATGAGTTCGAATTGGTAATCGTTGTCTAATTGGGTTGGGAAAGAGTGTACGAAAGCTTCAGCTCAAGAAAGGGGAAGACCGGAAGGATGGTAAGCAATTGGGCAACCAGTGAAGATCAAGAGAGGGTTCAAAGAGAAGGGAGGAGGAGGAGGAGGAGAAGAGGAGAGCTTTTGGATGAAGTTAATGGCTTAGAACTGCGATTCGAGTGCACTTTAAGACAAAGCGATAGAGTTTTTAATCAGCTTTTTTTTTTTTAAGGAGTTTTTAATAAACGGAACAAGCTCATTTGAACCAAGGCAAAGGGATTTGACAAAAGTTTCCATATTAGAGTATGACTATATACACATGAATATAGTTTGGTTCAATCTGAAAATTATAATATCGTATTCGAATTAAAAAAATAAAGATTATAATCAAATAGAAATGTGTAAAACCCTATTTGTCTGATTCTCTTTTGTTCCTTTGTTAATAAGAGGATGATTGAAATCGAAATGACATCGCGCGTTATGTACATTTTCAATTTGATTCAAAGCAAAAATATAGATTCGACCATATATAAATGAATTGTTTGCCCATCAAACATATCAACGATATAATAAAAAGATTCACCGAATCACAAATACTTATGATAGGTATTTACCCATTTAGAAATAGACCAATTCAACTCCACCGTTTAATGTTTGGAAAATTGGAATCTTTATCAGGAATTAAGTTTGAGCTTAAAACAAAAACTCAGTAATTAATTGTCCTGTGGTCGTGGGGGCATATCAGTTAATTTTCACAAGCAAGGGGGCAGCAGTAAAAAGGCGGCAAAACCTGTTGGTTATGTTTTGGAAATGGGCCGTTGGGAATTCATTGCAGCCCAAAAATGGCAACTAGAGAATCAAACCACTAAACGTTGTTCTTCTTTCTCTTTCAATAATTCCAAATTTGTTAATTTAGGAACTTACAAAAACTAACCATAAACCGAATCATACATGCAATCCGATTCTTTGTAAAAAAAAAAAAAAAAAAAACATGCAATCCGATTCAAGTCATTCATATTTATAGCTAAAATTATGATTTAGTTCTCGGCGAGTGCTTTTTTTTTTGGAACTCGCCTTTCTTCGGTTGGGTGCATGTTTTGCATATATACAACCCTTACTACAATTGTTGTCCTAATTGTTCGTATTCAGAAAAACATTTCGTATACAAGCATATTTGTGAGGAAATTTGGATACTTTGTCATATTAGACGTATTTAATTTAAGACTATGGCTCACATTGTCTTTTTTTTTTTTTTTACAATTTTAGAAGAATAACATATTATGGATACGTTAACTTATAATTAATAATGTCTTTAACTTATTTCTGCAAATTTTTATGAAAAATACTAGATATACGTTAAATCAAATTGTACTTTATCAAGATCCAAACAACAACTTCTATACATTTTTATGTTTTTCGCTTTGACTTATTTGTTTGAAATTTTAATTATTTATATAATCTTTTTAGTGTTGGGTTGAGTTTTTACGTAAATCGTATAGCCCACTAGACTCAACCCAGTTATAAACAAATCGTAGGATTCTAAATAGTTAGATGAATTCAGATTTAGGACTTTGCTACTGTGACATGCACTTTTCGGTCGACCTAATATGTTGTTTCAGTGTAAAAACAGTTTCACGGTGTCTAATTTGGAGATTCATATCTTACAATTGACTAGATGGAAATTGGAGATCAATGGCTTGTTTTGAAGCTGAAGTGTCCCTCTACACATTAAAGTACTTGGGAGCTCAATAGGAAGTCCATAACACCATTTTTGAACCTATCAAAAAGCTATGCCAAAACTTGGAAACTACCTGAAAATGGCTAAGTCTGGGAACATGTTTGTGAAGCCTACTTTGGAACTCAATTCGAGAAGCATGGATGCGAGTCGAGTCCAGGGGCCTCTACCACGTTAAATTAGGTATGTTTTTATACAAATTCAAGTCATTGGATCAAAGATTGGATAACTTTAAGACTATGGCTCACGTTGTCTTTTTTTTTTTGTGTGTGTACAATTTTAGAAAAATAACATATTATGGATACGTTAACTTATAATTAATAATGTATTTAGCTTATTTTAGCTAATTTTTATGAAAAATACTAGATATACGTTAAATCAAATTGCATTTCATCAAGATCCAAACAACAATTTCTATGCATTTGATGTTTTTCGGTTTGACTTATTTGATTGAAATTTTAATTATTTATATAATCTTAAACGTATAGCCAATCATAAACGTATAGCCCACCAGACCCAAGCCAATCATAAACAAATCGTAGGGTTCTAAATATTTAGATAAATTTAGATTTATTATTTTCAAAACCGAAGTGTATAGATCAAGTGATTAAAATAAATTAACGTAAACCGCCCAACCCATCTACAGCCATAAGAAAAGTGGAAAAGTTCTACTATCTCACTTCTTTTCCTTCTCATTCGAACTTATTGGTCATGTTTTCCCCCATCTGTTGTATCTATGACCAAAAAACTGGTCATGTTCCCCATCTGGGCTTTTACAGGGAACTCATTGCAGCAAAATTGACAACTGAAATACGATATCACTGTTTCATTTTTTATGGAGCTGGAAGGTAATGAATCATGGAGAAATATATATATGTAAGCATCCAATGTGCATTCCATGACAGCTGAATAAATAACTATCTTACAGAGAAACTTTGGATACATAAACAAGTTGCAGCGCCTAAAACCATGGCGCAGGCAATAATAGTACAGGGAAAGTTAAGAACACTGGTCACTCTTGCTTTCTGGTCATCTTGAATAAGATTGATCACATGCATTCCAACAAGGCAAGACTAATTGCAGATGAATTTTCATCCAATGGCGCCATCCTTCTGAACAACACGAGCTAGCCTTTCAAGTTTCACCGCCTTCTGCTTCCTAACTCGATATGCTGGGGAGGGAGGGGTCTAGTAATTAAACCAGCCACTGCATAGATTCTTTTTCTGACAATCCAGCCACTGCATAATTCTCTCTTTGACAATCCAGACACTGCATAAATGGAATGAAAAGTAAAATTAGCAACAAGAAGAGCAGAGGTTTGCAAACACATCAGACTTCTCAAGCGATTAGAAAGGAAGCAGAGACATGTATGCAAAGTATGTGTTTGTGCTACTCAACAAAAGACAGCTTCCTTTTTCATCCTACCGATTCAGGAGGGAATAGAGTTCTTGATGTGGTTGCTGACATGTTGTTTTCTAGGAGAAACTTGTTTCGGACACTATTAGTGAATTCCTAAACCCGAACACAGATGCAAACAAATGCATAAAAGAAAGTAAACATTTGTACAAGCATGAGTAGATTATTACCGATTGTTCAGGGAGAGAGTTGCTGCTTTGTGGCTGCTCTGTTGAACCCAACAGCTGTGTCGCCCATCGTATATAGCTCGCAGTTCCTCGTACCTTGGAATCGGGGTAGGCCAGCAAGAAACCCTAGGCTGGAATCTGGGAACAAACTCACCAAAGAACCCTAGCTCTCCAGTCTTCATATCGTAGGACAGTACAACACCATGAGGATGATGATAATTAAAACCAGGATGTTTGAAGAAGACAATGTGCGGCTTCTCTGGATGCAAACCAGCTACATTGCAGTCCTTAAGTTTATAGCCGCAATGTTTGATTGTCCTCCCCAACACGGTTCTATGTTGTATACTCCAAGATTTACGGTCTTCTTCCAGTCTCAAAACACTCAAAAATGTAGGTGGAGCAGATATATGCCTAAGTGAAATTAGGTGTAGAGCACCTTGTGAGACCGAAATATTCCAGCTACCCGTGGGGAGTCGAGAAGCGTTAAATCGGATGGGAGGTACATCAAGGCGAAAGGGATTAAACCCAGCAATTATTGGATGAGACCCCAAAACTCTGGAATTCATACAGAACCAAAACAACCCTCCGTTGCACGATGTAGAAACTACATTAATATCAACCCATATGAAATGCTCATTAAGAACAAGAGCCTCCTTCGTCCACTCTCCAGACTCGGAACAAAACACGTCTATCCTTATAGAATCGGGAAAGTGATATATACAGACCACCCGAAACCGATATGCAGAGGAATAAACAAATGGTTTTTGGCCATCTCCTAGATCAAGTTCAACATTAGAGCGGGGTTCACAAACTAACCTTGCCTCCTTAAATCCAATCGCAGAAGACCGCCACGATTCAGGCGCTAGAGGAAGAGCGATCCACTGCTCCGTAAACGGGTTGCAGAGGAAGAGAGATCTCGAATATTCGGCACGAAATCCCCCTGCCTCGGTAAATCCGCACAAAACCAAGTCCTTGTAGGAATCAAAAACTCGGAAATACCATCGTTGTTCGAAACCTAATTTATCAGGCAGGGGGAGGAAGCTCAAAATGGATTCGCCGAAGCATGAGGCCATCAAAGGTGGTTCTTCGAATTCGCCGCCGCCGTATCGGTTCCATCTGCTCTGGTGGTGAGAAATGAAACGGCCAACGAAGTGGGGATCGGAAATCAGAGACTTCCATCGCTTGCAGACTGCTTTGCATTGCCAGGCGGATCTGGGTTCCAGAAGGCGAATCAGAACTTCTGCTAGGAGATCGTCACCGAGATTGCTGATCGGAGAACGAGGGTTTACTACTTCCGAGTCATCGACCCGCCGTCGTTTCCTGGACGCGCAAGGGAGAAGACCTAATCTTAGCTCCAGTGGGTCGGATGTGCAGTTCTCGGTGGCCATGGCAGCGGTACAACTACAGGATGAACACGAAGATTAGCACGCCGCCGGTAAAGGAGAAAGGATGCGGCGGTAGATGAGAGGCAGAGATTTGAACTCCTATTAATAGACGCAAAGAAAAACATGAATGCCGAATCTACTATGGATTAGGAACGCCCATATGAAACATGGCCAATTCATGGGCCGGGTCTCTCTTTATAGTTGCACTTCTAATTTTGGGCAAATAACCCTAAAAAATCCTAACTATTAAAAAATATTATTTGTGTTCCTAAATATTTAATATTTTATTTCTGAATTATGTTTTCTTAGAGTTAACAGACATTGACCGTTAGTATTAAACAGAAAATACAGTCAGCGCTGATGTAAGTCATGTAATATCTGAAGTGGGATTTTTAATATTAATTTTATCTTTCCATCTAAAATTAATAAAATAAGAAAAATAAAAATCATTACAATAAAAAAGGGCAACCCTAACCTAGGGATGTCAATGGGTCGGGTCGGAAATGAATAGTGCATATCAATTACCATACCCAAAGTAGTTCGGGTTTTGCCCATAGCCATACCCACATAAAAAACGGGTATAAAATCGAAACCATGCTCCTGTCTTGTTGAGGATAGGAATTGGAGTAGTAGACATACTGGTGAGGATTGTTCCACTCAGAGCATTCATGATTGAAGTGCCCCAGTCGATGGCATTTAAAGCATTCAACATTCTCCTTGCTCCATTAATCATGTTGTTTATAGATGTTTATCTTTAATTTTGAACAATTTATATTGATAATTTGCGGTTTGCTTGTATGCTCTAGATTAGTGTTTTTTGTATGGATAATTTTTATAAGAAAATTGATGTTAAACTTTCATTTGGAAGAAATTTGTTATTGTAAATTTTTTACCGCAAAAATCCACGGGTACCCATGAACCCGCGGATACCCAGCAAGTTGAGTTGGGTTTGAATTTTTCAAACCCAACTAATTTTACCCCGGATCTTTTTAACGGATAAACCCATGAGTTTGTGTTTATATTTGACAAAACCCCTAACTCGACTCATTGCCATCCCTACTCACTAACACTTCTCAACCTCATTAGTCTTCTTCTCTATAATCTCCAACTCCAACGACCCACCACCATTCAACTTATTCCCATCACCCTCGTTCCCTTCCCACTAGGACAACACACACCAAGAACACAGCAAAGTTCACCACTCCAAGAACGGCCAATAGCCCGTAGAAGCAATCGAGCTTCCCACTCTGAGTCACTTTCTTCACCACCATGACCAGGAAGCTGATGACGAAGAAGCCGAAGGTGAGCGTGGTGAGGAAGAGCCCCGTGCTCATGGCCTTCATCACTTTAGGATCAGCAGGAAGACCGATATCGGGAGGGTTTTCGTGGCGGCGGATAAGCGCTGGCTTTCGGCCAGGGATTGTCGAGAGAACTAGGCCGATTGCTATCCTCTGGAGGTTGCTGAAGAAGTCCATTTTCCTCTTCCCAATGGCTGCTGCGATGACCTGGAGGATGTGGAGAATAGGGCTCCACATGGATTTCTTGTAACTGTACAAGGGCTTGGACAACAGGGAAGATGGCAATGGTCTTGAATCTGCCTAGGAAAGAGTCAGCAAGGAAGCCACAAAGCCAGCACAAGAGGAAAGATGTGCCCATGAAATCTGTGACCACTTTGGCTGAAGTTGCACTTGGCACTTGGTCAATTTCCCCCCCGTTTGGGGTATCTATTGCCAACAATTGTTCATGGTTCATGCAGAAATTTTATAATATATATATGTAGCATCCAATGTACAATATTCCTACCAAAAAAAAAAAAGAAATTTTATAATATATATATGTAGCATCCAATGTACAACTACATAGATCTTGTTACATTCCATGACAGCTGAATAAATAAACTATCTTACAGAGAAACTTTGGCAGTTTGGCTACATAAACAAGTTGCAGCGCCTAAAACCATGGATCAGGGCAATAATAGTACAAGTTAAGAACACTGGACACTCTTGCTTTCTGGTCATCTTGAATAAGATTGATCACATGCATTCCAACAAGGCAAGACTAATTGCAGATGAATTTTCATCCAGTGGCGCCATCCTTCTGAACAACACGAGCTAGCCTTTCAAGTTTCACCGCGTTTTCTGCTTCCTAACACGATACACTGGGGAGGGAGGGGTTTAGTAATTAAACCAGCCACTGCATAGATTCTTTTTCTGACAATCCAGCCACTGCATAATTCTCTCTTTGACAATCCAGACACTGCATAAATGGAATGAAAAGTAAAATTAGCAACAAGAAGAGCAGAGGTTTGCAAAAAACATCAGACTTCTCAAGCGATTAGAAAGGAAGCAGAGACAGGTATACAAAGTATGTGTTTGTGCTACTCAACAGAAGACAGCTTCCTTTTTCATCCTACCGATTTAGGAGGGAATAGAGTTCTTGATGTGGTTGCTGACATGTTGTTTTCTAGGAGAAGCTTCTTTCGGACTCTCGATTAGCGAATTCCTAAACCCGAACACAGATGCAAGCAAATGCAGAAAAGATAGATTATTACCGATTGTTCAGGGAGAGAGTTGCTGCTTTGCTGCTGCTCTGTTGAACCCAACAGCTATATCGCCCATCGTATATAGCTCGTAGTTCCTCGTACCTTGGAATCGGGGTAGGCCAGCAAGAAACCCAAGGCTGGAATCTGGGAACAAACTCACCAAACAACCCTAGCTCTGCAGTCTTCATATCGTAGGACAGTGCAACACTCCGACGATCACCAAAACCAGGATGTTTGAAGAAGACAATATGCGGCTTCTCTGGGTGCAAACAAGCTACATCACAGTCCTCAAGTTCATAGTCGCAAATTTTAACTGTCTTCCCCAACACAGTTTTATGTTGCATACTCCAAGATTTACGGTCTTCTTCCAGTCTCCAAACACTCAAAAGTGTAGGTGGAGCAAGTGATATTAGGTGTAGAGCACCTTGTGAGACCGAAATATTCCAGCTTCCCTTGGCGAGTCGAGAAGTATCAAGTCGGATGGGAGGTACATCAAGGCGAAAGGGATTAAACCCAGCAATTATTGGATGAGACCCCAAAACTCCGGAATTCATACACAACCAAAACAACCCACCGTTGCAGGATGTAGAAACTACATTAACATTAGACAAACTGAAATGCCCATTAAGAACAAGAGCCTCCTTCGTCCACTCACCAGACTCGGAACAAAACAAGTCTATCCTTATAGAATCGCGCAAATGGTAAATACACACCACCCGGAACCGGTATGCAGAGGAATAAACAAATGGTGGTTGGCCTTCTCCTAGATCAAGTTCAACATTAGAGCTGGGTTCACAAACTAACCTTGTCTCCCTTAATCCAATTGTAGAAGACCGCCGCGTTTCTGGCGCTAGAGGAAGAGCGATCCACTGCTCCGTGAACGGGTTGCAGATGAAGAGAGATCTCTGAAATTCGGTACGAAATCCGCACAAAACCAAGTCCTTGTAAGAATCAAAAACTAGGAAATTAAATCTTCCGTAACATCCTAATTCATCGGGCAGGGGGAGGAAGCTCAAGATGGATTCGCCGAAGCATGAGGTCATCAAAGCTGGTTCTTCGCATTCGCCACCGTCGCCGCCGTATCGGTTCCATCTGCTCTGGTGGTGAGAAATGAAACGGCGAACGAAATGGGGATCGGGAATCAGAGAATTCCATCGCTTGCACACAGCTTTGCATCGCCAGGCGGATCTAGGTTCCGGGAGACGAATCAGAACTTCTGCCAGGAGATCGTCACCGAGATTGCCGATCGGAGAAGGAGGGTTTGCTTCTTCCGAGTCATCGATTCGCCGTCGTTTACTGGGCGCGCAAGGGATAATAATAATACCTAATCTTAGCTCCAGATCTAAATCTGGGTAGGATGTGCAGTTCTCGCCCGCCATGGCGGCGGTAGAACTCCAGTCGTCGATCCGCCGTTTCCTTGACACGCAAGGGAGAAGACCTAGTTTTAGCTCCGTATCCAAATCTGGGTAAGATGTGCAGTTCTCGGTCGCCATGGCGGCGGTTGAACTAATACGAAGATTAGCACGCCGCCGGTGAAGGAGAAAGCGATTTGAAACTCCTAGATATAAGTGACAGCCGAATCTAGTATGGATTTGGAAAGCTTATTACTTTATGCTTTTCGGATGAGACTTTTAGTCTCCGAATATGAAACATGGCCAAAGTCTGTAAAACGCCCATAGTACTCATGCAATTCAATCCAATCCAGTTTGGTCTACTCGTATTTATCGTTAAAATGATCATTTAAGGTTGGATGAGGGTATTTTTTTAAATCGATCTATATGTGATTGAGTTCAAATTTTGAGTTACACAATCCATAGATATCCGACCCAATCCATGTTACAAATTTGTCCAAATATTCATGTCCAAAATGTATTTGCGTTATATACAAATTTATTTCGATAAATGTTTATGAAAAATACTAGAAATATGTTTGAAGAAAATTGCACTTCATCGATATCCAAATAACAATGGGTTTTGATGATTTTTCATAGGATCATATTTGCTTGAAATTTAATTAGTTGTATAATGTTTCTTTTATAGTGCAAAATAGTTGTATTCTTTGTGTTGTGTTCTGATTTTACTTGAATGTATAGTCCATCCGTTGAACTAATCTTAGTGACCGCGAATGGATTTAAATATTTTCAGTGACCAAACGTGAACTTTTTTAGCAAACACAGTGACCAAACTTGTAATTTACCTCAAACTAAGGTAAGGGCATTGCTATTCGTCGCCCTAAAATATCTTATTCGTCGCCCTAACTTTTATTAAAATTACTTAAATATCCTTAAGTTAATTCTTATCTTTCAAAACATATATAAACACTAAAACAAAGTAACAAACACATACAACTATGTTTAATAACAAAATAAAATAGCGAAATTAATGAATTACAAGTTACAAATACACCAAAAATAATAAAAAAATGGAATAAATGTAAATAACTCAGGCACGTTCGTACTCGCCGCTAGAAGCGCCGGAGATGGGTTTTCAACCCTTCCGGGCGGCTGGAAACAAAAAAAAAAAAAAAAAAACTCTCTGCTCGGCAAGTGCGAGGCGAGACAGAAGATGAAGATCGAGCCGAGGAGAAAGGAGAAGTTTGAGTCTGCCTTCGCTCGTCGTCGGCACCGAAGAAGAAGTTCGCTCGTCGTAGCCGCCAACCTCTACTTTCGTTCTCTGCCCAGCCGTAATTTGCTTCCGACGTCACCCATCTTCGTTGCCGCCCGATTTACCATGGGAACGAACATGCTGCGAGGGTTGAGGTTGGTGGCGGCTGCCGGAGAGAAGAATCCACAACGACAGCGGCGGGGTTGAGGTTGGCAGTGTCTGGGCAGGGTAACGGATTGTTTGATTAGGGTTTTGGTTAGAGATTGGGGTTAGAGGGTAAGATTGTCAATTTGATGCATTTTAGGGCGACAAAAATTGAATTTTAGGGCGACGAATAGCAATCCAGAAGATATACCGTCAAATTATTGCAACAATCACTATAAACGTGGCTTCGTTTACTACATGTCTACTATCCATATCACAATTCCTACCCTAATACCATTTCACACATTTAATCACGAAAATTGTTTGAAACCGTTGCTACAGTGACCACCACCCATTTCAAAACTCAATTAACCCTAGAACAGACTTTCCTAATCTCTCCATCTTTCCCAGTCTTCACCTCAACGCCACTCATCTTGATCATCGCCTTCGAGAACTCGAAATCGAAGCGAAACCCGAAAAGCCCCCGAATCGTCCCCGCGTAATTCTCCACGATCCGCCGCGTGTTCGCGTCGTCCCACAGCCTCTGGTCCGACTCCAGCACCCCGTTCCCTGCCTTCACGTTCTTGAAGAAGCTGGTGTCGAAGTTCCCGTGGCTGTCCCTGTCCAACGGAATCTTCTTCAGACCGTTTCCGTTTCTGGGGCAGAGCGTCTGAAGCTGCGCGAGGAAAGACTGGCTGATCGTCGGATCGGCGTTCCCCGTCGCCGTGAAGTTGTAGAGACGGTAGCTCATGAATCTGCACTCTGTTTGTCCGATTGTATGTGCTCCTGCATAACAAACAATTACAAAAATTTATTACTTCGCTGACATGATTATATATAAAGTTGATGAAATCCCTTCGTTTTTATCCACTAATTTTGTAAATGTAGCGGCCAATTGAACAAATAATGTCACGGAAGTCCAAAAAACAGAGGAAATTTTAGTGCTTGAAAAGTTACCAGCTAAGGTGACGAGATCGTGATCGTCGAGCCCTTTAGCGGCGAATTTCTGCCTCTGGGCAGCAATGGAATCGAGGGGCGACGGTAAAACCGCTGCCTGGGAAGAAGAAGAGACTCTCCCATCTCTTCTTCCCGTAGGGACTGCCCAGCTTGGACCATTACTCTGTTTCAACAAATTCCAAACAAACAAGAAAAAGAAATTGTCAAGTGACCTTTAGCGACGGATGAGTTTCATGACAAAATAAGCTACTGGCGTCACTAAAGCTACATCTTCGTTACCAAATCTACGGAATCCCGAGCAGCCAGAGCAAGAATATCAGCACAGGAGACGACGCCGGGGCAGGACGCTTCCAGTTGGGTTTTCGCCGCGTCGATCACTTCGAAGCCTCGTATTCCGAGGTTCTGTGGCGCGCTCCTCTCCGCGTTAGGGCCCGAAATCAGCACCGAACCGTCGCAGCCCTGGAAAGTAAATGGTATAAGATCCATAATTGAACTTCTTCCGAAGTTATTGGAAACAACTGCTTTACGTACGCAACACACGATCAGTTATGAAATTGTGGAAAGAAAACCCAACAGAAGGATATTCGATTCGTTACCTGAACAAAGCAATCATGGAAGTGAAGTCTGAGCAGACCAGGAGCAATGGAAGGATCGTCCTTGAAGGCCGATTCGACCGCCGACCTGACAATGGCCTCTGCCTTGGGGCAAGATGAAGAGTAGAACCCATTTTTCAGCTGGCCATGTACTACTGCTGTAGAGCTCCAACTAGCCACTAACACGATCATCAATGGAACAAGCCAAAGGGAAGACTCCATTTTCATAGAAGTAGAACAGAGTAGAATTTGTTGCTTGCTTTGCTTACTTCCCTTGTTTCTGTCACATTTTGGGCAGAGTGATCTCTCCACATATTTATAGGGTAGAGAAAGGAGGGACATATGATGAGTCGACATCTTTTGTTTATTGAGTGACCCACTTTGAAATTTGGGGGGCAATTGGGTTGGCTTCTTTTTTCTCTTTTAGTGGAGTGGGAGAGTGGAGAGGCCAATCATCCAAAGTGGTGGTGGTGTGGCTATCTCAATTGCATTGGTGGTGCAATTGGCATGCACCGCCTTGGACTAGTGTAATGTTTGATCATCATCATTTTGATGTTTGATATGCTTAGATGTTGATCATCTATGGTAAATGTGCTATGTTTAAGGTATATGCACGAGCCCATTGAACAAGTTGATTGATCCAGAGGTATTAGCAACAGAGACTAGATCGGTTAGATCAGTCTCATAAGTTTTCAACCTTCCATTTTATTAAGATTCTTTCGAACACGAACATTCATACACAGTAGATTACACCTCTATCGTCCTGCTGTCGGACTAAAACTACATCCATGATCGATGTACATATCGTCTATCTGTCTTGCAAAAACATATATAGGTTAGCATGTTATTACATCGTCCTTCTATCATATCCATAGTAGGTTTAGGGTACCGCATACCAATAGTGAGAAAACGTTATATATACCTTGAAGTAGCCGAATTTTAGAGCATGATATTATATCTTTACTAACCCTGAAGGAGTAAGCACTAGCTAGTTCATAGTTCTCTAAAACATTAAATCCTAAGATACTGCATCTAGTATGCTGGATAAATGTCCTCGAATCACAATCGCCAATCATAATTTATAATTAAATTAATATTAAGGCATAGAGTTTAGTAAATAATGATCTATCTTATATCATCATTCAAAATCCGATTCAATTCAAAATCTAAATAACGCTTTAATTTCTTACTCGACCAGATCATATATATTATATATGTCTGGATTCACTTTATTCCTTGACGCGTTTATTCACTTTCTCCTTTGTTTCTGGCCTTTCTTTCTTTGTCGATTCTTCCTTGTAAGCTTCCCACCAACGATCGAAAGTTTCTTCACGTTCACATGAGCTTTTATGAGTTTACTAACTTTGCTATTGCCTCCTCCATTATTGGTTGTGCCTATCAGCATATTCATATCTATATTTATATGAAACAATTGACTATGTCAATATTCGGATGCACAGGGGAAAGTTGGTTAATGATTATCATTTACATGCATGCAAAGGATAATGAATTAATATATACTCTAGTGTTAATGGTGCTTCAACTTTTTTTTCTATCTTAACTTGAACAATAGAATGTGAAGAAACTAGGAAGGAAGGAAGGAATTAATTTATGGTTATTGTATACACTTGATAACTCGAATAAAGTTTGAGTCAAACTTTTCGTGAAGGAGGTGTTTGAGCCTCACCTTCAACAAGAAGATGTGAAATGTTCGTAAGAAATATTTCAGGTGTTTGAATCTCGAAAAATGACTCTTGATAATCACACCAGATGTGCGAAATGCTAAGGGGTATGCATAATATATCAATTAAAAGCATTTTATAGTTGTAATATTGTTAAAAGATGCAGTAATTAATGAGATGCATTATTTATACATCTATTAGGTGGAAGAAGCTAGAAATTTTATCCACACATTGAAAAATACAGAAATGTATTGCATATTAGTGGACTGTGACAAAGCCAAATGGACAGACATGTCTGACCCATTTTATAATTGGCTGAAGACCTAACATCGTGGGTATTCTCATATAGTATAAGCACTCACCAATTTTCGAATGTGTTTCTCATGATGCTAAGAGAAATTTTCAAACTCCATATATATGAAGCTTCTGCTCCTTCTCATGATAACTTTATTTTTTGTGGTCATAGATGATAGATAAAATGTCCAAGAATAATAAGCAATTAAACGTGACAGTCGATAAATAGTCGAATTGTCGATGAAAGGGCGTTGTTAGTCACTAAATGTACAACCATGGCAAACCAGCAAGGAGTAAAAGTGAACGAGAAATTTAGAAAGCTTATTACGGACTGCCAACAACGGGATGCCATAAACGCCAACAAGACTAACATTGGAGACCATCAAAGAACAAATTATGTCAACCGTCAATATGACCAAGAGGAGAGAGCCTAACCCTAATCCTAAACCAACCAGCTCCCATAATTCCGTAGCTACACGACAATTTATGACGAGAATGAGTAATGAATTCTGTATCGTCATGACAAATGAATACGTACTGTCAGTGACCAATGTTTTAGTCAATAGCATCTCTCGAATCGAGAGGAAACTCTGCACCATTTGCCAACAAAAAAAAAAACCTTCAATTTGTAAGATAAGGGAAGATTCCACAAGCATTTCCAGAATCTTAAATCAAACGGCAAAAGGAGCTGGCGGATGGAGTCGATTTAGTTCTCAAGTTAGGCAAGCATGATTTTCATCCAAAAAAGATAAGCAAGCATGATCGAGTGGATATGTATGTTCTCATTTTTCCTTTCCAACATGTCACACTTATCATGGTAGTGTAACTCGACCCCCAATCCATTTTAGGATTGAAAGAGCCTGAGATCAGAGCCATTCCAATTTCCAGGTCAATTGACGACATGGGTAAGGTAAGATCTATACATAGACTTCTTCTAATAACTCGAATTATTCATACCGGTTGGTTTATGACCCACTTGCCTATCTTGACAAAGAAGAGTCGCCATGTCAAGGGACAGCAGCAACTACCCACAGCCAATTCCAACGACCTTCTCCTGCAAATCATATCCTAAACCTAAAATCCTTTGCTTGACTGCGAATCAACTATCATGGGATTGCTTTTGCTCCACGGAACCTTCAAGCAAAAGCAACCTTCAAGAGTGAATTCTCACACACCCTGAAAGCCTTCCAGCCAAAGCTTTATCAATGGTGGGGAATCTAACATCATGTTCTTATAACCTAAAAGTAGAAAGGAAATCATCTCCAAATTGCATTCCCAAACCCATCTCCCAATAAACTAGACTCTGGGAAAAAGACATTCTGCAGACACCCTCAGTACAATACCAGAATCAACTATAAACAGTCAAATCAAAACTTAGCACAAATTTGATGCATACAAAAGAAATAGTATATATTGGTTATACTAAACTGACATAATTGGTTTTGATTCCTTCACTTTCTAGTACTTTACACCATCTCTCTTCTGTGTTAGTATCATATAATTTCCATCATTCTCTAACTCCATGCACAAAAGCTCTGCATGAAACAGGTGGGTAGCTACTCAAACAATCAAAAACTTAGAACAAAGCAAATTTTACAAGACATATCCTGTAAACTGTTCTGCATCTTCTTGTTCCACTTACTACTACTTGGCCACTTGCTCCAAGATGGCAACTTTGTTCCAAGGCTCCTCCAACCCACCACTCACCTGAATCGGCGGCAGCGAAAACACGCTCACCGTGGAGCTCCTGCTGCGAATCTCCTTCAGGATCCTCAGCGCCGACATCGAGCTCTTCATGTACAGGCTCTGCATCTGCTCGATCTCCGCCAGTTCCTTGGGGAGCACGTTAAGCACCCCGTCCTCAACATTGCTTGCAGCAGCAGCTGCTGAGGTCGAAGGACCTGCATCGTCGCCATCTTCATCGCTCGAATTACCCCGGCTTGATGCTCCCAATGCTGCCAATTTGACGGGGAAGAAGCGATCGAGCATCGTCTCGCACTCCTTCACTAGCTTGTTCAGCAAGTCAGTGGTGAAGAAGGGCTCCTGCAGGACCTTCTGGATGAATGGCAGCCGGATTAGTGCCCCGGTTCGCTTGTCGTACTTCTTCAGTATCTTTGCCAGTCCTGTTTCGATGGATCATCGCGATGAGAACCCCCGAAAATGGCGATTGAAACACAGGGTTGAGCTATCTGGAGGATTCAGATTTCATTGTTCATTACCTGTGTAGTTAAGGGCGCTGTAGTTCTCGAGCAGAACCATCTCTCCGTGGAAATCGACAATCTCTTTGCGAATCTTTATGATCTCGTCGTTCGAGTCCTTCGCTCTTGCTACGGAGTCTTGCAGCTCCTGATTCACAAAGAAAAGCTTCAACCAGTCAATTTCTACAGCAGATTATAAGTACTCAATTTCAGTTCATCCTAGTACAGTCTAGGGGGGAAAAAATGAAAAGTACAGGTATGAAAATGTAGCTCATTTTACTTATGGGGGCCAAAAGGGAAATATGCCGCGGGACTGATCCGAAAGGAATATATAAATGCGAGTGCTAGCCAGTTGGTTAGCCAAAAGTTAGAACAAAAAATGAAAAAAATAATAAAACTCGCCACGTGGCAATTAAGTATTGGGTTCTGATTAAACTGACCGTCACAGTAACTCTCCCACGGTCCACTCTCTACCTCAATACGACACCGTTTCAAACCTTCAGACTAAGACTCTGCTCGCCGCCGGCGAAAACAGAGTATTCGCCGGGAGCCAAACAGATCGAGATACCGTCACCGGAGAAAACAAAGATAACTTTTTTTTTGGGTCTTATTATTACCTTCAATCTGATGATGTACTCTTCCTCTTTCTCGACGAAGAAGGAATTGAACTTCTCGAGCTCGTCTTCCAAAAGCTTGATGAAATCGATCTCCTCCTCCGTCACGCCGCCGTCCAGTCTCGGCCGCTTGGCGGGCCTATCTCCTGGGCCGTCGCCGGCCCTGTTGTTGGGCTCGATGAGCTTCAATTTCTTTTTTAGCTCCTTGTAGGAGAGGAACTTGTCCCTCCACTCGGGCAGAGTCTCGTCGATCTGGGTGCTGAGGCTTTTGCCGAACTTCATCGTTACAGAGTCGGTTTCGCCGGAGAGAGAATGGGAAGGCAATTAAAGAAGAGGGGAGAAATGGGGGGGAAGAAAAGGAAGGAAGGGGGATAGTTATAAGTGCTGTTGGTGGGAAGAAGAAGAAACAGAGGAGGAGCAGAGGGGGGAGAATATTCCAAGGTAATATCCAATTTTCATCTTGTGAAAGGGTATATCTTTTGGTTTTATTCCCTGCTCTGAGGAGGAAAGACGGTCCCAACTGCGCACCACAAAAGTAATTCTTATTTTTTATTTTAATTTTAGATAAATCAGTGGCGGTGGCGGTGGTGACGACAGAGAGAGAGAGAGGTGATCGGCGGAGATGGAAAGGGGTGGAGCCAACAGATTTTTACGCGGCGGCGGTGAATCTCGAGGCGGACGGATTCGGCATAATTCCAAACCGCCTTTCAACGAATATTCCCTGCTTCGTTTCCCTCTCCAATTTCCGTTACTAACCCCGTTGGCAGGTCAACTTGTTTCAATTGGACCGATTCTACCCACAATCTCTTCTCATCCCACTTACAAGCCAACCAACAAAGTCAAAAGAAACTAACTCTAATCGGGACAGCAGCAGGGCTTTACGTGCCACTCTATGAGCAGCCCAGTTGACAGTCCGCGGAACATCCCTAAATTCTATACAAAGAGAACAAGACTCAAGAAGATAACAACAATCTCGAAGAATGGGGCCACCAATAGAATCCTCCACCAATCGAAGCTTGAGCTGACGGATGACCACTTCTGCATCGCCTTCGATGATAACCGGAGACAAACTTCTAGAAGTTGTAAGAGAGATTGCATACATAGCTGCAATGAGTTCTGCAAGATAAGGATCCGAGATACCATAATGCTGCTGCACCCACGGCAAGAAGCACATGCCCATCCAAGCCATCAACTGTTGTATCGGGGTTGATAACGATAGGATGATTAACGAGTATAGTTGTTCTTGATAATTCGAGAGTTTGGATTTTTTAGTCATTCGTCAAACTTAAAAAAGGAAGGAATCGACGAAGAAGAAGTTGGTTTGACTTAAAAGTATTAACCACATGTTCAATCATGATGATAGGTGATTCATCGTATATATTTGCTTAGTGGATACGCTTTCTAATAAATGTGAGTTTTGTTAGTTTTCATAATGAAACGTAAGGAGATTCAACGAAATGATGAATCTCGCATCGCACCTTGTTCGGGGTGGGAGAATTCTCAATGGACGTTTCATTCGATTCCTGTGATTCCAGACCCCTCTAACTTATTCTCGTCTTATCTGCACCTATTGTTTGACCGACTATAGTTAACTACTATTGTTGGTAGTGTGACGATCTTCGTCAGTGAATATACACAGACTTTGGTCGATCGTAACCGATTCGTGTTCATTCGACGATCAAGATCACTGCACTCACACGATCCGACGGTGGCCATGATCTCCAATTCTCCATGTTTGGCGAAACATACGATGCAAACCTAGTCCTCCACATCAATCATTTAATAGCTATAGATGGAAAGAGTATGCAATAAATCAGATTTCAGTGGGTTTCCAACAATATAGGTAAGACAGTTGTCTGTCGATGCTTTTTTTGGATTTGCTTTGTCCGGGAGCTTTGGAGGAGGGAGGAGTGGATAAGGAAGGAGATTCGCATCTTCGGAATGGGATATTCTTTCGCTTTGTGAAGGAATCTACTCTCGTCTCTTTGGCATCTTTTTTTTCTTGGCATAGTAACAGCTAGCTAACAAGTCCTTGTTTCCTCCCCTCTCTTCCTGCTTCTCGTGTCTATAGTATTCAAAAGTAGGTAGAGGTGTACAAAACCGGACCTGAAAATGCACGATCCAAAAGTAAAATAAAATTTGTGGATTGGGAACCGATGATACGATCGATCATATTTCCATTAGTGTTTTAATGTCATGTCGGAATGAGAAATCGACAATGCAAGAAAGTAAGGAAGACATAAATTTACGTGGTTCATTTATACGATGTGTCTTAGTTGATCTGCCGGCTGGAGACACCAGCTTCACTATACTTTGAGAAGATACATATTACAGAGAGATGAGAAGATTGATATATACATAGCACATTGTCCAAATGGTCTTATCCTAATCCAACCCGGAAAGGAAAAGATACAAATATCCATAACATAATAGCATATTTGTATAAGCAGGGGCGGACCCAATGGGGGTTTAGGGGTTCCCGAGATACCCCCAAATTTTGGGAAAACGATTATCAAACATTCGGTGGTAATTTACGTACGGGCAAAAAAATTATAATTGACAGTGAGGGACACCCTTGAAATTTGAAAAAATGATTATCCTACTGTCATTTTTTTAATTTGTGTATGGGAATATAAGTGCTAGGTTGGGTAATCAAATCTAGAACACTACTATTATTAATAAAACATAATTTCCATTAAGCTACAAGCCTACAACTCATTTGTTGTTCAATTTTGAACATTGTGTAATAGTAGAATGCCATTCCCTATCTCTAATATTTTTCCAATTCTAACAATTAATAAACTCATTTAAAGCTATCCTTAATTTGTATTGATTTTATGGTTGTACGACAAGTGTTGAAAGAGTCTTTCAGCTTTGAGTTACATAAAAAACGACTTTACAAATCGAATATGCGATCAGTTCGTGAATTATTGTTTAGCAGGGCATATAGAGACAAAAAAATTTTAACACTGTAGACACCAAGTGTATTCTACAATTATTTCTGAATATGAAAATACATCATGAACTTTTTGTAACCTGTATGAGCAAGATATATTCTTATTTACGATTTTTTTTATTTAATTTTTTTTTTAAAATGACACCTCTATGTAAAATTATTGGGTCCGCCCCACTGTGTATAAGTCCGTACACCATGACTTTTAGTCGATGATATAGATAATTTGTCTTTTGAGTTATTCATAATTAATATCCATAAGAATGAAAACCCGGATTGTTTTATATTCAATACGACTTGAACAGATCCAAATATCAACTTTGAATCGATTATATTACAAACCAACCCATGACACACCCTAGTTCCTTCTAGCTAAGCTAGCTACCATTTTCCCCCGGCCCTCTTGTTCTAGTCACAAATTAAAGCATATTCTTATCTCTAGGTCCCTTTGTTCCATCCGCGACTAACATTGTGTTCTTGTTTTATATCGTGTAAGTTTCGCAATTGAAGTTGTCTTGAAAGAAACTCGTGACAAATCATATATTGATCGACTTTCTTGTTTTGGTTCCTTCGCCGAAATATAGTAAATATATATAGCTCAAACAAGTCGGTTAGTTTTCGTTTTGTGGTTAATCATGAAGAAAACGAGATTAATTAGATGGCTTTAAAGCTTAGCTCGATATCATAGGACAATGAGGTGTTATGTTGTTTCTTAATTAGTTCGTAATTGCCTGCGTAGATTCCCAGCTTAGGGGAAACGAGGCTCGTCACAACATGTTTTGGCGTCTAAGTTAGTTGCCGATTTGTAGGATCATGTTGACGTTGTTGCCCACGGGACAGACCATTTCTTTCGGATTTTCCAATGATTTTCGTACTAACTAGAATGTCTGCATTTGAAAGATGATGAAGAAGATGACGACGAAGGATAAGAAGAACAAGTGACAATAACAGTGCAAGAATTCATGACCAATTGATCACGAGTTCGGTTGTCTAGAATTGATGTATCAGTATTAGTAGGGCTGAGAAAATAGACCAGACCGTTAGAAAAATCGTGGTCCACTTTGTTCCATCAATATCTTTTCCCGTTTCAACATGTGAACCGACTGAACATACTGTTAGCACCATAGCCAAATTGTGGTGGAACACACAGAACAAGTACTCAAGACTCAAAATGTGTGTAGCCTAACTAGCTGTCTGTATCGAATGTGATTTGAAGAACTCCAATCTCACCGATTAAAAGCTCCAGCCCATATGACCAGTTAAGACAGCTAATTAATCACACTTATCAATTAACGATCGATAAATATTTTGATAACTAATTAACTGGTCACCAGTACCACTAACAGCATATATATAGTGGCTTGGCTTCCAGAATGAAAATTATGCTAATAATTATCAGTTAACCACTATAACCAATCATTCGTCGAGTAGTGGCTAACCGCTAACCACACTGAGCAAAACAACGCCACTACTATCATTATATTATGGATCGTTTGGAATAAGAATGATTAACATCAACTAATGATGATTGATACTTGAACAAATAACACCAGCAACCTAGCTTACATAAAATCCCCATCACTCGTCGCCTACTTTTAGGTAAGATGTATAAATGCAAGACAACCACAAAAACCTAGCTAGCTAAGCTAGGAAATAATAACACAACTTGGTACGTACTAAGAGTCATCAAATCGAAGAGATGGTGCATAAGAGAAGACTTATGTAGGTTGTCGACGATGTTAGAGAATGGTATAAGATCGAGCAACTGGTTTATGATATTGTATCAGAGCTGATTTGGTCAAGTGGTCGTGTGTTCGAATCTCCACGACCCCCGATATTAACCGTTGATTAAAGCACATGGTATTGTGGGCCTGTGCAAACTTCAAGCAATGGGTTGACTTTCGTTTGAGGAGGCGTGTTAGAGAATGGTATAAGATCGAGCATAACATTCTCCCAACAACTCGAGTTATTGGGACCAACTGGTTCTTGACAGACGAAACAGTAATATAAGGATCGAGGAGTACTACAATAATGTGATGTGGGTGTGGTCCGAGAAAAGAGTCGATTAATGGTTTCATTTCCAAACAGCCAATTTATTATTATTTACATATTTCGACAGTGTACGTAGTAATAATAAACATCGTCACATGCATGCTTGGTGGTTTACGTACATATACATATTAACCCTTTAGAAATTTGGACCATTCCCCCTTTACAATATTTGCGCGATTTCCCATCACAGAAAGAGACGAAGGTTTTCTTGCTTCAGTCGATCGACTTATCGCTATCGCAGCTAAGTGAGAGTAGACAAATAATTAGAAGCAATGAAACAATCTAGCTAGCTAGTGTTCTTTCTTAGTAAATATAGATCATACGGTAAGAAAAGTGGCATAACGATAAAGTATCAGTTCCAAGCAGGATTGAAATATCGTATCGGAGGTTGTACCAGAAAAAGTTAGCGATAGGATATTTTATGCTAAAATCGTGGTTTAACCATGGTTCAACCACTTCATACCGCTAAATACAGCCTACTGATTTATCCTCTGACAAAAGGGTTTTTCTGATTTCTAACACTCCCTTCAAGTCTTGACTTCACCATTGATCATGGTTTTTGATTACGTACTACCAAAATGGTAATAATGATAAGCTAGGTGCGTAGTAATAATGAAACGAGATGGTTATTTAATACATTATCTACACAACAGACCTAGATAGCCTAGCTAAGAGATCATTATAATCTCCACGATGTGTGGTCCTAATTAAGCTAGAGCTACAACACACACGTTAAATTATAATTACAATTATGTGTCATTTGATTATATATCATAAGTAGACTATAGATGTCTAGGGGCCATCAGTAGGGCCGCGATTTGCGAATGAGCTGAGTTGTTCACGAGCGGCTCGATGTTCGGTTCGAGAAAATCTCGTTCGATACTCGACTCGTTTACTACGAGTCGAGGTTGAGGTAAGCATTGTTGAGTTTGACAAGGTCGCGAGCTAGCTCGTTTCAGTGGCTTTGTTGAACTGATCAATCGTTTTAAACTTATGATATGTCTCAATAATGGAGTGCCGAATTATGAGCGAACCGATCTATATATTATGAGTTGGTTTGTTGATAATTTCATAGGTTTGTTAAGTTATATATATCAAAACAAATGATCAAGACTTTCGGTATATGAACACATATGTATCATTTATAATTTAAATAAAGAAATTGTATATCATATATCGTTTAGAAACTAATTACTATGAAATAACATGAACTAGTTAAAAAATTTTGAACTAATTAATATGATATCAACATAGTATATGAATGAGCGAGAATCGAGCTCGACTGGACTTGCTAATAAACGAGTCAGGCTCGAATTCGACTCGTTTATTAATTAGTTGAGTCCAAGTCAGACAAAACTCAGATCGACTCGGCTCATTTGCAAACCTAGTTGTCAGCCATGTGTATACATGCACCCACTTTTTATACACATTTTCCCTCACTATCGTTATTTAGATAGTTAACTTTATCGTTAGCATAAATTTGAATCAGGGGCTAAAAATCTATGTTTAGAAAATTTGAACCAAGGGGTTGAAAACTACACTAAAAAATTTACATGATTTGAGAGTTGAGGAAGAACTATAGCTTCTCTGCCATACACCGCCAAACTTGATTTATCTAAATATGGCCCTATATTTTTCAGAAACTAGATGCCAAATACATCATCCTAACCTTTTTTCATATCAACAAGAATTTCAGAGACCTAAAAACATCCTAATTTATCAAATACTTAAATAAACGATATTTTCATCTAAACTAATTAATTCCATTTGAAACTAAATTTGTAGGATATATCCATTAAAATTTTGCGAACAAAGAGATTTGGTCATAGTAACATTAAAAACAAACCTATTTCGCCCTTATAAAATAATATTCGTTAAAATTTCAATATTTAATGAAAAACTCGTTAAAAATAATACTTTGTGTCAAACACAAAACACATCAATCGAGAAAAAAAACATCGACATATCACAATGTAAAAATACATAAACGGAGCTCTTCATGATGAAACTAGTAGGAATGAAAATACTCCATTGATATTATTATACTATCTTCTGTTTAAAAATTACATTTGTATTATTGTTTCCCTATCTTGGATACTATATTTTCCCCTATTATAATACCCCAAAATTTGCATTTCCTCCTTACATTGGGCAACATATAATCATGAAAAGAAACATATTAAAGGAAATTCACTTGCAAATTTCCAATCCATATACAAATATGAAATATCACATCTAATAATTAATTGACAAATTAAATAAAGAAGAAAAAGAAACTTTTAAAGTGAAAAGAGTAAGACAACAGATATCACATGATAGAGACACCCACTCTGTTTTTTTTCTTCTTCTTCTTCTTCCTCAAATGAAAAAGCTCCCCTGAAGCAGCTCACTCAGCTCCCCACTGCCACTCTCCTCCCCTGCTTCCGCCGCTCCTTCGATTCCAAACCCATTACTCGGATTCGCACTTGGACTGGGGAAATTACGATTCAGCAGCTCCTCGATCATCTGCAGCGCGATTCTCTCCTCTTCCTCAATTTCCTTCCTGATTGCCGGCACCGGCTCTGCCGCCGCTGTTTCCGAATTGTTGTTGTTGTTGCTGCCGATTGGATCGTCAGTAGCTTGTTTTTCCGGGTGGGTATTGTTTGAAGCTGACGATCGGTTGCCGAGCTGCACGGTCATGACCCAATTGGAATCGGACCGCTGCCCCGCGCGTTTCTGCCAGACCCCGATGTGGGAATTCTCGGTGTCGAGCCTCAGGCAGGTCATCGACGGCGACGGCGTCTTGCTGCACTTGCGGAGCTTGGCGTGTAGAATTTCCGACAGCCCGTTTTTTATTGGGGCTGATGGGGATGATGAAGACGAGGAGGAGGAGGAGGTGGGTTTGGTTTCGCCGTCGGTGGTGGATTGGGTGACGGGGAAGTTGGTCTTGGCGTTCCGGCCGCTCATCAGGATTGCGGCTTGGTCGTATGCTCTCGCAGCTTCCTCCGCTGTCTCGAATGTCCCCAGCCAGATCCTCCGTTTCCTGCCAGAATTGGGAAATTTAGGGGCTATGTGAATGGAGTGTGATAACAAATGCACGCATAGTGTTTGACGAAATGTCGCTTACAGTAAAGGGTGTCGAATTTCGGAGACCCAAGAGCCCCAATGACGCTGCCTGACGCCTCTGAACTTCCTTGATTGCACCATTGGGCTGTGATTTTGTTGGTGGGTTTAAGGGGGAGAGAACAGGTGAATGGAAGGTTTCAGTTTTGTGACAGGAAAGTACAGGGAAGTTCAGAGTTTCACAGAGAATGGGGAAGGCTGGCTGGCTGTTCAAAGTACAGTAATGCACAGGAAGAGAGAGTAGACAAAGGGAAGGTAATTATAGAAAGGCAAAGCTGGGGAGGTTAGGATTATGATGACGATGTTGAATGATGATCAATGAAGGGAGAAAAAGGGGACGGCAGAGATGGCAGAAAGAGGTTAGAGGTTAGAAGAGGACGGTGTCGGCTAGCTAAAAAGTTCGTACTAGGTTAGCTGGTATTTAACAGCCTTCACCTACACGGTACACACTCTCTTCCTTCTCTCTACAAAATTTCAGAAAATGGTGATGAGTAGAAATTTTGTGATTGCTAGAATGCACATTTGAATCAGATACTTTAGTCATTAGACTATTGACTTAATGGTGTCTGAGAAACGACAATGACTTTAAGGTGATCAACTCGTATCCCGTAAATTTGTAGCAATTCTTTCATTTTCTTTTAATGTAGATTGTGTAGAAGTAATGAAGGACGGAAAACCTATTGAATTTAGATGAACAACATGGTTGATGTACATAAAGTTACAAACTTTAAGGGCAAAACGTGAACTTTCATTGGATGGAAGGCTAAGAGAGGGAAACTATAACAAGGGGTTAAAGGGAATTGAGACTTTTACCTTTAGGCTTGACCTTTCTTGGGTATCTTCCTTTGTCTCTTAAAGTTTGCTAACTGTGAATGTACCATGACAAACTAGCAACATAAACGCAGGGATGGAAATTTCTCACTAATTGTACTATCAAAATTAGTTATCTTGTCCTATTGAGAAAAGGGGAGCCTCTCTTAGTGTGGGTGTATTATGAGATACCGAGTGATGGAGAAATATTGTAGGGCACATTGGGAGTGGCCTACGCCCAATTACTGAAGTGGTGGGCGACTACATTTCCTTTCTCCCCATGGATGGTTAACTTCACAGGCAAAATCTCGAAACAGCCTTTGTTCCATTGGCTTATTTGTATGCCATATGTCGATATAATACGCGTCTGAGCTACATGTGTCGTCAATTACTTGATCTTCGAGTTATGTATATATGAAAGACTTCTCTTTGCAGGAAACCGCGCTTCATGGAGGTTCAACTGTTGTTTCCACCTGTCGAAGCTATCCCAGAAGTAGAGTCAAATCATTGAGCAGTAAACTGAAGAGCTAGCTAGAGTATGAACTATGATTGTCTATGAACTATGAACAGGTCTGCAGGTGTGATTAGCCGATCCTAGGGGCCATGAGGGACTCTGACAGAATAGGCCACTTTTCTGTGGACTTTTCCTATTGAGTTCAAGGAGTTGTTCGGTGAAGAAGTACGAGTTAGTATACATACTGTATACAGGCATCCTGACCGTATATGTGTCGGCTCAGATATTTGAGAACGGTATTGTTGGTAAGTGAAGGCTGCAGGCTGTTAAATACGTTTCTTCTTGTCATGTCAAAGCCTCTACCTAAGCTCATTGGTGTTTGGTAGTGTTGATACATACGTGTCCTCTGGGCTCTGCAATTTCCTTTTCTTGACTTGACAGGAGATCTTCACGTGGCTCTCTCTCTGTCCGAGTACTATATGTGCATACTTACTTTGTAGGTTGGAGATACTGCACCTGTTATGTGTACATGAAATGTAGTATTATGTAGTTAATACAGACGTTAGGGTTACAATAGTAGTATTATGTAGTGTGCACATGAGATGGAATATGATCATAGCTAGAGCTAGCAACAAGTGTGTTGTAGAATATGTGGAGGTATGCGGTTGGTGTCTGGGACTACATTGAGCACACACCAAGAGTGTGGAATGTGGTAAGCGATAAGTCGATACGGTTTTCGAAGAATACTCAGGTCGGTCATATGCATGGACTCTCCCAGATGACTGGTTACAATATGTTGCTATTTGGAAATACTGCAAAGGCGCGGGTCGATTCGAAGAATATTCAATTGTCTGTCAATGGTGAGACCCATAACACAAAATCAAAACCCCGCCCAGTGTGACACGCTATCGAGCAACATGACTGCGTGCATGCATAAAGTTCATATTTTTTCCTCCGGCTCTTATGTTATGACAGACTGCTAATCGATGTAGAAAGGTGCCGACGAGATGAACTACCTTAATCATGTGATTCATGCTAGATTCAGGTCACATATTTGATTAGCATCATTTTCACGTACAACAATGCTAATACATAAGTTTATCCAGTCCGTATCAAGTAAGGATTTTCTAGCATCATGCTTCAAAACCCATGAAAAGTATATCAATCAGCTTTGAACATATAATAACAATGAAAAAACGACATTATTTGCCAAATAAAGTGTTGCATTTTTGTATCAATCGCTTCCAAACAACCTCCCACCCAAACACACTAACCATAACTAACTAACTAACTAACTAACCACATCACAATCACAAAAATATTATATTAGTTAGAAGGTCCTTTTCCCTTCTTTTCATTTGAAGCATGCATCTTTATGTAGTCCTTTTTCTTTTTGGTAAGAAGAAGTAGTCCTTTTCTTGTAATCATTAATTTTCAATAAAAATTGAACTATGGTACTTAAGTGAATAAATTATCTTTTTTCCTAATAAAAGGCATTTGCATAGAGGTTGAATTGTTTTTTCTTATGACTTAGAATAGAGGGTAAATAGATCCCAAAGCAATCCAGTGGCCTTGTATGAATCGAGACCAAAATTTGCAAGGAGGATGAACTAGAAATAAAAAAAAGAATTATACAAATTTTTATGATTAAATTCGAGCCTTAGAGAGTTGTACTAATAGCTCACATCACAATCACAAAAATATTATATTAGTTAGAAGGCGCCAATACATAATTTAGGTACCAAAATGATAAAAAGACTTACAATTTAATTTCGTCACGAATATTTGACCTAATATAAAGTTTATGCACCATGATGACCAAACCAAGAAAGTTTAAGCATCGAATTGTTCTTCTTGCCTTTTTCCCGAAACTAAATTGACAAGCAACTGCAATTCAAACCTGCAACCGCCATTCAACTCGATTCTAAATTCATAACCCGCGAGATTTCCATCCGACTCAAACACGATCATGACTGCGAACTACTCACCGATTTCCTTCTCCGGGTTCCCCGAATTCGACCTCGCCAATCCCCAATTCGCCCGCCATGTTCAAGGACAAGCTTACCGATGACCTCTCGGATCGGAAACCTAACCTCGGGACGTTGTTCGCGCGAGATCTGACGGAGAAATCGGTCGCCGGAGGGGGAGAATCGGGAAGCTCGCCCAACGGCGTCGTCGTGCATCGGCCGGGAGAGGAGCTGGAACTCATCGAGCCAAATGGGTCTTTAGATTTGGGGGAGAAGGGAAGTTGCGGCGGTTATGATTCTGCCGAGAGGATTGCCGCGGCGGAGAAATGGTCCGATCTTGAGCACGAGGTGAGAATTTCCACAATTCCCCTAATAATTATAAAACTGATTATGATTGATTTTGTTTATTTTCTAATGTAAACTTCTAATTACTCAGCTTTCCCAGGAGGAGATAAATTTGGAGAAATTGAGGAGGTTTGCTTTCACAGGGCTTCCTAATGGAGGTGGAATTAGGGCTACAGCTTGGAAGGTAAGGCATTGCTTTTTGTTGGTTAAATGTTCGATCTTTTCATTAATGATGTTACGAAGAAGGGTAACTGTATCAAATCTGAATAGAGGGATCCATTTTCGACCGATTTCGTGATAGTAAGATGGTTGTAACTGTATCGATGAAAGAACTTGAGTGCGATTAGTTGCACTCATCGTAAATAAGCAAATGATTTAAAGGGTTTTGAAGGAAAGCTACAATACACTGCAACTTTAGCAACAACCAAGCAGGCAGCCATTATCAAGAACGAAGTCCCTTTCGCTATTAAACATTTTGGTCTGTAAACTGGTAGTTGGTTTTGTGTTGCCCCATTTGAAGGTTCCAAAAGGCCGTCACTTTCATTCATAATCATGGCACATGTGTGGTGCAATGATGTAAGTGTCTGAATTGTGTGAAATCTGTGAGACATTATGATTTTGAAGAGGGAAGGAAAACCCAGCTTTCAATTCATAATCATGGCACATGTGTGTGTTCAATGATGCCAGCTACTCTTGGATTACTTGCCTCGGTCTCAAGACTTGTGGGACAAAGAGCTTTCGGGGAACAGAGAGAAGTATGCCAAGTTAAAAGAGGAGTTGCTTCTGACTCCTGTAAGTGGTTGCTTGGCCATTTAGATATATACTTAAATGCTTGTTATGAAGCCCTTTCTTAATTTTGAGATGTTGAATGTAGACAGTCGGAGCTTTGGAGAGAGAAAGACGAGACTCTGAATGATGAAGCTGATGTCGCTGGACAGCTTCAGCGGCATAGAATTGAAGATCACCCACTTAATGATGTCAAGGCTAGTGTTTGGCATCAATACTTCCAGGTTAGATCTTGATTTGTTCCACTGTTTGTTTGGAATGGAGAATTCTCCGGGGGGGCAATCGTTTGAAAATCTGTTCGTCAGAAGCATGGAGAGATTGCTGAACAGATCGATCGAGATGTGGATAGAACTCATCCTGACTTGAACTTCTTCTCAGGAGATTCATCATTCAGTAGGAAGAACAGGGTGTGTGTGTGTGTGTTTTCTTGCTCCTGACTTGGTTATCTGTTGTCCAGCTTTATGGTTTTTTACCATTAGTTAAGAACTCTTACTTTTGTGCAGGGAGCAATGAGGGACATTCTTCTGCTGTTCGCAAAAGTGAACCCAGCTATTGGTTATGTGCAAGGCATGAACGAGGTTTTGGCGCCCATTTTCTATGTTTTTAGTACCACCTATGATGAGCAAGATCTGGTAAAAGTTAAAGCATAAAGGCTTCTTCTTTGTTTGAAGCAATAAATAGTCTCTCATTCATTTTGTCTGGGTTTATGCTTTGTCCAGGCAAATGTAGAAGCAGACAGTTTTTACTGCTTTGTAAGGTTGATGAGTGATTCAATCGATCACTTCTGTAAACACATGGACAATAGCCCTGTTGGCATCCTCTCTACACTATCCAGGTTAATGGAGTTGTTGAAAGCTAACGACGAGGAGTTGTGGTGCCATCTTGTATACACAAGCAAGGTCAGCTCTATGAGCCTAAGAGAGTTGGATCCATAAAAATCCAACTTGAGGAACTAAAGATGCAAATGTTGATGGAAATGATACAGGTGAATCCTCAGTTTTATGCATTCAGGTGGATAACTCTGCTACTGACTCAAGAATTCAAGTTCCAGTCCATATTGAGGATTTGGGACTCTCTTCTGAGTAGTCCATTTGGGATCCAGGTCTCTCTCTATCTCTCTCTCTCTTCATCTTGATCTCTCCCCAAATCGATTTTCGATATATTCTCAACAGTTGCGTGTTGTGGTTGTGAAGCAGGATATGCTGCTGAGGATTTGTTGTGCAATGTTAGTTAGCCTGAGGAGTAAGCTTCTGGGTGGGGATTTTGCAGCCAACCTGAAGTTGTTGCAGCATCTCCCTGATGAGATCGACATAGAATACCTCCTCCGAGTAGCTCGCGATATCGGTCCAGATGGTTCAGCTCTGCATTTTGATATGTAACCTGGATGTTCTGTATCCAAGGAATTTCAGATGAAGAAAGCAAGTGACACAAACACTAAGAACTGTATGAAGACAGGGTCTGCACCATTTAGCTTTTCACATTTTGTTCTGCAGACAAGGTTGGATAAATTCTCCAATAGGAGACAATACACGTTTTTGGTGGAATTTTCGTGTGATCAATGCATCATCACTTTTAAGAAAACTAGTAAACAATGTTATTCGATTCATACATCTTCAAACACATTCAAATGTGGGTGTTTGATGTATATAATTTGTACTTCCATTTCCATGATATTTCATCGAGAGCTCCGTGACAACAACTACAAAACACAGAGGAACTTGCAAAATGTTTTTGGTACTACTCCTACAGCAACTGTTCTAGAGATCTAAATGTAAAATTTGATGAGATTGTTTATGATTTGATTTGTCTATCATCTCGTTGGACAATTATTTCAAGATTAGGTCGTAAGGGTCGTATGATTGTCACCGTCCAACATGCTAATGATATTGGTATAACATTATTTTTATGCAATAGCATATTTTTATCTGTACGATATTTTAACATACAAAATTATTTCGAAAACTGTATTCTACCGTCACAGAATGGTTGACAACAATCATACCACAAAATATCCTATGAATTTGATATGGCTTCCTATACGATTTCACAACCCTAGTTTCAGGCTTTTATGGCTTCCTCTACTTCTGCTTATTTAAATTCCTGCCACTATTCTTCAAGGACCAGGATACCGTACCGGACCGGCCGGTCGAACCGGAAAAACCGGAAACCGGAGGTAAACCGGCACAATAGAGCTTTGTACCCTTCAATAACCTGCCGGGCGGTATTTGCGGTTGGACCGCAATGGGCCGAAATTTCGGCCGGTTCAAAAAAACCCAGCGGTCCCTTCATTTTACACAAACGGCGCCGTTTTAATGAAAAAAAAAAACGGAAGGCAAGGGAAGCAGAGACGCAAAAACCATACCTTCCTTTGGCTGGCCCTGCTAACGCCCTCTCTGCCTCTCGTCTCCCTCTCCCAGCAGCGCCGCTCTGCCTCTAGTCTCCCCGCGCCGCGCCGCTCTGCCTCCCCAGCAACCGGCGATCAACACCACCGGCGACCGCGTCCTCCCCAGCAACCAAACACCATCGGCAACTCGTCCTCCCCAGCAATCGAAGGCATCGTCGTTCACAGCCGCGCCGCGCCGGAGGAGAAACCGAGAAAGAGGAGCTTCGTTGGTCGTTCACAGCCGCGCCGCGCCGGAGGAGAAAGAGGAGCTTCGTTGGTCGTTCACTGGCTGGTTTCTTCCTCCTTCCGTCTCCCGCGGCTCCAAATCCCTAGTGGCGGTGGTGGTGTAGCTGTACCAGCTTCGTTGTCTCCGCCGTCGACGTCGTGCCAAGGGAAGAGATAAGGATTTCCTACCCTGCGTTCTTGTGCCGCCAGTGGGACAACCCTGTCAGCGGGATCACCATCGCCTTAAGGTGGAGTTTACTTCTGCTCTTCCCCCTTTCCTTTTCCTCTCATGCACCATACTAAAATCGCTTCAATTGCTGGGTATTCGTTGGGAAGATTTTCAGAATTCGAATTCCCTTCTCCTTGGTGGTAGTTTGATTGCCTTGTCCATTTCCTTGCTCTGATTCCATGTTCTGTTGTGATGTTTGTTTCCAGTATTCATGATTTACTGGCTCAATAGATTAGTTGATCTTAAATCGCGGAGTCTTGGTTGCAATTGGGTGCCTTATAGCATAAATTGGTGTTTTAATCATGTTCCGTAGTTGAGCTTTCATGTAAGAGTTGAACTTCCATATGAGGATCTCCTTCACCATCTTGGCTAGAATTATTTGATAATGAATGCCCAAAACCAATACTCGTTTAGGTTTTACATGCCACTTTGTTGAATGTTCCCGCTTATTTACTCTTTTACGGTTTCTTAGGCGGTATAATCCGGTATTATTCCGGTATTTTCCCGGTATGGTACCCTAATTTTATCGGTACGGTTTTTTAACAGAAAAATAATTTTTTTATTCCAAAAACGGTATTTACCGGTAGGAAACGGTTGAACCATGGTTGTACCATGATTTACCATGCCAAAAACGATTCCGGTTTGATGTCCGGTACGGTTTCGTAATCCATGCTATTCTTTCTTTTCCTACCGCTCCGCTCCTTCCAACTCCGTGACGTGTTAATCGGTTCTTTTCTTTTGGCGCCAGTTTTGAACGTGAGGTTCTGGGTTTTGTCGCAATCAATTCACAGAGCATTCAGCCTTTCTGGTATATTAGGGATGATGGCTACCGAGACTCTGCGATTGGAAATCAAAGAAGGTCGAAGCATGGAGTAAAGGAAAAGAGATGGCGAGTTCGATAGTGCGAGAGATAGGAAATGCAGTGAAGAAAGCCGCGAGGAACAGAGGGAAAGGATGGTACACGCCTCACATGGCTGCTGCAGCATCCGCTGTCGCGGGAAGAATTGATCTTGTTGATGCTGTCATTGAAGTTAGAGATGCTAGGGTAAGTTGGAAGCCTTTTTTTGGCTTTGAAATTGCATGTCCACAACCTGTTTGATGATTTGCCTAACTGAAAGTGTATTAAGGATCTTGTGTGCTTCAGATCCCTTTGGCGTCCGAGTATCCACTGTACCGCCAGCGCTGCCCTTCCAAACCTTGGATCATTGCTTTGAACAAGATGGATCTTGCTGATCGGTCCCGAGTTAATGTACTTAGCTCAAGATCAACTATTTCCTTCTCTGTTCCCTGTTTGATTTTGTTTTGGGAATTGAAGAACTGAATCAAGCTGTGGGATTGTTTTTGGCCTCTTATTGTAGGAGTGGAGCAAGTATTTTGAGCAGCGTGATTGCATTTCTTATCCTGTGAATTCCCATAACAAAGACAATGTGAAGGAGGTCAATTTTCCATTTGCTCAAAGATGCCATCTTCTCTCGCAGTAGCTTGACAACATATAGTCGTTACTTATTGATTTCCATTCAATTTATGTGCAAGCATCTGTTCCTTCTCTCATTGAATGGAATTTCTGAAAATTGGGCGATTGCTATTTTGTTCTGCAGTTCCTTAACGTCCTGCAATCACAAGTCCGAGCATTAAACAAGGACAATCCGGGTCAGACAAGGGTACTAATGATTGTAGGGATTCCAAATGTCGGGAAGTCGGCTCTTGCCAATTCATTGCATCAGATTGGCAGAATAAGTGCTCTAGGTAGCTCTCTTTTCCTGTCTCTCTGCGCCATTTCTCTCTAGTTTACATTTTGAACATCAAGTTTTTGTCTTTATTCGTTTTCCAAGAAAGAGGAAAGTTCAGGTATGCAACGGTGAGTCCACATCCTGGAGAAACAACTGATATCATTAGCTTGAAGGCAAGTAATCTTTGCTCTGATACATCTTGTTGATGAAACAAGGGGAAGGCCACAACACTTTCGCTTTAATCTCATATGTGATATTCATAATTTTGGTGAACCACATGTGTCGAAATTTGGTATTGTTGAAAACTCTAATTATGATGATACTGACCGTAGCATGGATGTAAATCAGAACACGATCTTGGCTTCTTCAGGAACTGCATGGGAACATCCCTTTTACATTCCCCTTTCACTTATATTGTCTTCTCTTTCCAGCTATTCTGGCTTTATGGCTTACTGGGTATGTGTTCTCATTCTATAATGGAAACTTCCAGATTGCTAGCCATCCGAATGTTTTTGTGCTCGATACCCCTGGTATATTGCCCCCTGAGATTCTCGATGTGGGGACTTGCTCCAAGCTGGCTTTAACAGGTGCACTCATTTCTATGATTTTTCCTTCTTCGGTTCTGGGTGCTGATGTAAGTATGCAAAAGATATGAAAAGGCACACATATGTTCCCAATACACATGCTTTTGTTCTTCAAATTCAGGAGCTATCAAGGACTGTTTGGTTGGGGAGGAGGTGCTTGCTCAATATTTCCTCGCTATTCTAACCTTAGGCAGTGAATACAAAAAGTGGACAACTACTGGAAAGGGATGCCTGTATAGTGATCAGAAAACAGACGACTCAAGTGGTCTCGAGTCTGCGGGGAAAGGAAGAAAGCATTCTTTGACCGATCACACACAGGTATGATCATTTACTTCATAAATGGGTTCAGGAATCATAAGAGTTCTTTACCAGTAAACTGCAAGTGAATTATTCAGAGTATTTGTTACTGGAAAGGGCCGAATATAATAGTTTTTGTGTTGCTACTCTTTTGTGTTGGCTTCCTTGAACCCAACCATAGCTGGTGCTATACATGGAGAAGGATATTATATATCAGCACAACCTATCTTCACTTTGAGAATGACATTCCTGTGCTGTGTTCTTGCAGGATTTCATAGTGCATGATGTGCGCCAGAGTCTTTCCAAGGCGATAACGAGTTACGATGGCGACCTGCAGAACGAGAAGGAATTGACAGAGCTCGTTGCGATGCAGTTCACTGCTCTGGAAGAAGCATTCCGCATCCCGGGTGGATTAGGCGATGAAGGTCGCAGTGTCGTCGTAGCTTCTAAAGTACTTAATCTGTATCGTACAGGTAGGCTTGGACACTACAGTTTAGACAATCCTGCGTTTATAGAGTAGTGATTTTGGGAGATAGTTACATTACAGAAAAAAGCAGCGGATTCCAAAAGCACCACCTAGCTTTGTTGCCAAGTTCATCAAAAGCAATCAATGACATGGTGAAGTTGAATGGCTTCCCCATTCATTTGATCCTGAGCATGATGTTCTTTATATAGATGTTGCTTGCTACCATTGCTAACAGTGACAAGTCCCAGTTTTAGACCATCCCAAAAGAAACAAAGAAAACATAATAGCCATTACTTGATAATAGACATTCATCATGTGCATGCATCCAGCCTCCTACCATTTGCTTGTTTACTTGTTGCACCGAGATTTCCTCGTTGAATACCAAAACTTTAGTTAGTCCTCGGGCTTAGGGATGGCAATGGGTCGGGTCGGGGACAGATAGTGCATATCCGTTACCCTACCCAAAGTAGTTTGGGTTTTACCCATACTCATACCCACATATGAAACGGGTAGAAAACTAAAACCATGCCCATACCCGTTCGGGTTTCGGGTATCCACGGTTATTCATGGGTAATGATTTCTCTTCATAACTCCAACTAATATATTAACATTCACACGTATTCTCACATTACGCAAGAGGAAAAAAATGACAATACTTCACTAGAATGAAGAAAATTAATTAAAACAACACAATTTCATGAAAATATTATATTTATATGCTAAATATAAAATATGTTAGAGAAAAATAATGACTATTTCTAGACAAAATATATATGTATGTGTATAATCGGGCAGGTTCGGGTTGGATACTGAGAAACCCATGTCCACCCATTACCCGCAATATTCGAGTTCGGGTTTTACCCATACCCACTAAATGTCCTTCGAGTTCGGATTAGGTAACACAAATTCGTACTCTCCCCAGATAAAGAAAACAATTAATTAATAATTCCACTTCCCCACGATTTTATTTTATAAATAGATTCCCTAATTCCTTGTAGTATTAGGTCTGGTCAACCAAAGGTCACAAAGTTAAACTACTACTTAAAGTCGGATTATCTGTCTTAATTCCTTACTTAAATTCCCTCTCTCGCGCCTCGCCCACACTTTTTATTCAGTCGCTGCTTCGTCTTTCTTTCTTCCTCTGTTTGAAGTTTGAAAATTGAACGATTTCATCAGAAAAATCCGCTGCCGCGACCATGTCCCCGACGCTCTGCTCACAGGGCGCCGTCGTCGCCACCGCCATGGCCGTCTCCGGCACATTCATCCTCCTCGCCCTCCGCCTCCAGAAATCCATCCCCGCCGCCGCTCAATTCCCCGTCCAACACCAAAATCGCCGGCCAATCGTTCTCCACCAGTCGCGATCTCTGCGATCCTGCATCTCCTCCGGTACGCCAAAACTTCTTCTCGCTTTAATTCTCTCTGTTTCTTTCCTCTGAGCTGATTGGAATTTGTTTTTTTTTTTAATTTTTTGAATGAAGACGGGAAGAAGAGTAAGAAGAAGAAGAACAAGAAGGTTCGCTTCGCGGACGACGTGGTGGAGCCGAGGGGGAACGGAGATGAGTTCAGGAAGCACTGCGAGGCCATTGCCGCCGCCAAGATGAACGTCTCGTCGGAATCTTCGTCTTCGTCGTCGCCGCCGGCGCGGGAGAGGGGAATGCCGGAGAACAGACGGGCGCTCTACTCCGCGATCCTGAGGGATCGAGGGGTTCAACGATTGACTTACTCTTGCTGATTCCGATCCTCCGATTCCTCTGTGCATAATTCAATCCCTTTTTTTTTCCCTCTGCCCAAAAAAAAAAAATCGAGGCGATTCTTCCTCAGGTTCTTTTCAGTACCGGAGGAAGTAAGAGCGGGGCCCACATCCCAACAGACGGTAACTTTTAGTAACTGTAACTTTTTTTTCCCTCCCCGTTGGTAAAACTGTAGGGGAAGTGGTGTTTTTACTGTAATTTTTTTTTACCGAGTAGAAGGGAAGTTAGTGTTGGAAACAGATATGAATGTTCGCCATTACTGTGGTGCAGTGCCGGCATGAGTGCCGCCACCTTGTCAGCCGTTGGAATTTCTGGATTAAATCAGGACTATTAATTACAAACCATCACTTAACCAGATTTTGTTGAACCTTTGGTTGAACCTATTTATAATTAAATCTTTTTTATAAATAATATATGTCTCTTACTGATCGGTAGGGACGTTGTTGGGATTGACAGGGCAGCCAGACGATTTCGATGACGGACGGAAGGTGGTTCAGGAATTGTGTAACCATGGATGGGGAAATTGAATCGGCGGTGATTAAAACGAGAGGGGAGGAGCCTTGACGACTATGACGATTTCGAGGGTGTCGGGATTTGGGTAGTGATGGCCGACCAGCGACAATGGTGGTTTATTGGCACAACAGAGACGTGACCTGGCTGCGGCAACTGGGTTGACGACGGTGTTGACATTGATTGCCGGGGATTCGGGATGTGGGTGGTTATGGTCGATCGGCCGCAATGGCGATGGTGATTATGGATTCACGCGGCAGAAACGATGCTGAGAACTGTGACGGAGTTTTCGGGAAGGCCCTTCTGAGGCCTCCAAGCGCGGCGCATGACGCCGAGCTGCTGAAGCGCTCGCTGCTGCCTGAGCTGCTGCTCCACATACCGAAGACGCTGGATGCAGCGGGATGCTGCTTCTGGCTCGCCTAGCTTCCTCCTGATTGCGTCTAATTGGCTGCCGATTGCATCCCGGAGGCTGCGAAACCGCCGAGAGATCGTCTGCAACGCGAGAGCTGTGTACGATTTAGCTACGCCGTTGCCGGCGACCATATCTAGGGATGTGACCAGAGCTTGCATTTGGTGGTAGTACGGGGCTGATGACGCAGCTGATTTTGCCAGACGAAGTTGGGATTTTGCTGGTGAGGTCGATCGACGAAAACAACGTGGTGGTGGAGTGCCGCGACGAAAGGGTTTCCTTGATTTACAATGGAAAGACATGGAAGGGAACGACTGTCCTGCCTTTTGCCTTTTGTTTCTTTTTGTTTTTTTTATGTTTTATTAATTAAATTACTAAACCGGAGTCAACCAATAAATCACCAACTCAACCGGTTACAATAAAGTGGCGGTACTAGTGCAGTGACTGCACCATAGAATTCCCCATGAATGTTTGATCATATTTAGGAAGTGAGTCCATTTTGAGTGTGTGGATCAATTATTGTTAAATAAAAGACTACTCCTCTTTTTATGAAGAAGAACTCATATCCGCGCGGACGTCATATTGGTGACGCTACAGACAGACTAAATAAACTCTGGTCCGTTCAAGATTGAGCGGATCATTAATAGCATGCCTACTGGAAGAATCATGTAAAGAAATTTCAAATGAAGATGATTTTGTTGTCCAATTTAGCTTTTAAGTAGCTCAAAAGGTTGTGTGTGGTTTTGAGTGTTGGGTTGTTGGTATTATTGTGAGCCATGTCAGCAAAGAATTTGAACCAACATATTTATAATTTATTTTCAAGTTTGGGAAACAAAATAAGGGTTTGAGGTTCAATTCCAAAACAATAAAATGCCAAATAAATAATTAAGTGAATTGGAATTAAATACAAACAACTTGCGGGGAGCAGAAGAGAAGAGAAGTCAAGTCGTGTTTGATAGCAATGAAGTTTGAACGTTATTTGGTCAAGATGAGGTTGCTGTGCTTTTCTAGGCACCTAATTGTAAAATTGTGCAAAAGGTTGCATATTTTTACCAAATGCTCATTGTAATTTGTAACCACAATCTTTCTCACTAAGTGAGTCATATTTTGAGCAATCTCTATAATGAGATTCTCAGATTGTGGTGAATTTTGCATGAATGATTCTTGAAAGGCGGTGCATGGAGGTGATCATTTTCAAGTTCTAAGGACGAGTACATGATAGAAGAGCAATCACACCATCGATCGCTCAGCTAGTTTTCGTGATTATTAGATCCATCAGTCAAATCTTAGTTAATCTGTCTGCCTCGCCTTAGATCATTCTGGCCTTGATAGTATTTGGCCTTGATTGCCACCATGCACAACTTTTATCCTCCACTGTTTAGATATTGTCGTTATCTCTTTCGTCTCGTGATCAAAACTAGTAAGATGGTTAGGTGGCAATAAAAGATCGTTTGTGCGAAAAACTATCAATCTAGTCTATGATTCGAGTTGACATTTGATTAGCTAAAATTGTATCATATATCGTTGGCTGAATTGATGTATGTGGTTGAATGATACACTAATCTTATGTCACATTCTAAAAAGTTCTTTCTACGAGTTTCCAAAGCGGCAATGTCATAAACCAGTTGGTCCCAATAACTCGAGTTGTTGGGAGAAGGTTATGCTGGATCTTATACCACTCTCTAACACGCCCCCTCAAACGAAAGCCGACTCATGGGCTTGAAGTTTGCACAGGCCCGCCATACCATGTGCTTGAACACAACTGTTAATATTGGAGGTCGTGGAGATTCGAACACACGACCACTTGGTCAAACCAGCTCTGATACCATGTCAAGAACCAGTTGATCCCAATAACTCGAGTTGTTGGGAGAAGGTTATGCTGGATCTTATACCACTCTCTAACAGCAAAGGATGACCCTTCTTCATCTATCTAGGGTTTTCAATAAAAAGAGCAAAAGCTTTATGCTTTTCACTAACCCCTTGGTTTCCCCTTTCCTTTAGGAACAACCTTTCACTAACTCTCAACCAAAGTATTAAGTTCAACAACACTATATAATAACCTATTACTCGTTGATTTGTGGGGATTGCTTAGGTGCAAATTATTCTGGATGACTCATTGAAAAGTCTTCGCATATTTGCAATAATTTTTCGTATCATAATCAATCCAAAACGATCTTATTGTTCGTGCCAAACTATTAACTTTGAAACTAATTAACAACTCCAATAATATGGTTAAGCAAGTTGTGTTTATTTTGTCCATTACCTACCCACTACTTGTTGATTTGTGGGGGTTTGCTTAAGTGAATCCTTTGGTTAGAAGTGTCAACTATGTGTAGCTACATCTTCACGTTATTAATCAGCCAATTAGTTAAATATTTAACTAACCAAAGTTGCACGCTTTGGTTTCTAATTCGCCGGCAAGTTTCATTTACTCAATAATAAGGTTCTTAAAACCAGCAGTCGTCAGCTACTTGCCCCCCGTTGCTTAATTACGACTGCAAATGCAAACCATATATCCATTGGAAGTACACGCCTTACCACGGTGGTTAACATCGAGTCGAACCGACCGGACCAGTAAAATTAGGAATGAGATATCAAACCGGTTCAGATCAGTTAAGTATTCATACCCTTTTTGAGTACTCGATCGATTGAAAATCGGTTCGAGCGGTTAATCACGCCGACGATATGAACCGGACAGTCGATTTTAAGTTTCCGACTGCCATTTGAAAACTAGTGGATATAGGATTCGAATCCAGGTCCTCCTACTAAAAACACAAGTTGTTTCCCAATTGGGTTCGTTTTGTGTCGATATGCAAACGAAATTTATTATTATTGAGAAGATGATAATATATTTAGTTTAAGATGCTTAAAAGTTGAATTTATGGTTAAAAAAACATGATTAGACTTAAAAGTTTTGTAGGAATACACTAACAATAAATCGTTAATTTTATTTTGGAGAATGTTAACGTTTAGACTTGAGAAATTTCAGTACTCATCTTTGTGTTATGATTAATGTATTTTATTTTGAATTTATATACGGTTCAGTGAGTTATTACTTATTATGTGTATTCTACTTATAATATTCTGGTTGATGATGTACCTGTTCGTTAATGGTTTAATGCCGATTGAACTAGTAAAGTGTGAGCAGCTCGCTACTTATGTTGGGCCTTGTTAAATGAGAGAGAACATATGTTGGGTAGAGGTTTTTTCCGATCCGAGTGGGATTTCCAAGCCCATTATGTTGGGCCTTGTTAACATTGGGCCTCACAAACTCATTTCGTAGTACAGTTTTTGTTAGGAAACTGACAAAACTAGATATTGGGCTAAACATTTGGTCATCGTCCCAGCTAGTGACAGTGAGAGTTTTCAGCTCTCGGTCGCACTGAAAAACCTACAATCTCCCCCATCAGCTGAGCTCGATCGACCTAGTCTCGTCGGTAACCCAATCACAGTTCTTCCCCTGCGCCTGCGGATTCAATTCTCCTATCCGGATCGTCTCTCATCGCCGTCCAGCTTCTCAAGTCCAAAACAGGTAAGTTCTCGTTCCCTTCCGCTATCGCGTCGCTTCTGTCACTGCAAATTTCGCCCTTAGTAGCTCGTTTCAATTCGATTCATATCGCAAGATGCCGCCTTTTCACGTTTTGAGTTTATGGGTTTGCTGAATTTGTTAGTTGCAAGTATGGGTCTATTTCTGTTCGGGGGGGAAATTGTAATTTGCTTTGCTCTGGTGTTTTTCAGCAGCCATGAAGGTGAGATCTTCTGTGAAGAAGATGTGCGAGTTCTGCAAAGTAATTAAGCGGCGCGGGAGAGTCTATGTGCTTTGCAGCTCCAATCCTAAGCACAAGCAGCGGCAAGGCATGGCGACGTTTGCCCATGAAGGCCCCTTGTGCGTATTATCGTCTTTCCCTCGCTCTTTTTAAAGATTGAATTTGCCCTGTCGAATTCACGAGCAGTCGTTTCATTTCAATGCATACGATTGTTTTGATGCTGGAAATAGCAACACTGATTGCATAGCTCTTTCTTGCATAGGAGTAGGAGAGTAGATGCTATATGGAAATATAAGCAGTTATGTTGCTGATAAGGAACTAGGACGATGTAGAACTGTTGTTACTATGTTCTTCATGTCTTTCATTTCTGAACAATGGAGTCGTTAGCGTAGCTTCCGGACCAAGCAATGCAAAGTTGCAGGCAGATGATGTTGATCCTCCAGCTTATGGGCACTTCTCTTGATGTCGGGTTTTTGTTTTACCAAAACTCTGCTGGACTTTAGTAATGCACTATCAAGCGACTTTGACTTGGATCAAAGTTTTCAAATGTAAGGGATTAGGTGGTACTTAAACTGATATGGATCGCAGCCCTCACAGAGAAACATACCGAAATGAATAATTCCATGCTCTGAATGCCTTGCCCTGTCCTTTTGGGCACTATCTGAAGTGTTTGACACAACACAACGGCACTTGATGTTAATCACATACATAGACATCATCTACCAAGTGATTCTCATTAACACCATCTTTGACCACCTTCTTGCCAGGTCTGCAGGGTCTAGTGCAACGAAAGAGATCCCCTCTAATCTTGGCCTGCCGTCTCTCATATCTAAAAAGCACGAGCCAACAATGAAGTCCGTTGCATTTGGATGGAGTGGGAGCCTTGCATCTCTCCTCTTCAGGCAAGCGAAATAAGATACCGAAACAGTCGTTCTAATGGAAGCGCATTGCCCACTATTACTGTCAATACTTAAAAGCCTCCTTTACCTCTTCACCCTGCTGAGACATTGATTCAGTCTGAAATCTGGGGAGTTCTTTATGCTGTTTATCCTGCCACAGCCCTTTCTTCTGTGCAACAGTCTTATGAGAGGGAGATAAGAAAGACGGAGAAGTGAAACTCTACTTTCTACTTCGTATGCTCATGCTTATGAGATTTAGTCAATGGCTGAGGTGTTGTGTGAATCAAGAGAATGTGATGATGTTAGACATGTAGCCATACTTTCACAGTCATCCTGCATAATGGATTCGTTATCATATTCAAGCAATGAAGCAGGTGAAATGATAAGATTGTTATATGATCAGTTTTAGCTGGAATTGAATCTGCAGAATCCTAGTTGCACATGATCTGAACGACGGCTGACTGCTGCAGGCTTGGCGATAACTGATGTGGGCTCGGCTAGTTTGAACCGTGTTTGAATCATTGGTCAACAGGTGGAATCAATGGAAAGGATTTTGATCCTTTAGAAATTTGCCACGCCATGGCTTCTGAAATCGAAAGTAAGTTGTAACTGTGTGGAATGCGAAATTTGAATGATTGGTTGAATTAGTATTGAGAACACAGCAAAGAAGATAAGGTGAGGTGAGGAGGGTCCCTCAATTCACAGCCGAAATTAATTGTCATGCATAATTGAGGCCCCAAAACCTAATGCTTATTCATGAATTTGGCATAGTGGTTCTGCTCTGTTATCATCCATTTTTTTTCTCGACTCCATGTATGAATGATTATGGGGCAGATCGTAGCGGGTATAGTATGATAGGACTGGGTTCAGTTCGAATAATTTATTAAGGAACGTGGGGTCGAGACAGGTCGTCCCATATAATATGAGTATGCACATTAGAAATATTGATTTTCAAGAAACAAACTATAATATGATCAAAGTAGTTAAATTATTCAAGAAATATAGACACTCACATATTACAATTTTATTATAGCTAAAACATGAGATAATTTGAGTAAAACTACATGTAATTTTTGTAAAAAAAAGGTGTAGAATGGGCAGGTCAGATAAGGAGAGCACTCATGTCCGCCCTACCCTGCCTACGGGGTGGGTATTACTCGCTCCAAAACAGGTCAAACAAGTTTGGTTAAACGTGCCAGATCGAAATTGTCGTATATATCTATAAACATTTCTTCCTACAATCCCTGGTATTTGGTATGGTCGATGATTGACTGATGTGGTGGTTGGGTTCTAGAGGCCACCGAGATCCATTCTCCGAGTAACTTCAATCGCCTCGAGTATCAATAGGTTGTCGACCTGGTATGTGGTATTTCAAAGTGTTTGGTCAGAAGGTCATTAGTTGGTTACATGAGTTGGTTACCATACCTAGTAGCTCACAATATTCGCGCTTGACTGATGTACAATGTACGATAAGTCATACACAATCTTCAAGCTCACTAGACTCTCTTATTTGATGATATATAAGCAAATAATATAAAGATTTGATTTTACTTGTTCATCAACAACTCAAATTATTACCACCAATGCATTATTGACCAATTGCCAATAGAAAATTTTCCTCAGCATCAAATTATCATTATAGAGTCAAAATCATCATCCTCGTGAAAGAAAAATGAGAAGATGATAAGAGATAATGAAAAAGAAGGTCTCTCTCACAAAGGATATAATGATAATCATTAATCACTACACCACCTTTGATGTCTCTTTGCTTTAATTTCCTTTTGCCTTATTTTCATGGCCATGGCCTCCCTTCTTTTTTTTCCCTTCCTTTTTCACTTTGGTTTGAGTTTATACAATATTTCTTTGTTGGATTCTCTTGATAGAAAGGAAAGTGTGCATATTCTCTTTTGGACAGAATCAAAGCTAAACTATGCATTATACTTTAAAGAACGGGCCTTCCCTTGTTCATAAACAACTCAATTCGTCACAACTCCTATGGGTTAGTAAGCTCTTTTGCAAGTTGTGGCGGAGCTATGTGTAACTCAATAGCAGATTACAATTTTCATTAAATATTTCGTTATAAGTTGTAAATGTGCATGCATGTGTTCAATAAGCAATACAAAGTAGCGCGAGATGGTGGGCTATTATCTCGTTTCAAATGTTGGCAATGGCAAATTATCCCATGGCATGACCTGCCTGGAACGTGATAGCCTCTGTTACATCTGGGTGCTAAATAGTATATACTTTTTTCAATACTAACATTATCAAAAAAAAAATGTTGGCAATGGCATTGCCACTGTTTGTAGGTGTTGGATACTGGTAAAGAAGTCTCTATAAATAACGTACGAATCACCTATCACTATATACTCATTATTCATGTGCTCGTGGATATACGTGTGCTAGATACCGGTTATTGGTTACAACTAACCAACGAGTAAATGACGTCTGGATAATGTTGGGGGTAGGTTGGTATCCGACAAATACAATGATCTTACCTACCACCATCATTCTTTCAGATGACGAAACATCAAGTCTATTACTCATCTCTATACCCCATATGATGTGCAGAATCAACCTTACGGTCTCAAATTCACTTTTCGATACATGATTCGAAATAAAATACAACGTTATATACTATGTCATCATTGAAAGCTAGCTCCGAGGCGTTCATGCACACACCATCGCAACTAGTTGAACAAACCATCATCTGCTACCAACTACTCGATAATATCACATATCGATGAGTATGATCCATTCCGCTCTCTACGAACCATCAAGATAAGCAAATTTTTACCTAAAACTCATCCAACCCACCCATTTTCTCACCTTAGCAAGCAAAGTGCACGCGAGAGTAGAAAGCGCGTGAAGAGCGTAGGATAGGTTGGCAAAGGGCAAATAATCCAATCCCACGAAGCGCATCCCCACATTACAGACACCTCACTAATCAATTGCTTAACTTCCCCCATTTCTCTCTTTTTCCTCTTCTTCTTCCTCGCGATTTTTGATTCACTTTAATCACTCGCTCCAAAACCCACTCCCCATTCATCTCTAGCCAGAGCAGCCACCACCACCATTCTATTCCCCACACGCCCTCTCAGCGCCTTCCCCAAAAGTTGCAGACAGAAAGAACCCAGTAGTAGCAGGTTGCCATGGTGGAGAACAGAACAACAAATCAACGCTACCCATTTCCAATTTCAGCATAAAGTCGATTCCTTTTTTGCAGCTTTTCCTTCTCCCGAATTCGTACCCGGTTCCGATTCGATGATTGGGTTGTCTCGTGCTGTTGATTTCTTGATCAAATGGTGACACTTAGTAACGCCTCTGCTTGCTCTTGGATCCGTCACTTTCTCGATTGTATGGGGTAAGTGATTTCATGTTCTTCTTTTCTCCTTCTTCTGTTTGTTCTGAGTTTTCTTTTGGCTGAGTAAAAATATAGTATTTGGTCCTTGTTTCCTGGGTTTTGGATTTCTGGAATCCAGGTGAGATTTTTGGTCCTTGTTTGTGTATTGGGAGCATGAGTTGGGATTGAATAGAATTGTTGTTTACTTGTTTTTCTAGTTTAGGAAAGTTGGCTTCAAGAGGGGAGACAATCTTTGCGGGAGAAAGGCTGAAATTGCTGATTTCAATCTGATAGAGATTATTTTTCTTTCATTTTTATTGTTTTCCTTGCCCCCTAATTTATGAAAGATTATAAATTGTTTAATGATCATGTCATTTGCTTGGCCATTGAAGTGTTTATAGCCTTTATAGGTGGATTGGTTAAAGTAGTAGTGGTTGTAAAGCAAATATAATAATGGCCTCCAAGGACTGGAAAATTTCCTCACCTGATAGAGATGGAATTCCTAACACAACCAGTACATAAGAAAACAGGTAGAGAATTGTTGGCTCTATAGTGTAATTAATGCCTTCAAGTCATGTCTAGGGGACATCAACTTTCCATTAGAGTGTATGTAAGTCAATGGGATGGCTTGATTTTTGGATGGGAAGATTGAATGCTTTACCTGTTTTGTTTATTTGAGGTCAATCTGATTTAGGTCTTTTGATTGTGTCCTTAAATCTGTTTTTCTTTTTGTCTATGACATGGAAGTTGAACAAACACCAATCTGTCCATTTCCTTTTCTTATCTTCTAATTATATGGTATTTGACTATTTGCCACTCCACCAAGCTTGTTTGGGAACAAAAGGAAGCCAGTTCAATGAATGTGAAATTTTCTGTCTTCTATACATTTCAATCCTCTACAAGTGGTCTAGTTGCTTCCCACACGGTTTCCGTTACTGGTTTCGGTTTCTAACCTGGTTTGGAACAGAACAGTGGTTGTTTTGGATGCTGCGGGAAGCCCACACCGATAATCGCTGTGGACGAGCCAGCCAAAGGATTGAGGATACAAGGCCGGGCAGTGAAGAAGCCTAGTATATCTGAGGATTTCTGGAGCAGCAGCACCTGTGAGCTCGATAATAGTGCTATGCAATCTCAAAAAAGTGTATCTTCAATTAGTGCTTCAAACCCCAACACTAGCAGTGGTGGCACCATGAGTGGCAGTACAACAGACTTTGTGAATCATGGTAACTAACTACAAATCTGTTTTACTTCACTCTTCCAAGTTTACTTCCATTACTCTTCTGTGTTGGTCAAAATTCTGAATCCTAGACCTCTTAACTACGGCTCATTGAATGCGTGCGTGCAGGTCTGCTTCTGTGGCAGCAGGGCAGGCTTCAATGGACTGGGAGTGGTGAGTCTACCAGCAATCAAACTCGTCAAACAAGTGGACCACAGTTGAGGTAACCTTTCCCTTGTTGCTGATCAGAGTTTGTCTGTGCTTTTTTGGAAATGTTAGGAGCTGAAACTTTATGTTGAATGAGATGCCACTTTGTAAACAGTTGCTTATTTCTACTCTATTAAAGCTTTATTGATTGCTGCCATTCTCGTGTTGGTACTGGTGGACCGGTGGTTGTTCATCTTTCGTTGGAATCATTCGTCAAATGTCTTCATCTCTGTGATGTGCTGTGTGATCATTGTACTCTACATCATTTAGATGCTTCTGCAAAATAGGGCCAAGCTGATGCATTATTATTATTATTATTATTTTATTTTTATGAAGAAGCTGATGCATTATTTTTCCTGCACATCCAACCGTCTTCTAACATCATTGTTCAAATCATTGTACCGAACGATTTGATGCTTTCGGATTGACTGTGTTACAACAGATGATGTGTTTCCTTCCATTTGTAGCTAGCAATTACCCTTTTTGTATTCACAGCAAATCAAAGAAATCCACCCCCACCTTCTCAAATTCACGTTCCATTGTCTGTTCTTAATACTTGATTTAATATCCAGTTGGAATGCAACTTATGAAAGCTTGCTTGGAAGCAGGAACCCTTTCCCCCGGCCTGTCCCGCTCTCTGTAAGTCCTTGACCTCCTGAGTAGTTTTTTTCTGCATCTCTCCTTGTAACGAGAATCATTTTCCGCTTCTGTTTTTCTGTTTCAGGAAATGGTAGATTTTCTAGTCGATGTATGGGAGCAAGAAGGTTTGTATGACTGAATGAAGAACAAACAAAACTGCTCAAGTTTAGAGATGCTTCAGAATTGTACATGTATTTCCCCCCTTAAACAGTCCCCATTTCTCTAGTAGACTTGTGTAAATAGTTTCTGATAAGAAACAGTTGAGAGGTAAAAAAGAGAGCTATTGAGAAAAAGGAAAGGGCTTAGCAAGCAACAAGCCTTTTCCCACTTTAATATTGTTTCTGTAATGTTTGATCTTGCTAGTTGATATTCACGTCGTTGTGTTTGGTACTTGGTAATCTACTCCCACCAAGAACTTCTCTTTCTCCCTTACAAATCTTGTAAATGTGGCCATGGAAACAACTGCATTACTCTTCTTTTATAATTCATCGATCTTAATGTCATCTGATGGATGCATGTATTCTTCATTGAAGGATAAGAGCAAAACACAACAACAGTTGAAAACAAACATCAAAAGGAGAATGAAGAACACAAGAAAACACAGTAAGTAACTGCTCTTAAGCCATATTGCTGAACTTGTCGACCCTCTTCATCTTGGAGAAATCAAACTTCTTCAGCAGCTCCTGCTGCTGAATCTCGTCGCTCGTAGGGCGGCCCATCTCCTTCTGTCGCTGGTCGAACATCATCTTCTCCACCGTCGACCTCAACTCCGGATCCAAATCACCCAGCCTGCTGGGCTCTGGCTCCACCTTCTGGGTATCAATCTCCGGCCCTCCCTTCACCAGCGACTTCCACCAGTTCCTCTCGTCGGATTTCGTCAGCAGAACGGACACCGTCTTCTGATCCTCCAAATGCCAGAATGATTCGTCAACTTTCACCGGACCGAACAGCTCTCCTTCGATGATGATCATAGCTGGCTCACCCTTGAGCCCGAGCTTCAGAGACTTCTTCTTGATCTCGCACGTGATCTGCCTCGATTTGGTTCCGGTGGGGACCGGAGCGGTGATACTTACTTCCTGGAGGCTCTGCCCCCAGGAGTACTTGTCCATGTCGAGCCCATTGGCAGAGTTTGGAAGCATAGTGGAGTTCCCCTTCTTCTCCTGCTCACTTGGAGGAGTAGAATTCGTAGTTTCTTCGATGTCGGAGATGATCGCCATGGCTTCAGCTTCTGCAATTGGAATTGATTTGTGTGAAGGCTGGGAATGGATTGGTGAAACTTCGAAGGTGCTGTATTTATAGAGAAGAATCACGGCGATTGGTCTTGGGGAATTTCGGTTTCCGGCTCGGATTCGGAATCCGTATCCTATAAGGATTGGATATTTCTAATCCGCCAGTTTCAGTAATGGGCCGGCCAATGATGATATTTTAATATTTTTGAAACAGAGCATTCTCTCATAAACACTGGGCCCTATTAATGTAGCCCATCTTTCATCAAACACTGGCCCAATCCATGTAGCCCATCTGGGCTCTTCGGATGAAGTGAAAAAAAAAAAAATTTAATATTTTGGTGGTAAGATTAATTAAGCCGAACAGAAGAAGGTTTAGTCAGTGGCTTTATAAGATGTTCTTCCCCAATTCTCGTCGTCGGCGACAAACCTACAACCACCGTATCTTCTCTCCTCCGGCAGTGCTGCCATGGCGACCGAGATCTGCAATTCCGATTATGAGCCACGACCCAGTAGTAAGAAACAGCGGGTCCGTTCTCCCATGATCAATCAACTTGGGGAAGATCTCCTCTTAGAAATTTTGATTCGCCTCCCTAACCCTAGATACGCCTGCCTGAGCAAAGCCGTCTGCAAGCGCTGGAGGTCTCTGATCTCCAACCCTAGCTTCAATCGCCGTTTCGTTTCTCACCACCAGAGCATCAGCGAGCTGCGGCCGCCTCTGCTTCTTCCCTCAGACGACCCGGAATCCATCATCCAGAGCTTCGTCCCCGCGCCTCCTGGAGTGCGTCTGGTAGTTTTGGATTCCTGCGGTGACCTGCTCTTGTGCGGCTTTCCTGGGGATGCTCGTGAACACGCCATTAGATTGTACAGATCGTACATTGTCTGCAATCCGTTCACGAAGCAATGGCTCCCGCTTCCTCTGCAGCCTCTGTGGCCGACCGGGAGCTCGGGATTGGTTGCGAGGTTAGTTTGCGAACCCCGTATTTCGAATTGTCTAGATCTTGGGGATGGGCAGGTGTCTGTGTATTACGAGTATCGATTCCGGGTGGTGTGTATGTACAACCATCTGAATGCTCTGAAGATGGACGTGTTCTGTTCCGAGCGTAGAGAATGGATGAAGGAGGCTGTCTCTGTTGATGCCCATCTCAAGTTCCATTTGAGAAATGCAGTGTGTTGCAATGGGGAGTTGTTTTGGTGCTACCTTGACACCCAAGAGGAAGAAGCTGGCTTGTATAATCCAAGGCTTGCTGTGTTCGATCCTTTCCGCCTGGACGTGCCTCCCACTTATATCGATGCCTCGCCTCTCTTTGCGAATCCGTGGTGGGATATTTCCGTCTCGAATGGTGCCTTGCACGTATTTGTACTCGAGTAAGCACCCGAACCTGGTTGTTCGAGGGGGATCGCCTCGAGCGTGTGGAGATTGGAACGAGACCGGTGTTCTTGGAGGAAAGTATGTGAAGGGGTGTTGAAGACATCAAGTTGCGATCATCGTCAACATGTTTGGACACGGGGGGACGAAGAAGACGGTAAAGATTGGATGTTGAACATATCAAGGTTTCGTAACTATGACCTTGGTGTTAATGATGCTCCATTCCTAGATGCATTGGAAAGACCAGGGTTGCTCGAGACATCGAGGTGTAACTATGAACTCGAGAGCATCCGTTACTCTTATCTGCATCCAGAGAAGCCAGAGATCGTCTTCTTTCATCATTTTCCTTGTGATTCTGGGGAAGCCGCCGCTATCTTGTCCTGCGATTTGAGGAGGGGTGGTGAGCTAGAGTTTTACTCTGAACTAAGAGTGCATGCTCCTCGTTGGGCGGTCTTCGTGTTGAAGGCCCCTTGCTGGCCTACTGTAATTCCAAGGTACGAGGAATTGCTCGAGTTGTATTCGGAGGAGGAATATGAAGCTTTTGGGTTCGTCGGGAGCTGCATCGAAAACTCCTTCAGTACTTGGACCAGTGACTCCCTCAATAACTGCTACTTACCTCTGCTCAATCTACTTTTTGATGAAAATGAGTAAGCTAGGAAAGCTGGTACATGTCTCTCGTCTTTTGTTATGTTTGCAGCCTTTGCTCTTTTGAGCTGAACTTAACCGGGAAGAAGAAGAAGCTGAGATGCAGACACTGTACAACTATATATTCGCTCCATTTCTGTTTGTGGTCTGGTTTATAATCCTATCTCCCATCTCGCTTATGTTTTGATTGCTGAACCGGCAGAATTACGCTGACTGGGCGTCGGAGGGACTGCAGATCATACTCAACTCGTATAAGTTCCATTCATATTCTGAAAAAAATTGTAAAATACATTTGGTGTTTACACTACTCAACAAATTTGTCTTGGTATTTTCTACAATGCAATCATTCACGAATTGAGGCATATTGGACTTATAAATTTGTTATTGATGTAACTCAACCTGGAAAAAACACTTTCAACATTTTTCGTACAACCATAAAATTAATACAAATTAAGGGTAGCTTGTAATTAGATTAATTGTTAGGTTTTGAAAATAATTAAAGATAAAAATTTTTTGGGGTTTTCTATTACATAGTGTTTAGAATAGAACAACAAAAAAGTTGTAGCCTAATGAAAAATTATATTTATTAATAATAGTAGTGACGCGAGTTTGAATTACACAAACTAATGGGATAAAAAGGGATGGTGTTCAAGTCAACATGGTATTTAACTGTTAGGTTTTGAAAATAATTAAAGATAAAATTTTTTTGGGGGTTTTCTATTACATAGTGTTTAGAATAGAACAACAAAAAAGTTGTAGCCTAATGAAAAATTATATTTATTAATAATAGTAGTGACGCGAGTTTGAATTACACAAACTAATGGGATAAAAAGGGATGATGTTCAAGTCAACATGGTATTTAACTAATTGTTTACTCTCGAGAATTGTGACATTGTTGTAAGAGGAAGACGTTTTTTCCCCCTTCTTTAGGGTAAACCAATGTAATTTCATTGAAATCAAGTAGAGAATGCCTCATGGGCTACAACATCAGCTTACCACTCCGTGGTAAAACAATGTTCCCAAACTACAATTTCTTCACTATCCATTACAAAAATGAGCCAATTTATGAGCAAGTATTGTTCGTTCCCCGGAATGCAAAACTCCATTTTCTAATGTCAAGATCTGAAGTGACTTCCCTAATGGGCAATACTGTTTGCAAAATTTTGGATAGATATGATACGAGTCAATCGAAACTAAAAAAAACATCATGGTGAATGAAAAATGTTGGGTTCGATAAGTATATACTACGTACATTAATATTGTATATATGTTCGATCTTGTCATTGTATAATCACATAAATAACGATTACCGTCAGTCGAAATACAGACAGTGAAGACATGTGTAGAGCTCCGGCCGGCGGGGTTTTCAGGGAGTGCGTGTTGCAAATTTTGACCAGCACCATTGCATTCTTTGTTCGTAGACTAGTCGGTAAATTAATTAAAGGCATTTTATGATGTCACAGAGAAGACATTTTTTATATATAATAATGTAGTAGAATTAACCATAATTAACTAATTGAGATTAAATATTTAAAATTAGAGATCTGGGCAGACCCCAACAAATTCACGTCAACTGATCAAATCCTACAACACGACCAGAAACCAAAATCAATCTTGGTTGGCCCAACCAAATCGAATATATATAGTTTTTGCTTGTGGGGATTTGGTTGAAGAAGAATCCCGATAATCCTAATTTTTACACGGGCAGGTGCCGTGATTTGTTTCGGTTCGATCGTATCTCTTTGATCTTTTCCCATTCCCAAATATCCACCCACCCACAAAATCTTCCTTGGTTTCTGTTCTTTGGCTTGTTGTTATCATGCATGGCATGTTATTAATAAGGATACGTGCTCTCTTGATTTGCTTTATCAATCTCTTGATTCATTGCTCGAGCAGATGTACTCGTGTATAAGATTCATCATAATCTTCTCTCAACAACTCGAGTTATTAATAGCAACTGGTTTATGACAATATTGACCAAGTTGTTATGGGACAATCCAAATAACACATCGAAAATACAAAGGAAATGATCCTTGTAGATTAGTATCCGGCCACCTAGCCCAATTTGTACGAGGTATTTTGGGGAAGACACCCAAGAGTAAATCCGTGCGGTTTTGGCCCAAAGCGGACACGCAGATGTATATCATATACTTTAGTCCTTGCCATACATGTATGCATGTTTACACAAACAAACAAAAAAAATTAACTATGGCATGGGTTATTTATAGGTAATAAACAACTCGATTATTTATAACGATTTGTCTTAATTGACGGATTGGATCATGTTTTTTTGTTGTGTGGATGATAACTGAATGTGAGATGACCATTTAGTGTACTCCGAGTGTCATCCAATATCATCAATACTATCCAACTCTTAAATAGATAGTGTCATCTTTTATTATTATAGCATGCATCCGATTCATAAGTGAATGATACATACTAATTAACATCTTGTATACCATCCAATTTGTTAAATAAATGGTACTATCTAACATCATGATTATCATCCAACATACTATAAAAAAAAATCTTTTTATGGTACGTAACGAATTGTTGTCGTGACATGGTGACGTGTCAAGGTATCTCACGAAAACTCGTTACCAAAAGTGATAACCAACTCACAAGAAAAATTGAACAACGTTATTTGAAAAGATGGATCATTTTTATTTCCAGATACAATTGCAGTATTAACAAGTTTTAATCTTTAATGGAGCCCCATACTCTTGTGTAATCTGTTTGCAGGGATGGGCCGCCATAATCGATCTTGATCATCGATTACATGTTCATTGCATCCGTTTGATGTGACTTAGCAAATTGTCGTGAGTTCAATATGTAATGTGGAGGAAGTAACAAGTAGGGCTCTCGGCTCTGGTTACAGTGGCGGAGTCAGAACTGTGAGCGAGGCAAGGTCAGAGATATGAAACTCGATATCTATTTTGGATTCTGACGCGGTCGGTGTAGGGGTTAGTGTCTTGCTAATTGTTATATGTTTTTCGAATGTTGTTGTATCATGTAGAGAGCTATCTTGTGACAGATAGGCTTGAAATTTGCGTAAAGTTATCATATCTTATAATTAAATCAACAATCAGTATTGAGAGCAATGATATATAGTTTAAACACAGAAAAACTATCTATCAAAAACTCTAATACCGTATAATAAAGGATGCATTAGTTCCCCCAAGAACTCAATTTATCATAAACCAAGTAGTCTCGCGAAAGCCGACTTATCATCTTAAAGTTTACAGAGGTCAATCATACCACGAGATTTAATCATCTATTAATATTGGACCAGGTTGTAAGGAATTGAACACTAAACCTCATTATCATCAGACCATGTACTTTTGGCTTAGATAACGTAACTTAATTAAGTACTTAAAGCACTATATAGTGCAAGAAAGGAGGAGAATAGAAGCATTTCTTACGTAAGATTAGTCTCTGCTAATAACAGATTATTATAATTAAGTCGACATCCGTAGTCCATACAACACTAACCTACCTGAAAAGAAAAAAGGGGATCAATGGGGGACCAAAGCGTTTAATTAGGATTCCATGAACATGATCCCTTTTTTTTCTCAAATTCTCGTTCACAAATTCATTCACCTAATTAACCAACCGATTCCCTTTTAATTATTTCGTCCCAAATGTCGACCACGTAATCGTGTTTCATTTGATAGCTTCATGTCCACTTGATTAAAACGACAACAATCATGAAAGTAAAGTAATTATATTTTTTGGTAGTTATCACCACAACCAAAAGTAAAGTAATTATATATTTTTTTTAATCTAGAAGACGGCCTAACTTACTACTAAAGAATATAGGTTACTTAGCTTGGTAAGGAATCAAGGGTGTTTATTTTCTGAGGAGGAATTTTAACACTTCTTAGATGAAGTTCAAGAACAAAACAACCACCTTTCATATGAAAAGTCGAATCAGTTTCAAACACATAAGTTGGATTGTCTGTCCTGTGATGGAAGTTTTGAGATCATGTTTTTTTTTCAAATGAGATGCAAATAAGAGGTCGGTTGTTTGGAGGCACGACTTGTAAATATGTGAATTTCGGTAACATGGAGATATAATTGGGGTGAAATTTGTGGTGTGCGAGAGATTTAGAGATGGTATCTTTTGTTTGTTTGATTTGGAGTGAATGAACTTTTCTCAGGAGTTTGTTTGATTGAGAAATGTATTAGTATATCCTCATCACTTCTTTTTAACTGGGCGGTTGACGTACATTTTATTTTCCTTTTTGTTTTGTATTCTCCAAACTATCCTCGTACATTTTCTTTTACTCCTCGAATTTTTCAACCTCTTCTTTGTCCCAAATTTTTTGTTGTGTTCTCATCTTCATCAAATAATGACTAGCTACAAACAAACACTTTTTTTCTTTAACAAATAATGAATTCTCAATCTTTTTAATTTTTCGCCCCAAAAGATTACCATGTTTACAGATCAAAAAAGGTTATCGTATTTGTTAAGGATAATTTATGCTATCTAAGAAAGAATAAGAACACACAGGTTAATTCAGTTTAAATAAATCTCAGATATATCGAGTCAACTAGTTTACGAATTGATTTGTAAATTTTTCAATTCACGAAATGATTCTTCAATTAAAAGAACGGTCGGATTCTCTGAATGAAACAAACAAAAAAATGTCAGTTTTTTCAATTTAAAAGATACGACATCAAATTTTACCAGTCAAATCTTACATCCCAACGACTCTATCTATCAATTTTCCTAATCCCATCTGGAGATAGAATTCAACATGAACATTAAGATGCATTGATCCTAACCCAAACCCACGTCAAATCCATTTTTTATGATGAAAACGAAATTGTCATCCCATTTTTTCAACCCTTTTGAGAGGGTATGGGCCCTTAAGGGCCAAGGCAACAAGTTGAAGAAGAAACAAAAATGGAGTGATAGGAATGAAGAAGGAATATTATGTGACCCTACAAAGGAAAACAAACAAAATTGCTCAATGCAGTGTACATATTTTACATCACATCCCCAATTTGTCCAAGACAAGTGAACCAAAGTGGCAAACAATGAACCTCTCTCTCTACCACTCTCTCTCTCTCTCTACATCTTTCAAGGACCCATTTTTCCTTTCCTAAAGATGTAGTCAATGTCGTAAATTGCAAACCAAGATTGATCCAAAAATTTCCCAACAAAGCATTAAAGAAATGAAAACCGCAGAGAAATTTCGCTGTCTCTTGGTAGGAAGATCAAAGGTGGAAACTTTATGCAATGTTGTGTGGGGAAGGAACCAAAAAATTTGACCTAATGGAGATTGGTGAAAGAAGGACTACTAATGGAAACCCTGAAGAAGGTATTGGTTTGACTTCTTCATTGGTTCATTCACAGAGAATTCCTTTAACCTAAACTATAATAAGTTAGTTATGTGCTTGGGGAAGCTTTTCCTAATTACAACTTGAAATTCATGATATTGCAAGATTGGTCAGTAGAGTGGGTGATTTGTGAGTTTAATCGAGTTACTTGGAAACGACTCGTGAAAATGATGGATGGTGACTCTAGTAGATGGGTTCGGAGTCCTCAATTAGATTAGTTAACCAACTGGATGATTAGATGAGTCGTGCACGAGTCGTAAGTGACACTTGCAATCTTGGTATATAGATGGGTAATGTTTCACTTCCACTACAATCCACTACCATACGGATGAATTAGCTTGATAAATTTTTTTTTTTATCCATCCTATGACCAATCGGTGTGACGTAATACTTCATTATGACAATCCCATTTACCAGATGGATGGAGTAAGTGGGTGATATTCAACTGGCTCGTACGATTAATCGGCCCTATATATTATTATTACTTAATCATGCTAATCAATGAACGATTGGAAATTCCTCTTTACAGATGTAACTTAATTTGTGTTTAATTAGTGTAGATAACTCTAAGGATCATGTTAATTACTTCATTGACTGACACTAAAGACAACATTAACATGAAGGACCATGTAGAAGTTGTTTCATGCACTTATTAGCAATTATGACATACCCACTAGCGATGCTAATGATATGGTGGATACGTTTTGTTTATTGTGTTTGTAAATGAAGTTTGCCCATTATAATTTGAGGGAATTTTCAAACACTTAGCCATCCTATGTATGTGCGATTGTATGTTTTGATGTAATTGAGATTAATCATGTGATTTACAAGTACTCAAATGCATAGTTCGATCTAAAAAAAAATGCATAATCAGGCGCAAAAAAAAAAAAAACAAAGCAAGATGTCGAATTCAAAATTAGTCTCCTCTAGTTGAAATCTTCGATTATTCATCACCAACAATAATAAAATTTTATTACTAACAACTTGTCATAGATAGGTGAGACAATTAAGTCATCTAGAAGAAAAAAAATATAAACTTCTATTCCTACCCAAACTCCATTATAAACATTCCTGCTCCTCATGAAAACATCAACCCTAATTACATCATGATCGCAATCAGTGGACACTTAATCAACTAAATACAATAATTAATACAAACCCATCAAATTGCCACAAATCTGTTGTTTTAAAAAACAGAGTGGCACAAAGTCTAAACCAAATCCAGACCCCAAAAGGGGTAGGTAATTGGTTTAATTGGATTAGCAAATTATAAAAACAGAACACGAAGAGCAGCTGGCACAAGTTCATCCAAAATTATGGATTAATTAGTACTAATTCTGCCCCCCCAAATCCCTGAGGCCCTCTTCTCAATTGCCCCAATTGCCATTACCATAATCAAATATTAACTTATGGAAACAACTCACTCGAACCAAAATTAGCCAGGTCCACCCAACCCAGAGCCAACCAAAATATAATGCACATTCATTGATTCATTCATGCACCTGGCTTAACCCACTAGCCAGCAGCCAACCCATTTCTTCTGCTGCTCTGGTCCATCCATGAACCACACTACTTGCTCAATCAACTTGCAAAAGTTCTTATTTGTCAGACTTTCAAATTCAACCCCCCACCACCAATACCATGTAAATTGAGAATTGTTTGATTAATTGTGCCCACTAGGAACCAAAATTCCATTGGCTAGCTATTTTCAGAAAGTTGTGGTTTGATTTACTTAGAAAAATGTAAATACTTTTATGTTTTAAGATGGGAAGGTTCTAATTTAATGTTATTGACAAGTCACACTCTCTTTCATCGGTAGGATTGGTGAACTATCTGTTGTAATCGAATACACGTGTTTCTACCAATTTAATACATTTTTCGAAATGTCGGGAGGGATATACAGTTTGGTATTAGAAATGTCATGTTAATGTGCTTATTATCTTTTCAATTCAGATTATGGAGTTAAAATTAGAATGAGAAAATTATGACATGATGTATTTAGGAAATTTGTGCACTTTAAGTATTGACAGGTTACAAGGTCTATCATGAGTTCAAAAAGTATCAACCGTAAAAAATTAACGTATTACTCATTGACTCGCTACGACACAACACCTAACAATGGCCAAGTGTAACCAATGGAAGAGACTGCAGTATAGTGGCTCAAGTGATAAATATCGAATCCACGGGTCTCTAGAGTTACTATTACTCAGCTTCAGTTTATTATTTAGCAAACCAGATTAAGATGAAAGAACTAAAACTACTCTAGTAAACTACAGTTAAAGTTAATCTAATTACAGGTTGCGAACTCACTTAGGTATGATTCCCCCTAGCCACTAGCCAGACTAACGATTGATGATTTCTAATTTGTTTCACTTTCATTCACAATGCGGAGAATCCTTGACTAGACCTTGAGTCTCGACTAAAGGAACAAGGCCCTCTTGAGTCAATTGCCTAGAGGGACGTATCCTTCTCTAGAACAACTGATCAAGGCGTTCTGAACTAGACTCCCTCTATCGAAAGAGGTTCTCAATCAATACAAAGCAGTGAATCAACCCTCGACTAAAGCAATCGATCCACTACTATCAATCTATGGTGCTCTATTGACCTAATCTGGTATTCCCTCTCATAGGATCAAAGCAGAATCAATAACCTCGACTAAAGCAGAATTGAATCATGAAAACATGCATAGATTGAATATGAACTCAAGATTATCAAGTCAGAGTACTCATACAATCATCCAATCAAACAAACATAGCTAGGGTTCCTCAAAACCTAAGTGAAGGGAAGTTACTCCATAGAGAAGAGAGAGACTGCAGTAAGAATCTTCAGATGATCAGTCTTCAAGTCCGGGCTTGTTCCTCGAGCTTCCACGGCAAAGAAATCCTCCAATTCCACTCCAAGAATGCCCTCAAATCGCCCTCTCTCTCTCTTTGGTTCGTCCCTTGGGTGTTTGGGATCCAAAACCCAGCTCTCCCTCTCATTTGGCTCGAAATTGGCTTAAAAACCCGATTCTGGGCAAAACACTGTCGAGGACACAGCCGTGTTTTGCTTTTGTCCGCCCGTGTTTTGCCCCGTGTTAAAAACACGCCCGCGCGCGTCGGCCAAAACACGGTCGTGCCTAAATATGGGCACGGCCGTGTTTTGATTTAGGCGCGCCCGTGTTTTTACTGCCGAACTTGTTCCCCTATATTCAATGCTTCGTTTCTCCCTCGTCCGGACTCCGAATCAGTCGACGTTTGATCCCAGACGCTCATAGTCTCGTCCTCTTTCTTTTCATGACAAGCTTGCATGATTCTTTGTCCATAAAGTGAAGTAGAAATCTATTCTTCTTCAGGTCATGCCCGAGTTTCTTCTCCCGAATCGCCAATTGATCTCTGATTGACTTGAAACTTGCGCCTATACTTCACTTTATGTGCTAGGACCTGAAATGTGACAAAGGAACACAACCTAGCGTAAAATAGGCCAAAGACGCGATAATTAAAGCTCAAACGATCAATAAACAAAGGGGAAAACATGTGCAAATATCGAGTCATCACTCATAAACCATACGCTCAATATTTGATAAACCATATCAAGATATATTATCTTTTGAATTTAGTTCCTATTATATGTTTAAACCAATAATACGTTAATAAAATTTCAACATTTTAAGATATTGACGGGTCACGAGATCTATCGAGAACTAATGTAAATATTGTAATTAAAAATAATGTATTACTCTGGAATAATATTTTCCAATATTCCACATAACCATACTCATTCACTATCATTTTTAACTAACTATTGAATAATACTTATAGCAAGAACATCGACGCACTTTTAGTATCAACAGGTAACAAGACTTGTCTAGAATATCAAAACTAGTATAGTGCTAATGCTATCTCCTAGTATTATCTAAACCATATATGTTGAATTCAATTCTTGATTTTTATTTATAGCAAGATCGACGCACTCTTGGTATCAACTGGTCACAAGGTTCATCTGACCAGGCATTGTCATGAAGGTCACAATGTGTATCAGGAATTGGCAATTTACAAATTGTAATAAAAATTAATGCATTACTCAAGAATGATATTTTATATATTCCCTAAACCATATTAATTTTGTTATAATTTTTTATTTAATTTCTCATTGGTACTTATAGCAAGAAAATCTACGTACTTTTAATATCAACAAGTCACAAGGTTTATCCAGAATATCAAAACTTACTTCGTGTGAATGCTATCTCACAGGTATTCACTAAGCCATAGTAATCCATATCTTCTTAATTCAATTCTCGATTCGTATTTATGCCAAGTAAATCTCAATTCAATTGTACACAAGGTTTATCCAACCCGGCTTTATCGCATTTAAGCAAAACACTAATTAAAATAAAAAATATATATATTACCTAAAATCAGCCCTTTATACAAGAATCTAATCAATCTATTACCTTTGAAACTTAATCACTAATCTCTAATCACCTCTTATATATAATCACAATATGCATATGAAATTATAATCACAATATGCATATGAAATTTATAATGTACTACAAAAAAAAGAATTAGTAAAAGGAGTTGGCTAGCCATAGAGCAAATTGGGGCGGGATATGGAGGACGGTTGGACCGGATGAATAAAATATTCAGGTTCATGGAAGGATTCAATGCATGAAAGCCGAGCTAAGTAGAGCCATTGCATCAATCGCTGTCTCTGTAAGCACACACAGAATTTTTCTCTTTCTTTCCTTTTTGTTTAATTTCCCTTTGTGATATATAAATACATTTCGATGATTCCGTTTGCTTTAAAAAGTTGCGGAAAAAAAATTCTTCCTTTCGAAACAGAGTACCAAAGCTTCATTCTCCTTCTTCTTCCTCTTCTACCTCTGCCTTTCTCTCTGTGTTCGTTCTTTCTCTTCTTCCTTTTTTTGCCCCCTTCTTGAAGAGGGGGTTTCAAGTTGTCTGCTTTTCATTTTTCGAATGCATTCAGGCTTTCTGGGTTCTTTGATCCTGGTGTATGTTCTCTTCCTGGTGTTGATTTTCTCAAGTTTCTGCGGGGGTTTCGTTCTTCTTCAAGGAATCTTCTTCTTCTTCTTCCGGGTTTCTGGGATTTTTCAATCATGCCTGCTCTTGTTAACTACAGTAATGGTGAGTTATTTCTTTCTGGGCTCTTTTCTCTAATTGGGTTTTTTGATTGCTTGGTCATTTGTTTTGATTTTCTGAATCTGATTGATGATAGCTTTGATGGGTATTGAGAAAAATTGAGGATTTAATCTGTTTGGGTTATTATTGCATTCTTGTGTTTGTAGAAATGCCCCAATGAGAAGTTTGAGCTGATTTTGTTCTGGGTTGTTGTTTGTTTTGGTTTTTTTTTTTCAGGCGACGGGGAGATGTATTCACTTCGTTCAAACCCCATGGAATTGGCACAGTTGTGTTCAATTTCTAGAGATGTGTACAGTCCTGCCTGCAAGAGGGCTCGGATTAGCTCCTCATTCGCCTTCAATTCCGAGGACAGCAATAGACAACCATCAATCGAAGTTCTCCCTGAAGAGTGTCTCTTCGAGATCCTCAGGCGAATCCCCGGAGGCAAAGAGAGGGGCGCGTGCGCTTCAGTGTCTAAGAAGTGGCTCATGGTGTTGAGCAGCATCAGGAGATCCGAAATCTGCAAGCCGGTCTCGGGTTGCGGCGATGTGGAGATGGCGAGCGGTGAAAGCGTGGAGGAGCTCGATGGGTGTCTCACAAGGTCATTGGAAGGGAAGAAAGCAACCGACTTGAGGCTTGCTGCTATTGCTGTGGGGACAAGCAGCCGGGGAGGTCTTGGCAAGCTTTGCATTCGTGGAAACAGCAGCTCCTCTGGTCATGGAGTCACTGATCTTGGTCTATCAGCAATAGCTCGCGGCTGCCCTTCTCTCAGAACACTCTCTCTATGGAATGTGCCTCGGGTTAGTGACAAAGGGTTGTCTGCTATAGCAAAGGAGTGCCATTCAATTGAAAAGCTCGACCTTTGCCATTGTCCTTCAATTACCGACGAGGGTTTGGCTGCAATCGCTGGAAGCTGCCCCAATTTGTCATCTTTGAGCATCGAATCTTGCTCGAGGATTGGCAATGCCGGGGTACAAGCTGTTGCGAAGTTCTGTCCCAAGCTCCAATCTTTATCCATCAAGGACTGCCCTCTCATTGGCGACCAGGGTCTATCAGCTCTATTCTCGTCGTCTACAGCAATATCAAAGGTCAAGCTTCAGTCTTTAAACATCACAGATCTCTCTCTCGCAGTAGTTGGATACTACGGCAAGTCTATCACCAGTCTGGTCCTCACTGGCCTCCAATTTGTCAGCGAGAAGGGGTTTTGGGTCATGGGCAGTGCTAAAGGACTGGAAAAGTTGGCTTCTTTGGTGATCACTTCTTGCAGGGGAACAACAGATCTCGGCCTGGAAGCCATCTCAAAGGGCTGCCCGAACCTGAAACAAATTTGCCTCCGCAAGTGTTCGTTCGTGTCTGATAATGGGTTGATGAGTTTCACCAGATCAGCAGGCTGTCTCGAGAGCTTGCAGCTGGAAGAGTGCAATCGAGTTACAGAATCAGGAATCATCGGCGCAATCTCAAACTGTGGAGCCAAGTTGAAATCACTCAGCCTAGTGAGGTGCATGGGAATCAAGGATACTACAGCAGGGCTCTCACTGTCATCATTGTCTCAATGCAGCTCTCTCCGCTCTCTATCCATCAAGAACTGCCCAGGGTTCGGCAGTCTCGGACTAGCTCTCGTAGGCAACCTCTGCCCTCGACTCCAGCATCTCGAACTGTCCGGGCTTCATGGAGTTACCGACGCGGGGCTTCTCCCACTGCTGAGGAGCTGCAATGCCGGTCTAGAGAAGGTCAACCTCAGCGACTGCTCGAGCTTGTCCGACGAAGTGGTCTCGACGTTGGCCAGGCTACACGGTGGATCACTCGAGGTGTTGAACCTCGACGGCTGCAGGAGGGTCACCGACGCCAGCTTGGCTGCAATCGCGGAGCACTGCATGTTCCTCAGCGATCTCGACGTGTCCAGGTGTGCGATTACAGATGCAGGGATTGGGTACCTATCAAATGCCAATCAGCTCAACATTCAGGTGCTTTCGTTGTCCGGCTGCTGTTACTTGTCAAGCAAGGTACTGACTTGTTTGAAGAGAATTGGGAGGACTCTTGTTGGGTTGAACCTACAGCACTGCAATGGCATCAGCAGCAAGACAGTCGAGGTTTTAGTGGAGAGCTTGTGGAGATGTGATATCCTGTCCTAGATCGAGAGAAGCGCAGTATGTTCGCGTTTCAGTTTCGTCGTAGATTCGTAGATCACAGTCAGCACAGCAGCCAGCAGCAGCAGCAGAATCCAGCAAAGTTTTTGGTCGTGTTTTTGGCCTAATCTGCTAACCCAGAGCAGAATAGGCCTAGCTACTAAACCAAGCCAAACCCGAAAAAGAAAAACAAAACACAGGCATTTTGGTTGTTTCCCAGGGGAAGCTGTGGCTAAGATCATCACTCCTTTTTTCCTCACACCCATCATCATCTGCCCTCTTTTTTGCAGGCTTATACCAAGTCTGTTTATGGCACCCCTACTCCTTCCATAGATCATAGCCATTGTTTCCCCTTTACAGTCACCAGAAAGCCACACAGTTTCCCCTCATCCAAAAGTAAAAAAAGACAGTTCTTAGTTTGTGAGTCTCAACTAGTGGGACTCTCTCTATCTAAATATCGCCATGTTTAGACGATCGTTTCTTTGTTCTGGGTTTCTGCTGGACTGCAATCTCTTTCATCAGATGTTTTTAAGCTTCTGTCACTCAGATCGACTACAGCTTTTCTCAATTTACTTTGTTGGTTTAAGGTTATGAAGTCTCTTTTGTGTTGCTATGTTTATGAATAAAGAATAAATTCGGTCTGTCTGCTCCATTGTAAGATCAAATCATCGTGTGGTGTCTTGCTTGATGTTGAAGTTTAAGCCTTTATGTTTGATGTTTGTCTTTCTTATGGGGGGTTTGCTTTGAACAGTTTCCATGTTATGTTCATGGTTTGTACCGTGCCCCTCTCTTCAATAAAACATGGTGCGTATTGTTTTCTAGTCCTTAAACATGGTTCCGAAAAGTTCATGTCATTGCTCGATTCAGGTGTTTCGAAGAAGGCATGCCACACGAAATGATCATCTCAAGTATAACCGTTGATCGTGTATTGCGACTGGCGAGTAGTCTCGGAGACAATGGAGCATTGGGTCTGACTAACAGAATCCTTTTTCAATAAGTAGAAGGATCAATTGGCCGACCTAGGCAGCATTAGTTCTGACTAATCGGAACTCTGGGCTACCAACTCCAGAACCCAAAAACCTAATAATAGGGTTGAATTAGGAACCATCCCCTGTTTTTCTTCTTAAAGCTTTCTTCCACCCGTTCCTAAACTATGGGGAAACGCCGCCGCCTGGAGACCAATGGCTATGGAGAAACTAACCAAATCCCGACCGGCGAAGAAGAGGTCGACCGGATATCGGAGTTACCCGACGACGTCATCCATAAGATCCTCACTCGCGTAGAACCCTCAAAAAAAGCAGCGAAAACCAGCGTCCTGTCTCAAAGATGGGCCAATCTCTGGCGATCTTACCCGGTCCTGGAATTCCACGATACCCAGTTCGCAACGAAGAAATCGGCGAAGAGATTCGCCGCCGCCGCCAAAAAAAAGTTCGGCTGCAGTAGCAGCGACGATACCCTGATCACCACCGCCATACAAGCTGTCTGAATCAGTTTCCGTCGTCAAAAGGAGTGGGCCGCAGAATTCTGCTCCGATTTCCTCGACGAATTGTTGGAATTGGCTGCAAAGAAATCTCCCCGACTCCGAGAGCTCGACATTCAAGCCTGCTTTCCCGGCTACATTGACAGAGCTCACCGCTTTGATGGGTCGATGACGTGTACCATCCCGCGGGGGTTATTGGTGCCCAATTCCAATTCCAATTCCAATTCCGGCCACCGATTCCGCCTCCAAGTTCTCAAGCTGGTCAACTGCAATTTCGATCAGTTCAAAGATACCCAATTCGCGGGCCTCGGCAGCTCCCTCAGGGAGCTCTCTCTCTCCCGAGTCACCTTCCCTCACGACGACGGCGACGGCGGCCGAATTCTGAACAGCATCATCGCCGGCGCCTCTCTGTTACAGAGGCTGTTTCTGTCGTCAATTGTGGGGATTCGTAGGGTTCAGGTTGGGAATCTTCCGAGCCTGAAATTCTTGTTGTTTGACCAATCCCCGGTGGAGGATCTGGTGATTACAGCGGTCGACTCCCTGGAAGAGCTGTTCATCTGTGATACGCCGATGGGAGGTGATTTTGTGGTGTCGTTGATGCCAAATCTGAAAAAACTAGCTGTCGCTAACGGTAAGGAATTCATTCTTTTTGCTGTCAAATCATACTTTTTGCTGTCAAATCATACTCACTTTAAACCGCTAGTTTCATTAGTTCCAATCTTCCTTTTGTAAAGAAGTTTTTTTTTTTACTCTGTCCTAGTATATCAAGCATGCAAATGGGCAAGGTGGAAGGTTGATGAACTAATTTCAAAGGCTCCATCTTTGGAGTCACTCTCCCTCAAAGGCTCCCGTGGTACGATGTTTTACAGTTTATCAAGACAATTTCAGCTATTGTTTCCCCCTAGTTTTGTCCTTTGGCATTGCTCCTTCCTCTACATAGTTTTGTTCCCAGCTCTTTAGCCGTCTTTTTTTGACCAATACATTTCTTCTTCATAATGGAGTTGGGTTTTTTGATTTGTTGACAGTATATATGCCGCCAGTTTATGATGAGAAATTCTTATGATAGTCATTGCGAAACCGGACGTAAGTGTTGGCGCCATCAACTCAAAGATATGAAGATTATAAAACGGGATACAATCGGGAGTATAGGAGTAGAGGATGAAGACAGAGTGATGGACGTTTCAACAGATACATGTAAAACCATTGCTGAAGCAAAACAGATTATACTCGTGTTGACATGGAATTAGATTCGGTTGAAGTGGTCGTGTTTTCGTTGTCTGAGCTCAATCTTATTTGTACTTGTTGACAGAGACCAATTTGTAGTGTGCTTGCTTATGCATTCCTTGCAAAAGTGATAGGAGTACCAATTCAGTCTGATATGCTTCTACATTCATCGAGAGTGCATATTTGGTACTTGGTAACAAAACAGACTCTTTCGTCAGTTGTTCGATTGCATTGGATTTGCAGATTCACTAGAAACCCAGAGCTCAATATACTCATTCCTGGCAGAGTGGTAGTTCTACGTTTTGGGAGTTCATCTTTTTCCAGAAGACAAGACATGGTGATGTATGCAGAGGATGAAACATGATTGTCAAAAATTCAGGATCGAACAGAGCAAGTAGAGAGACTATTTACATATATATAGTTTAGTTGCTTCACGCCCAAGAAAACCCCCGTCTGGCCACCCTGGATCAGCAAGTCATCGTTCGAAGCAGGCCTGAGTTTGCTCCTTCTGCTGGCTTCCATATGATATCGTCGAGCTTTGCACAGAAGTTCTTGTAGAACTGCACACCACAAAAGCCATCACAAATCGAATTTGACTCTAATCCCCTCCAGAATGTCCAATTAGAGAGGCAGACTAACTAGATGGTGATATTATTATACTTGAGAGCTACCTACCTTGTGATACTCGAGAGTCTCCCCTGATGCCTTCCTTACGTCTACCATGAACAGTGAAGGTGCGACTTCGTAAACCTATGGAGCATAAAACAATGGATGAATCTGGTTAAGATCGGTTACAGGATGGAGGGAGGAGAGAGCAAGCTGTAAAGAAAAGTACCTCCAACACCACTGCTAAATGACCAGTCTTATTCGCTGACATTCCTTCAAGCCTCATCTGCAAGGGAGTTTTATTTAGTACATCGGCTTATTTCAGATGCTTATGTAGAACTGATACACTATTTTGGCTGCATTTCCTTTCTTAGTTTTATGCAATTTAGTTTCTAGCTCCTGTTAATCATATGAAGTCCATTATACAGATTTGGCAGGAAGTGAACACGACCTAGGACAGCAAAACGCTATACTGTACCAGCAATGCTATCACGCTTATGGAAAGTAGAGGTAGTGTTTAGAAAGGCTTGGACCTTGTAACCACGCGTATGAACCTTGAGGCCGAATGAGACAGCAACTGCTTCGACTGTTGAGATTATATCCTTTGCTGGTCTACGGGATACAAAACGAGTCTGCCTCTTTATATAGTCCTGTCCACGGCAATACAAATATGATGGATTCAGGTAATGGATTCAGTATCAGCAGCAAAAAATAAAACAAAAATTGGCCTATTTGTGGAGATAACAAGGCTTTCAAACTTCTGCACTCCATGAATTCGATTTTTGAAGAAGTTTTCAACAGAGTGAAACCTCTTTCATTAGAATGAATGCTAACAACATATCTGTGGTGGTGAAATATATACCTGGTGTCTGTCAAACAGTGCTGATAGATTTAGCCCCTGGGAAAGGGTAATCATTTCAAAGGCATTCATTATTAATGGTCCAGTGTCACTGCATTCTGATTTCTCTGCTACATATTGGTCCTGTAATATGAAGAACACTACAATTAGAGAAAGATGCAAAACAGAGTTATGAAGGCTTGCACAAGTATTCTGGTGTGAGCATGTTTGACCTACCTCGATGTCATCGAAGACTGCACGAATATCATCAAGATTCACTTCCACTTCTTCAGTGTGTTTCACAGGCACGTAGTTCCTCCGAAACCATGGATCTCTTCTAATTCCCTTTATCCTTATGCGCTGCAGGACGTATAGGTACATAACGTTAAATCACATCACAGCATTGATATTTGAAAGTCAAAACTAATTAGCAAATGCTTTATCAGGATGTAACCATAGCTAGACTTTTTGGCGCGTGTTAGAGTCATTGCTTAGAGAGAGAGAAAAAAACATGCTCTTACAAATGGGCTATTATGACTACCTACATACGCAAAAGATGGTAAATTACGACTACAGTCATGAACATGAACCTGGAAGGTTGACCTCTTGTGATAACATGAAAACTGATACAGAGACAATCTTAACAACAATGATTAAAGTGTGCTTTAACCATGCAGCTTGAGGAGAGCAGCAATTTAAGAACTGGCTATGCACATGAAGAAACAATTATTTGACTAAAAGAAACAGTACTCACTTTTTTCGGATTGGGAGTAAGTATCTTATCTATCAGGGCCTTTGCATCTGGAGAAAACCAAAAAGGACAAGTGAATTCTGCAGCATTTATCTGCAAATGAACAAAAAGATGAGCAATTTTATCTTTATATACGAAACGCCAATCCTGAAACGCTTGGTTGATAAGTCATGCCCCCTACTAGATCGAGATATAGGTACAACTTCACAAGGAAATTACGTAATCGCCCAAAATGTATGCAGCAGTTAATTTACACCCATAGTATATGTTTGGCATCAAAATATGCAGTGCTGAACTTTATAACTAGCCAAAAGACGAATGTGTGTATCCTGTTTCTTCGAGAACAATCAATCTCAAACACAAAGTACCTAATAAATCCGGAAACCCACTCAGCTCTACCAAGAAAATGAAAGTAGAACCTAACCTTCTTGAACAAAGTTGGAAGGTCTGTCTCATCAAATGGAAGATATCCAGCCATCAGAACATAGAGGATTACTCCACATGACCATATGTCGGCAGCTGCCCCATCATAACCTTGGTGGCTGAGCACCTGAAATACAGTTCGTCAATGTCAGAAATCTAAGTGACTCCTGAAACAACCGACCAACTTTTGGAAATGATATTAATAGTGGAATAACTCCCAAAGAGCTTTGCATAAGCGACAAACCACACAACCGTGGAGACAACACTTAGTCCTTGACTAGAATGAAAAGGAAAAACATCAAGTGGTGAGTTAAAACATATATTTCATGTTTGGTTAGAAGAGTACCTCCGGGGCAACATAATTCGGTGTACCACAGGTAGTATGGAGAATATCAACACCCTGCATCACAGATGAAGGTTCTAACGGATTGGTTGCGGTGAATTAACTAGACAAAACCCACTGACAGATTAAGCTAGTAACTGGCTACTTACATCCTGAGGCAACGCACTCAATCCAAAGTCAGAGACCTTCAAATTCCCGGCAGCATCAAGAAGAAGGTTTTCAGGCTACACAAGAGTGAAAATTTCCTGATTAGTCTCAGAACATCCAACTCAAACTGGCTAAAAGAGGAAGTTAATTTTTACATACAGTTGTTCACCTTAAGATCTCTGTGGTACACACCCTTACTATGACAGTGGTCCACTGCATCTATAAGCTGTTGAAAGTATCGTCTTGCCTCGTGCTCTTTAAGCCTTCCTTGGTGGACCTGAAAGTCCATCCAAGGACAAAGTGCCAATTAGCCTCTTTACATGTTATGATTAGCTATTGGAGCAACAACCACATTTCAAACTTCTTGGAAAACAACACCAAGCTAACAGGGGTTTGTTCATAGGGCTGCACTGACAATGATAAGGCAAAGAAGAAAGAGCAAAGAAGCAGGTAGAAAAGATGCTTACAATTCTATCAAACAGTTCTCCTCCAGTAACGAACTCAAGAATGATATATATCTTCGTCCGACCTGCCAAAACCTAATTACAAACAGAAGAACAGTATTGCATATAACAAAAAGTTACTTACTTTACCAGAAGGGGACACAGGGAAGTAGCACGACTACTTAAAGGTTCCATTGCTAAAATGAACTCATCACCAAATGGGCTGTGTGGAAGAGAATACCTCATGCAACCTAACAATATTAGGATGTCTGACAATCTTCATGATCGATATCTCTCTTTTAATCTGAAAAGTGAAAACCCAAAACCAGCCATTCTCATTGAAAATTCAAAAAGAGAGTACAAGAATGAAGTCTATCCTGCTCTAGCTAGAACACTTCTTCATCAAGTAGAAACACATAGTAAAGCTACAAAAGGAGTTATCTTTCCATCCCATTCCTCCCCTCCCATTCACTCAGCAAAAGAATTGTCAATACTCAATACCATATGCACAAGCTGAGGGAGAATGATAGAGCACCTGATCAGCCATTTTGTTTTTGAGAATGGTGGATTTGGCCATCACTTTAATGGCGACGCTTTCACCAGTCTCCTGGTTCCGAGCAAACTTGACCTTGGCGAAATTCCCTTCGCCGATTGTCCGGCCGACCTCATACTTCCCGACTTTCCGCGTTACCTTCGTCATCACGCACGGCAGCTCATTTCACAATCCCGGAGCTTCTCAGGGCAGCATTCAAAAAACTTCTCCTCACTATTCCGATCAAACGCCAACCCAAATCAGCACCCGCAGAGAAAACAAAAAAAGCGATCAACTTTCGATTCCTTCGACAAAAGGAAGCCAATACCCTATTCTTAATTTCCAGAATCTAAGCACCGGAATCCGAACACGCGCAGCCAAAAGGGGGAAAAAATGAAAAAGGGAAGGATGCTTTACCAATGATGGAGAATATCCCCGACGAGATCCTCAATTCGCCGGAAATTTGAAACGGTGAGGCAGTGAACAAAAGGGAATCTCCGATCACCGCAGAGGCAGTCGTCGAATGGCCGGGGATAACAGAGGAGAATTGCCGATTGCGAAGGAAGGCTATTGGTTGGTGGTAATGGTCACGAACACAAAGTCTGTTGGGGAAAAAAAAATGGAATATCGACGATGTCTTCGCCCTTGGAGCGCTCCAAGGTGTCACCGATGTTAAAGAATAATTTTTTCGGAAGAAAGGATGAAGAGGGAAGATGGTGAGCAAGCAACAATTCTCGGATTAGAACAGAGACCTGGACCAGTTGACAATTGTAGGGATTGTAATTTGATTTTTTTTTTTTTTTTAATGTAAATGGTATTGACAATTGAGTAGGTTTTACCTTCCCTCTCTATTATGTCATGTGTGTGTGTTTTTTTTTACTTGTTCTACTACTTCTAAAACACTAATCCTCTTCGATGTTTAATTATTTACATATGTCTATGTGATTAGGACTCCTACATAAAATTATATTAACTACGACTTACAACGAGTATGAAAAACGTTAGAATGAGAGTTTGATCATGTGGTATAATCTCTAGTTCAACGTGAATGTCTCATATTTGAATGTGAAAAAACCTATGTCAATCTTCGTAAAAAAAAAAGGGGGTGAGGACCTTTGAGTGGACTGTCTAACTAGTGACTATATATATACACGAGGTAGACTAGTACGAAATAATTAAAATGAGTCATTTTCAATTATCTGTTCCACCTCGAGCAATTAAAATTTACTCAAAACGAGTCAATTCAAAATTTCTAAAGAGAAATCGCTGCATCCAAATGTTATATTGTAAAAATGATGAATTTGCCTCTATCAAATTTAATCCGCTAAAATTCTCCATCCAAATGAACTCTAATAAGAGCACTACCATCCAACCATGTTAGTATGCTGCCGACGAGGCCTTCTTTCTCTCTTTCTTTTTCTCCTTTGGCTTTTTTTCCCCTTTTTGGGTTTTACACTTTACATCATCATGTAACATATGTGCTAGTTGACGCAACATGCACAGAAGAGAGTTCGGTATTTCGCAGCTAGCTTTCATATATGTACAAGATCCCATCAACTTGGGATTACAGTACTACTATCTAACAAGTCCATTAGCACTCTCATTTGGCGCAGTGGCGTAGTCATGGATTTCGCTAAGATGGGTTCAGTGATGGTATAGGTCGTCCATGTGAACGGCGAGTGACGAGTTATCATAAGCGGGCAAACCGAGCATTGGACAGCCGACATAGTTATTGGATTTAGGTTATGATTTTGGGGGAATTCCGTAATCATGGTCCGATTAGATCAGAAGACAATGGGTTGGATAATTTGGGGACGAGCTTGTACTAGGGATCGCGAGATGGGTGATAAAAGACCGGCGAGGTCATGTTTCTTGATTTGATGTAGATACTAGGGTACCGTTGATCATGAGTAAATAAATTAGATGCTAAAATGTAATTGTTAAATGACTCATAGCCGAAGTAGTATAGCGAGACCGAATCCAAAGGAATGATGACCTGAACTAAAGAGAAGTCGAGGTGGCCAAGTTAGGCGGCTCAAGCTAAACGGCTTGATTAAGCTAGTGATTATAACTAAATTGTCGAGCTAATTATTAATTAATTAACGATTGCAACTAAAACCCTTTCTTAATTCATATATAGCTCAATCAAACTGAACTGTGTACGCCTTGTGTTCTTTCATGAGTTCATGACGAGCTTTGCTCTAGGTTTGAGGTAATAATTATTAATAAAAAAAGAGGATACGACAAATCATCATTACGTCGAGGGAAAGCAACAATTAAAACAAATTAATGAAATGGGAGCCACGTGTGAATATAAAATAAAAATAAAAACCCTGTGTGTTGGGGAAACTTGTAGCTTGAGATAATCTTGCAATTAGTATAATATAATGGTTGTGATTATGGCTCTCCATTTGGGTTGGTTAACCAGATCATTAAGCATGAAAAATCAAATAAGAGAAATTCTCAAAAATGAAAACCACAACCATTATGGATTTTATTGGTTCGGGCTAGCCAAAACATGATAAGATTCTTAACCGTTTCGGTTTGGTTAATCAAAAAACCAAATACCAAGGATAAAATCCATGAGACTAACTAGCTAGGACATGTCATAATTAGATATTTTTGTTTTACAATTTTAAGTAAAATTAGATGTAATTTAAAAAAATATAAGTCGAAATTGTTATTCCTATTCATCATGCAGATTGCGGAGACATCCAATAATTAGTCCAATACATTCTGTCTCAAATTCGATATTTTGGGGCAGATGGGCTTTTCGAAGCCTTGGTCTGAAGCCTGTGCTAAGAAAATGGGCCTTATTTCTGTAATTGAAAATGGGCTTTTGCAAGACTCACTGGACCAGAATGAACATGAAGCCCAATTCTCTGCCCTTTCTCGATTACTATAAATAGACAAGAGTCAAGACAAAGAGCTTCCATAGTGAGCTTGTCATTTCAAACTTTATGCAATTTAACTCAATTTTATTTAATTGCACATACAATCTTACATCAATATAATTAATTTGCAATTGTATATATATGTGTTTAAGTGACTTTATAATAAATAAAAATTAATGAAGGAAGGAGTATAAAATAAATTATCATTTTTTCTTTTCATATATGTAGGTGTAGCATGCATCTTCAATTTTATTTAATGCAAGTTTGCACCTTAACAAGCGCCCACTACAATGGTGCAATCACCTTTGCAATTGCATTTTGAGTGTGTTATGGAGGATTTGCAATTAGCAAATACCAATGGGGATGCTGCTAAGAATGTTGGGTTCAAGTCAAGGCGGTATATTCTTCTCTATGTTAGCTTCAATTGCGGTTCATCAGGTGTATGTTGTTTATGAATACGACGGACAAGGTCTCTGTCTAGTGGTATTATCACCGGATTTAAACCTGTAGTTTCTACGTTCGAATCCTTTAAATAACACAATGACTAAATATATTATCCCTATAAAAAAAGTTAAATACGATACACTCACCCATCACTTAGAGTTCCTGTTATCGACATATAGTCTAGTCTTGAAGATTTTCGGTGATTAATACAATGCACAAGAAATGAATCGACCTATACCCATATTAAATATGGAAGCAAATCTCATATACACTCTTATCTGTCCGACGATTACCCACCTCATATATAAATTCACTCGTAGCCTACCCATAATCGAATGAGTTGATAAAGGGAACACGATAAGAGTACTTTTAAGTGGAAACTTTTATATTCACTGTTGCCATGTGTACTGATGTTTATGATAAGTAAGTGACTTAAACTCCCATGATTTGCACAATCGATAGTGAAGGCAGTACGAAGAAAGAACAAAAGAGAAATCGACTAGATAAGAAGGACCAACCACTCAGAGCCAAACACCATCAAAGTGAAGAAGAAGAAGAAGAAGAAGAAGAAGAAGAAGAAGACAGCTGAAAAAACCATCACAAAGCTTTGGATGAGACTTGAGAGACGGGCGTCGTGTGCGTATTGGGTGCTTTGTTTTCGAGTCCAGAGTTTTCTCTCATTGGAAGGCCGTATAAGGTAGAAATAGAGTACTGGAGATTGAACTGTAAAAGTGTGGTATACGATCCATCATAATTTTCTCTCAACAACTTGAGTTATTGGTACCAACTGGTTTATGACATGGTATTAGAGCTGATTTGATCAAGTGGTCGTGTGTTCGAATCTCCACCACCCCAATATTAGCAGTTGATTAAAGCACAAGGTATGATAAGCCTGTGCAAACTTCAAGCCCATGAGTTGACTTTCATTTGAGGTCTATATTTTGATCCTACAAGCTATCTCAATTATGAAAAAAGCGAACCGAAAATGAATTTGTACCCAATTGACTCTGACCTAAATGGACCAAATATGCTTTATCCCGACTTCCGTCATCAATTTTCTCTGATTTTTGGTCCGATCTTATCTCGATTCAATCTGATTATTCTAGGCCAAATCGACCGATGGCCACCCTTAACAGTAAACGTTAATGGGAAGCATCGTTCTTTGCAGCCTTTCACTGAAGATCAGTGGTATCAGAATCATGTTTGAGTCTCATATTTGGCTATCTCACAACAAGACAACGTAACCGGCCATCTCATATAATCTGGCCAGCTACGACACAACTTGGTCTTCAACTTTCGCACCATCCCTTTCTCTCCTACGAAAAACGAAATGCAGCTGTCGCAAGCTTTATTTAATTAACTTCAGGGCTTGATGGCAATGGCATTGAATAGGATTCTTGCTCTGCTAATAAACCTTCTTCAAGTGTCATCTTCTTTCTGTTCTGTCAATTTATTCTGTTTTGGCAAGTTCCTCGATTGATTCCACTACAGCCAATGGGAATCCAATTGTGTATTTCCTAGCAAATACCAACATATCAATGTTGTTTATTTGTTGACAAAGTCATTAAATTAGAAAGTAAAAAAAAAAAAACATGTCAATTTGTAATGCACAGTATGTAATCTTGAATGAATCAGGTGTTAACAGAGTAGAAACTATACTTTTCCTCTGTTTGTCTCGAAATGTTTTGGATGGGTATTATTTCGATTTGTAAGCAACAAGAAACCACTTGATATTTAGATTTTTATTATGTTTGTATCATCTCGTTCGGTCTTATTTCGACATGTTAATTTGTACTCAAAACACCCTATTTAAATTATAGATACACGTATATATCGTTAATCGTGATTTACCTTACTCCATTGTATACACAGTAGTTTGGTTTCCAATCGGATTCGTGTAACCTCTCTCAGCGTTATGAAAGGTTATGTGTTCAAATCGCCTCAATGGTGTTTCTCGTCTCATGTATGGATGTATTTGTTCAATCTTGTCACCTTAACAATCGTCACGGAATTTAGTCTTACCATTCCACAATTCGTTACTATGGTCACACAATTTACGTACCAATCAATTCAAAGGTGTTGCATGGCTCACACGTCATTATAAACCCTAAAAATCAAAGACGAAACTTGACCCATGCAGAAACGAACACTGGATATTAGAGGGCCTGGGTGGGAATAAACAAGAATATCTCGATCGTCGTCGGAAATTTACGATCCTACCCCCCTCTTCCTCTTCCTCTCCAGAGCAAAAAAAAAAAAAAAAGACAGAATGGGCAAACTCCAGCTGGGCTCCACAAAAGTCTGGACGGAGGAGATGGCGATGGATCGCGACCCGAGAGCCCATAGCTCACCGTTAATAAAAAAATCGAGCTGATGGGCTCCACGTATCGTCTCCTGTGGGCCCAGTGGAGATGAGGCCAACCAGGCCCCGAGCCCAGCCGTGAACCGTCCACAACAAATCTCGCAATTTGCAACTAATAAATCGTGTTGCGATCCGACGTTTACACACTACGGGAGAAACTTACCGACGACCCAGCCGCCAGGAAAGAAAAAAAAAACGCCTGTGGTTTTGTAATCACTGAAAACGACAATACAAGATTCACGGCGTACGCGCCGTCAGTTGAGGCGGAGCGTTAGGATCTGACTGCCGGCCGGCCGGCCGGGGGAAACGTTCCTCTCCAAGGTCACGTGACCAAGCGCTCTGATTATTGTTTTTACTATTAGTATTACACGTGGAAGAGGCCAATTCTATAATGTAAGGTCGCGTTTGGTGGTCTTTAATATGGTTGGTGTAATGTAAAATGATTGGTGTTTCTTTCCCCGAATCATATTATGCTACGTCGAATCAAACTAATTGATAAAATTATTTGATTTATAACGCGAATTCACTAATCAAATTATAATGAATGACTGAAAATGTACATTGATTCGAACGAAGTTGTTATAAATGCATGTCGATGACTAAACAATTAGGCGTGACAACCGAGAGAGATGAAAATTAACCATTCAAAGTATATGATTTTGCTTTTGTTAAAAGGAAACGGACCACGTTTGCATATAAAGATTAAAGACTCGATTATGATGCTTACGATGTTGTACCATATACCGATTATACCATCTACAAGTGTTGAAGCTGGATTTTTAGTCTAGTGATGGGGGATTGGAGGTATGCATACTTAAAGATGGAGTTATAACCCTCCTCTCAATATTTAGTATGAGGTTATTATGCAAATAAAAAAAAGTATGAGGTTATAAAGCGTAGATTCATAGAGAAAACTATGGAGAATCTAAATTCATTTTCACGAAACTTACTACAAATTTTTTAGTTTTACTCCCTTCTCTACAAATAATGATTTCATCACTAATTTTATGACGACACGTCGACGATATTTTCAATCTATTTCTTAAATTATTACTCTCGTCGTGTTTCTAATGCCAGATCAATTGTTTAACCCTTGATGTATTCTTGAATATCTGATATACACAATTGGCAAAAATTTCACTTTGGTTCAATGGAAAAAAATAATCACTTCGCATGGTTACTATGTTAGTGAGAAAAATATTAAGCAACAGAATTAAGAACTCAGAAATGGACAAATTTTTTTTTTTTGACAAAGGTTACCAACTTTTATTCCACCAAATAACTGAAAGACGAGAAACTCGGTTACACATCTTAAAGAAGATCAGAAATGAGGTCAAGAATATTAATCCAATCATCAGGGAGAGTATCTCGAGCTTTTGATCGTGCCACCCAATCTGCTCTGACATTTAGTGCTTGGGGCACTTCTTTGATTTTGATGAGAGGGTTTGTCCGAAGGATTGCGACAATCGACCCGATCCATGCTGCGCATCTCCATGGCCAACGTGAGTGATCGTAATCCAAGACTTTCACCAGCACCTGGCAATCGGTCTGGACCGTACATTCGAATCCATATTCTTGAGCTAATTTTACTCCTTCAAGAAGGGCCTTAGCTTCAGCTTCAATCGGGGTGGAACAAAGAAGAACCTCAGCTCGCCCATCACATACTTGTCCATGGTGGTTAACAACCACAACACCATATGCCGCCGGCTGGGAGTCGTTAATGAACGACCCATCACAGTGAATCACCAAAGAATGATTACTTGGCGGTGGACTTGTATGAGACTGGGATCCCCTGAGCTGAGTGCGCAAGGAAGGCAGGGGAGGAGGGTCCCTCGGGCATGAATTCCATTCAGAAAGCTCTTTATAAGTAAGTTGGCACACCTGCGGGGGCCACGGTTTTCTATTCTTGAAAGAGCATTCATTTCTCGCCTTCCAGATATTCCAGCACAGGAACACCAAATGGATCAAGGAGCTATGCTGAATAACATCTTTAAGGGAGCAGAACCAGTCAAGGAACAGGGTTCCTTGAGGGGCGAGGGGGAGAGATGGAAACAGGGCATTCCATGCCGCCTTGGCATGAGGGCACTGGAATAGACAGTGATTGATGGATTCGATGGGGTTCTGGCACACCTGACACGTAGAGTTGGGAGCGCATTTTCTCTGGAGCAGTCTCTCTTTCGTAGCAAGCCCATTCCTGCAGCACCTCCAAACAAAGAATTTCAGCTTCGGGGGGGAGGTGGAGGCTCCAAATCCACTTCCATTTTTCGGTGTTATAACAACATTAAATAGATTTTCTCTAATTATAGAACGAAAAAAACCCGGTTTTGGTGTCCCAAACGCGGCACTGACAGGCTGAAAACGGAGGCGAAATGTACGCACGTGAATCACACGGACTATTTCTCATCCGTCCAGATCGATGAACAGAGACGAATCAACGGCCCCGATTTATTCCTTCCGCTCCCTCCTCCTCCGGGCTATAAATATCAAACCTTCCTTTCTTCTCCATTTCCCCTGCACCAGCAAAAAGTTTGCAGCAAAACAGAGCGAAGTAAAAACTCAAGCTTTCCATTGAGAGAAATTCATATTAAAAAAAACAAAAAAACATTCAGAAAATGCTTCTTCGTAGCGCTTCTACTCCGATACTGAACTCCTGGATCCCACACTCCAAAGAACCGCAACCACCGCCGGCGGAGCCCGAGTTCTTCCCCCGGCATTCACTCGCGAAAACCAGACCCGTCTCGCTCACCGCCTCCCCTCCGAGTCTCATCCCTTCGCCTTCTTCCTCGTCTCCCCACGAGGATTCCTTCAGGAAGATGACGAGAGCGCTCTCGGAGACGGATCTGAGGAAGCTTTCGCCGGCGGTGCCGAGGAGGAAGCCGGTGAACACGGTCTTTGTCGAGGAAGAGGAGGAGACGGAAGAATTGGGCGGTGGGTTCTTCCTGGGATCAAATGGGTTGGGAGAGGATCGTGCTGCGGATGGTGGGTTGGCCACGCTTTTGGTCGGCGGCGGCGGGAGGATTGGCGGCGGAGGCGGCGGTGGAAGCTCCAACGGTGGCGGGAGAGATGGGAATTCGGAGTTCTGGGATTCGAATTACAAGACGGAGGTGTATTACGAGACGATGATCGATGCGAATCCCGGGAATTCGCTTCTTCTTGGCAATTATGCCAAGTTTCTGAAAGAGGTAATGAGTTGATTGAATTTTTTAAAATTGGGGATCCATGAAAGGAAAGATAGAAGTTTTCTGTGCTAAAAAATGGATGCGTTGCTGAATGTTTTGCAGGTTCGTCAGGATTTCGTGAAAGCGGAAGAGTACTGCGGGAGAGCAATCTTGGCTAATCCGAACGACGGCGATGTTCTTTCGATGTACGCGGATTTGATATGGCAGAGCCATAAGGACTCTTCTCGAGCTGAAAGTTACTTCGATCGAGCTGTCAAAGCTGCTCCTGAAGATTGGTAAGAAGGATTGAGCCTTTTCTTGATTCTGTTTGTTAACATTTGTGTTGTAATCTAATCCTAAAGATTGTTGGAATACTGTAGTAATGATGTTTCTGGTTTTTGTTTCGGTAATTGGCAGCTATGTTCTTGCTTCATATGCTCATTTCCTTTGGGATTCCGAAGAAGAAGAAGAGGAAGAAGAACAAAGGGGAGTGGATTTGATTCCAGAGATGAACAAATTGTCACCACCAAATTATTTCCATGGAATTCCACCTCTCCCTCCTCCAATAGCTGCTGCTTCTTGAAAAAAGCTTGAATCTTTGGCCAGAAAATCTTGTAACATAGCGCTTCAGATTTTATAGCATCTAAGTTCTAACCCACCACCCTTTTGTTTATAGCCCCTTTCCCTTTTTGTTACCAGTTTTGGCTTTTCTTATTTCAATCCCTGCTAGTACCTCTCTTGTAGAATCGTAATAAGATATGGAATGAGTCTATTTGGCTTACTCGGTCTCTCTTTTTCTCAATCTCTCTTTCTCTGTGTGTATATGTGAATATTCCATCGACAAGGGGACAAAAATTATCTCTCCCTGCTGCAAAAGGTAAAGGCCATCCCTTGCGGATGCCAAAAGGCATAGATCCTTTGTTTGCTCAAGCAGCCTCTTTTCCACGCAGCTTAATGAAGGCTTTTCATCATCTTCCATGGAAGCTTAATGAAGGCTTTGTTCAGTGTCTGTCATACTGTATTGTATAGCGTATTCATGCTAGTTAGATCAGGTACCGCAGATCAAATTGATACATTTTATCCGAATTACGATACTCTTGCTGCAACTTTTCTATGGTTTCGCTGTTAAGCCGGTTGAATCTCCTCTATGATTTCACACATTGGTATTGATTGCCCATTCCTTTTTCTTATCTTGGAGTGCTTTTAAAGCAGGTTCTTATGGTCCATACATATACATGTGATTGCTGTTGACAAAACCTCCTAATGTTCAGTGTACCCATCCCACTTCCACAGGCTGCTGCTTCTTTTGGAATTTTCTTCGTACCCTTTTACCTTTGGCCTATACAGGGAAATAGGGTTCAATTATTTGATGTGTCCTTTGTTCAGGTAAGTTGATTAATATGGAGCTCCATGTTGCACCTCTGTTCTGGTGGCACATGGCTTTACCGTGAATGCCTCCGAATAGGAAGTTAGGCTCACTTTTTTTCACAGGATGGGCAAAACCCATTTGTTTGCTGGCTAATTAAGTAAAGTTGGATGATGAAAGATAATTAGTAGCTGTTGATATGCACCGTTAATGTTATGATCATCATAATTGCTGCTGATTAAGAAAGGATTACAAACAATGTGCTGCTGTCTAGGTTCTCTAACTTTTTTCTACAGATCAAAGCAGCAGTACACGTGAACTTCTTCTAGGAAATGGAGCTATTTTTATATGATCCAGAACCATCCCAGAACAGATCCAGAGACCAATCCAATCCCTAGAAACACAATCATCACAATTGCAGCCAGCTCAGCCTCGGAACCTGGAACCGATTTCGGGGCGAGGATCATTAGGACACTTGTCAGATACCCATTTGTCACGCCGAGCATGAATGTCAGGACCACAACTGGAACTTCTGATCTCAGCCACTTGGTTGGTCCATGGAGGCAGGCTGCAAAGAGTGGATAGAACAGCAGCCTCAGGAAACAACCCCAGGTGGCCTTCTTGATGCTCTTCATAACATATATTGCTGTCACGGACTTTCCTATGAAATCCGACACATTGTATACTGTTATCAGCAGAACAGGATACCAGTCACTCAACAGGTTTGACTTGACATCTTCTGCTAGGAATCCTGGGAAGATCGAGAGAGTGACGAGGTAGATTGTCAGAACTGCAACAGCTGGCCACTGGATTTTCCTAGCCACGGACCAGAATCTCGGCTTTGAATCATCACCATCAGCGACAACATCAAGCTTGTTGTGGTTCTGCTGCATAACTGGTAACTTGTACAGCAAGTTACAGAAGAAGATGCAGCAGAGGAGGATCACAGTGCTGACAATGAAGTAGAAGTGTGCGCTCGTTCGGAGACCCTGAGGCGTCTGGGGGAGCATTGCCTTTGTGATGATCCTCAGGATGGACACAAGAACCCCTGTGGCAATGCAATGGTGATTTAGGTATAAGCAAAAGAACTTTAACTTTTTTACTGTGATGTATAAAAGTGGTTTACCTGAAGAGGCTGTCCCAGCGAAAACTGCCTGCATGTATTGCTTTGGAAGCTTCCCAGCCGAACCTATCAAGCTACCAGCAATCAATCCATCTGCAAATCCACAAACCACAACCGATGCAACTGTCATGCTATAGGCTCCCGTGGGCATCGAGCCATTTCTGCTGCTCCAGTCCAGAGTTGGAGCAACCATCATGGAGAGAACAAAGAGGGAGAACCCTAAGTTCATCCTCAGCCTGCAACTCATCCTGCTGCTCCAGCCACCTTGGCTCATGATCACCACCAGAACCAGCACCGAAGAGCTCATGTAAGCCACGGAGAAGACCTTTTCGATGTGTTTGTTCGGGTATAGGGAGCCGAAGTAGTCGATGGCAGTGATGAATGCGTTCCATGGAAGCAAGTTGCCTGCACCAAGCAAGAAGTGGATTATGTAAGCAACTCTATAAGCATCTCTCCTCTCTGGTGGAACAACAGGTCCTTTCTCGAATTCCATTTTTCGCATCTCTCCAACCAACGCTTACCAGCATCATATATACTGTGCCGAGTTGCTGCCCCTATCGAAAGGGGCAGTGATGGCTTTCTTGTTGTTGATTAGAAACTGAGTTGACAGCATAAACTGAAGTTCAAAACTTCCTCTCATCCCTCGTAAGTCTAGTTGAAGAAACACCACTGGTTCATAGCTATGGATTTTGATTGATGGGGAAGTTTATGGAAACGAAAGACTGGTGCTTTTGTAGGGACGGACAGCAGTGGATGGGCGGTGCTACACACCACTCAGAAAAGCAGCAGGGAGAATCTTTACCACCCCTTAAAATCGCTTGAACATGGTTTTTTTCTCTGTGTAATTATTGGACTGAGTCATTCTTAAACGTTGCCAGGATTGGATAGTGTCAGAATCCAAAACAAATCGAAACCTGATGAGAGCCCCTGGAAATAAAGGCAGAGGCTTTCTGATAGTTTTCTCTTCTGCAGATGTTGGAATCAGAAGGCAAAAGCAGTGCGGAAGGAACTTGGTTCTCTTCTCTGTGCTGTATTTTGTTCGACATGTAATGGTGTCACTTGGATGGCCATTGTTCTTGTTCACTCTGCTGGTAATTCTTCTTTCACTTTTACAGTGAGTTGTTTGCTGTGACTTATATACTGAACTACTGGCAACCCATCGTTGTGATGTGCCAGAAAGGCAGAGCTTGAGATGGGCTTGATGGAATATTGAAATCATGGGAGAAAAGGTGATGCTTCTTTCTTGTCAACAACATGCTAGTGGTGGGTTAGCTATGGCGGACTTGTAACTGTTGAAGAGTCATGCTGTGTTTTACTGTTGCATAATGGAGTGGAATTGTTTTGCTTTAGGGTTCTTTCAGAGGTTGAAGACTCAATCATGGGAGCCAGAAGACACGGAGATGTGGAGGGTGTGGGGATCGTCACTAGTGCTTCTCTGGCTTTTGCTCCATCTCCATCGTCATTAGTTCAAACTCGTTTTCCAACAGTGAATACATTCATTCTGCTACAGGGGGATGGGATGCTTCATGTCTTTGTAATTTCTGTTCATTTGGAATGGAATCTGTATTTGAATTAGCTCGAACAGGATTATATTTAGGGGATAATTTGTAAGTACATTAAATAAAATAGAATTTAGATAAGTTAGAGATTTCTTGTTCACGATTAGTTATCGGTACTGATGATCTCTAACTTTAATCTAAGTACATATGTCAGAGGTATGTCTTCGAAGATAAACTGACTTTGATTAGAAATTCTTAACCTATAGCGATGGTTGATGGTTTGTAGGTTAAGGTACTTGATCCTACTTATCTCAACCATTAAGAAGAAGGTGGAGAAGGGTAAAAGAATGAGGGCAAATTTATATTCTCAGAAAATATCTCATGACGATTGTCTTATGTCAAAGAACAAGACAATTGTGTAAAAATTTCTCATACAATTACCTCATTTTCTAAAATAAAATATTTGAGCCTAATTGACTCATTTTGAAAATATTTTATCCAAACGACCACTAAGTATTAGCACCATACTAACACATTTATTAATGATATTATAGCATTTTCCCTTCTCTCTTCTCCGTTCCTCTTCCCCTTCTCCTCCCCCTTACATTCGAGTACTAAAAATATCGATGGAAAATTATATTTTAGTACCTAAAATTTTTCCCCTAACATTTTCGTACCTCACCATTTTAAAATTTACAAACAGGTCCACTATTTATGGCATGCTTTATAAACTTGTGGCATGCTTTGTGGTTTTGGCATGCTTTGAGGTTGTGGCATGCTTTGATGAGGTTGTAGGCTTGTAGCATGCTTGGAGAAGGTTGTGACTTGCTTCGTGGTCCCCCTGCCTTCCTTCATCTCTTCCCCAATTTTTCGTAATACCAAGCGTGTCCCTCTTTCCTATTCTCCCTCATTAATTGTGGTCAACTCATTTAAAAAGAAAAGTCATCCAAACAAAATGTACTTATTGACTGGAGTTAGTGTTAACATCATACTAACTAAAAAAGTGAAACACTCTAACTCCTCCTCGAGTTCCTCAGCTCCTACAATAAGTGCTAAGTGGAAACAAATTATTTTTAGAGGTTATTTATATTTATTAGGATGTCATTGGTATTATATTCTTCGCTGAGTCATATATTATTGTTGACTTTCAGTTAACACTTTGGGGCCTCTCAGTAAGTTACTCACGTATGAGTAACTAGATCTAGACATTTGTATTAAGTGGGTTCATAAAATCCATATCTAAGGGTTGTGAATTAGAAATATTTTATTTTTCGTAGTTTTTTAATCGACTCTTATCTTCTTCGTTCTAACTCAGAATTCATTTTTTTGTTGTTGCACAGATGGAACAAATTCATGTGCTCTACAAAATGAGATCAATTTTCAATATTTTTAGAGAATTTTTCCATATATCTCGTTACCAACTCCATACCATATAGTATCTTCTTCGTTTTTAAGTCATTTTTTAAAATATTTGCACAGAAGGAACGAGTTCGTCATAATCTATTGGACCTACAAATTTTTGGCTGAAAAAAAGACAAGATAAAAAAATACCATACTATACCACCCTGGTATGAGGGTGGTAACTCTTGGTACACAATAATGAAAGTCGTAAATGACAGTTAGTATACTTCTACTATCATGTATTCAACCATCCTACACTCTTGGTATGTTCGTACCACCATGGTACGCTTTCATACCATATGGTATGCTCTTATTTAATACTAGTCAATACCATGTGGTATAAATTGGTAAAAATGACTCAATTTTTTTTGTTCACAAAATATATCAAAATTCATATCATTTTGAAGTGGACAAATAATCTAATTTATCTGTGCAACAAAATTTAAATTCTCACTTAAAACGAGAGAAATTTTCCATTAAAGATTAAAAGGGAAAAGATTTTAACTTACCATAAGAGAAAGAATATGTTGATATCACGCTGATGTGAACGTGTTACTCATAATTACTAGCATATAACCCGGCCCTTTGGCCGGAATGGTCGTATTTGATTATTTGTATTTTTATGTTACTTTTAAGTCTATTAACCCGTTTAATCTTATTGATAATCATTCGATTGAAGATGATACATAAAGAAATAATATATAGGTCGAACATTCGGAGAAATATCATAATCATTTAAGAATATAAAATATAAAAATGTATCATTGACCCCATTTTCATAATGCTAATTAAGTCCCTGTTAAAATGCTATTGGTTAGTTTTCTTTGACAGTCAAGAAATATAGAGTATAAAAGCTCACTGAAATTCTCACACAACCCATAGATAGTTTGAAACTAAATCTTAAACCTCACAATCCTATATAAAGGGTTCAATGCTCTCCTTTTAGAAACAATATGTCACTAATCAAAAAGAAATGAAGAGTTGTTGATTCAAGTCATCTATATACTAAAAACTCAGCTAAGATGGGACCATCACAACTTGAGAGCAAACGAAAAAATCAGGGTTATCTCCAATATACGAATAGACTCGATCAAAGTAATAAGGCGCAAAATTAGACACTCCTTATCTATTAGTTCCAATAGGTTGAATAAAGAAGCGACCTATTTCAAACAATCAATCAATGATTCCTCGTTTTAAGATAGAAATAAGTTATGACAGTTGCAAAAACCATAAACCTAAAGATCCAATAGCCACCACTCTCCGTTGTACAACCAAATTTCTATCTCAAGAGGCATATATTCAACCAAAAATTCAATTTCTAATCTTCCTTCTACAACTTCAGTTATTGATGAGCTCCATTCTATTCGCCATGAATTGATATTGGAGTTGAAATCTTCTACTCGCCCAGCTTAAAATCCCCAACAATAAAACCGTAGTGCCAAGAGATACCTGAAGATTGATTTTCAATGACAGTCCTGTACTGGGAAGTGAAATGCGCAAACTATTGCACGATGGATGAAATTTCGGAGGAAGATAGAAAGAGAAATGAACAAAGATAAAAAAAACACAAAATTTAAATTGAAAAATGCAAGGATACAACAGTAGTTACTTAATTAGTTTCTTCCATGTTGGCCAATTACCCATTTACCTTTAGCAAAAATTAAGGAGAGAGCGAGAATTTAAAATTGAGAAAATTACATGAAACTCTACTATGAAAATAGAAGTATCAAGCTCGATAAAAATACATACGATAGACTTACCGAGCTTGCTAATTATGATGAAAAAGTCCTCTGATTTTCAGAGATTAACTTTGTCTATTTTTTGTATAAAAATGGATGCATTAAATTTGTTTAGTGTAACTGGTTGTGATTGTTATCTTTGTTTGAAGAGACCCGGGTTCAAATCTTGATATTGCTATTTTTATATGAAATAAATAATAAATGTGTAAAGACAAAAATGACCTTCCTACTTTCACTCTCGTTGCAGGAAATTTGAAATGGAGAAAAATACACAAAACTCTACCATATATTAATGGAGGATTGACCCTAAGGTTACTGATCGGATATGCTCCTTCAGTTAAACAAAGTAACCATGTTTATCGAAGTGGTAGACGATCAACCAGTTAAACCGATCACCGACTATCAAGCCCATGAATTAATGTGCTAAATCCTTGGTTCTGACTTCTGACCCCCCTGATCCGATTGGATTTGTGCCTCCAAGCTCATGGACTTTTTTTCCCCGGTAATTAGTGGTTTCCATTAAAGCTCACTCGATGCAAACAGCATGAGTCGAAAAAATACAAGACAGCAAAGAACTGCCAACAGCAAACTCCCTCAGAAAATAGAAACTAGCTATTGGGGAGAGATAATCCTATACAGCTCTGGAATTCTCTGAATCAAAGCCTGGAACTCTATATTACCATTGCTAAACAAACACATTTCCTCCCTTGTAAGCGAGGCCAGCAACTCAGGTTGTTTCATAGTAGTCCCAAATACCCTGTTGCAACGTTCACGCCAGTTGGATGCAATAGTCCAACACCAAATGGCACACAGCTCATGGGCTTTTACAGACTGGAGCTAGCAGGATAATTTTTCTTCGGCCTAATACCTGCCTTAGTTGGGCCGGAGCCCAAAAATGCATTTAGTTTTCTTTCCCTCCTCCCACTTTGTCTCTTTCAGTTTCCGCTGACCTCAGCGAACACCACGTGAGCCGCGATAGCCACGTGTCATGTGACTCATCTCACACCTCCCGTAGTAAAACGGCGCCGTCCTTCCCCTACTTTCCTCCACGAGCACGTCAGCCAATTTCCCAAATTACTTAACCAAACCCTAAATCGGCACAAAGTTTAATAAAATCACCTCACGGGTCACGGCCCCTTCCCTTCGCGTCTCCGGTCGCCGGCGGTCAGCCTGAAAGAGCGAGAACAAGACCCCCAAATTCCCGTCCCCACAAAACCGGGGAAAAAAGGCAGTAGATGTCGAAAACCCGCGCCCTCACTAAACGCTAGCTAGCTTTCCGAATCGCCTTTCTCGAGTCTCAACTGCCCTCCTTTTTTCCTCTTCCCCTCGACGGTGGCCCGATGGAGAGGAGCAGCGAGCCCCGCCAGCCGTATCCCGCCGGAGAAGAAGGCAGAGGCGCCGGCGGCAAGCTCAGGAAGCGTACCGCGAGGAGAGCTGCTACGCCTTATGCTCGGCCGCAGCAGAGCTTAGCACAGCGCACGCGGCCGTGGCTCTCGAAGCTCGCTAACCTAGTTTTGCCCAGCTACTTCTCTCAATCGGGCAATGCCCTCCCAGCTCCTCCTGCTGCTGAACGAGGAGTTGGAGATGAAGAAGAAGAAGAAGAGGATCACGGTTGACTTTTTAAATTTTCCATTTTATTTTTCGTAGCTGAACCCTAAGTGTTATTTTGAATTGCTCACTTGTTCTTTCGTGATTCAATCGTCGGTTTAATTGATTAGTGTATCGTGGCGTCGTTGACTGTATAACTAGCTAAAGCTTCGATCTTGGGGTGTTTTCGAGTAATTTGTTTTAATTAATTGCTGTTTTACTCATCTTAACAGGTGAGTCTGGCAATCAGGTTGAAGAAAATGTCGGAAGGGATGAAATCAGTTTGTCATTCAATGTGAGGCCTTTGCCCTTTACTCTGTTTATGCTTTGTTCCTGTTTTCTTAGTAGTGAACCGAGGGGTTTTGAACGAACTCGGTTTGGGGTGTTATTGCAGCATCTGGGTTCGGGATCAACTGAACTTGGTGGCACTAATGAAGTCACCAATGAATTAAATTCTCGTCCAGAGATTGAAAGAGTTGAAGAACAGCATACAGTGAACACTTCTGATCTTGATGGGGTTTCGGCAATCGAGCAGTTACTGATGAACAAAAAGTTTTCTAGGTGAAGCTCTTTTGTGCATTCATTCTCAGCTCTTTGAGATCTTCCTGTAGTCTGATATGGTGTAAAACTGTCTTGTGGTCTGGTTAGTGAAGTTTAACGTAAGGTCCCACTTGCTGTGCAGGGATGAAGTCAATCGGTTGATTGAGATAATTCACTCAAGGGCTGCTAATTCTCCCAACAAGGAGGAAGAGAAGCAGCATTCTGGTATGTTTGGGCGGGATGCTGGACCTTCGGCTTTCCTTGAAGATTCACAAAGGTGCAGAGAAGCTGAGAAGAAGCACACGAGTTCAATTACACAAGGCATTTTCCAGCCTGCAGCTTGGGCTGAAACTTCAAGAAAGTCTACTGAAGTACAACATGAAGATACGAACAGAACAACTTGGGGAGGCTCAACTCCTCTTATCCAGTCGACTGTGAGTGGATTATATTATAGAACATTCCATCTGCCACTTTATGTAATGAGAGTGTATTCCTATCCTTCGCAGAGCTTGCTTTTTGTTATGCTTATGCATCAGCTAATCGATTATCACAACATTGGTGAGAGTAGTATGTGGAAGTGGGAATTATCTAAAGATAGTTTTTAGGGTATAATCTTACTTTGGGTTATCCACATGTTTTGTATAGCATGACAAATCATGAATCTGAATTTTGCTCCTTTTTGGTGCTTGTGATTATATTCTGCTCTTAGCTTGTTAAAGAAAAAATGCTGTCCAAATTTTTTTGCTTGCAAGATCATCTCATAGTTCTGTGCACTTATGCAGGTTGAAGATGAAGTTGGTGCTTCACCAATCCAAATTGCCAAAGCGTACATGCAAAAACGGACATCAGGATTAGGATTAGAGGATGCAGCTGTAAAAGATGAAGGGCCTTCTTCTCGTGGAGATGAGATGGCACTACAACCATTTACCCCTTCATCTTTTATTAGGCCGTCACCATGCTGGCCAGGTGCCAGGGTGCGAGATCAGAATGAGTATGCTGCACCCCTCAGCCAAAGCGGGAGATTCGGGCTCCAAAGTTTTCCTAGGACCCCTTATTCTAGAGCTATTGCCTCAAAATCAAAGTCCAAGGTTAGAAGCTGATTGGTAAAAGTCATTACTGTTTTTGAAGATTCTGTTGCTCATCCATGATTGCTTCCTTCAATTCAACCAGCTGATTCAATTGCAAGGGAGCAGTAGAAGATCCCTGAACATGCCGTCAACTCCATTTCAGCCGCCTCAATCATCAACTTTTGGGCAGGTAGTTTTCATATTACCATATGCTTCTTATGCTGAAATGTTATAACCTTGTAGAGAAGTTTGATCATCGAAGTCACTGCCTAAATTATTTGCAATGTTTGGTTTGAATTATAGTTCAGTTCAAGGGAGAGGAAGTTGGATATTGGTGAAGGATCTGTAGGACCTATCCGAAGAACAAGAAGGCAGGGTGCTGCTGTAGAGCTTTCAGCTAGAGGATCTCCATTTGTCAGGCCATCTGTGGATACTCCTAAAGTTGAAAACATCAATGTGCCAGAGGGGATATTTTCCGCTTGGAAGAAAGACTCAGAAACAGGAAGAAAGCCTCATTCCGAAGTCAGTACTCCTACCATTCCTTCACATTCTAGCCAGGTAGCTCGCAAGATTTTGGAGCATCTGGACAGAAACCCAGTTACTCCAAAGCAAAAGTCTGATGAATTAAGGCTCACCACTTCATGGAAGAAGCCTGAGTCTTCTTCTGACATAACTGCTTTCACGCCACTCAAGCATAATAGATTGCCTCAATTTGGGATTCTGGATTCATCAGGAAATTCTTATCAGGCTGATAATAAAAAGAAGTCTTTACATTGGAGTGAAGATAGAGGGAAGTCCCTTTTCAAGGATCCTCAGGAGACCACTAATGATGTGAATGGAAAATCTTCTGCCCCTGGCATAACAATTGGCAGTAATGCTGTTGATCCCGGGCCTTCACAAGTTCTAAAGAAAAATGTGGATTCAGAAATCGTGAAAGCGAATGAGGTATTCAATGCATCTCTTGACTACTATCCTTATTTAAAATCTCAATGACATTGTTCGAGTAACTTGTCCTCCATGTATCTTATATTAAAATTATGATTAGGTTTCAGGTCTACAAAAGAAGCCTCCAGCACATTCTTCAGGGACTAGACCAGTTCTGTCCTCTATCGCCATTGGAAAGCGTGAACAGAAGTGGGCGTCTTCTGATGGCAACGCGAGTTTTAGTTTCCAAGTTCCCGCATCATCTACGGGCGTGTTCTCCGAGCCTCCGACTCCCTCCATGCCATCTTCCTCTGCAAACGGTCTGCATCAGCCGGAAGCTGATGAACAGTCAATCCCTACCTACAGCTTTGGCTCAAACAAGGGCCCTAATTCTGCCCTTGTTTTCTCTTTCCCTTCAACGAGCAGCAGCAGCAGCTCCTTACCAGATGGGACATCAGATCTGAAATTCAAGTTTGGATCAGACAAGAGCAGTAGGGTTTCTTTCAGCTCCATAGGGAAAGACTCTGTGTGCTACTGAGAAATTCAATTTGATGTTCCTAGGACCCTTCTTTTTGTGTACTTTCCAACTTCCTCTCTCCCCCCACAGTTACTCTTCCAGTTTTGTGAGAAGAAACTAGAAAGTGGTATCTTGATGCTCTATGGCTCATTCGTATCCTGATTTGGTGGGAGAAAAAGTCTTTCTGAATGGCTCATCTGTGTAACTCTGGTAGTAATAAGATGAATGCAAATTTGGCCATCTTGGGTAAGAGGCTGTCTTGGGTGGAAGAAATGAGTTGCTTGCTAGTTTCCTTTTTCTTGTATTTATCTCGAACAATATCCACGAGAAAGGAAATTCAATTTCTGCAGGAAGCAAAAGCATGTGATTGATTGATGCCATATATTGGAATCATGTGCAGTAGGGTTTGGTTGGTGGCTTCCATTCCCATTATGGGAGAGGAGAACCAACTTTCATACATGGGTCTTTTCTTTATCTCTCTGCTTTGGATGCCAACTTGAAAGGACAGGATTGATATGGTTGCAGGAGATGGTGTTTTTCAAGCTTTGGTAGGCTTTTTACATTATGGATCCCACTTCAAAAGGAGAATGATCATTGAATGGATGAAAATGGACAATCTCAGATATGCTTGAAGGGGTGGAAATTTTTTGCAGTGGGCTCTCCTTTTTGGTTTTGATGGATTGTTGTTGGCGAAGAGAAAGAGCCATTATAAAAGAGCAGAGAGTGTGATAGGGATTGGTGAGAGAGGGAACATAAATAATAGGTTGGCAATAAGTCGGGTTGAGTCGGGTTTTGTCAAATCCAAATTCATGTCATTATTCCTAAAAAATAAACAACAAGATAAAACTCACTGGGTTTGGAAAACTCAAACTCACCCCAATTTGCTGGATATCTGCGGATTTATGAGTACCCATGGGTTTGCCGGAACAGTACGGTTTTGCTAAATACCGGTTCTAACTTCAAAGTTGGCGGATTGCCAATAGCTTGAGCCTCTGGTGTGTAGTGCATAAGCTCAAACTCCGAAGCAAGTTGGAATGAAATGACAGAGCCATAAACAAAACAACGCCAATTAAGTAGAAAAAAAGAAAAGAAACCCACCATTGAATGCGTTTTCCAGACAGACATGAAGTTGACGTTTCAGATTCCGATTGTCAGAAACTCGCCTTTTTTCTACATTTTTCTTCTTGGCCATGGCCGTCCATGCATATGATCGATCAGCCAGCCAACGCAGCGGCAGCAGCAGCTTTTTTTGCTAGATGCTGCTGTCTGCTCTTCATTCATGCCCACCAAGCCCTAGCAAAATTTGGAGGAGCATGCATTTTTTTTTATATAGTAAGAAAGTACACATGTACTCTACAGTCTACACCCCTCTCTCAACTTTTAAAATCAAAAGCCCTCATGCTTTCTTTTGGTGGTAGAAACTTAACCAGCATCTTGCTACAGGGATTATTGGCTCGATGGGATCTAGCATAGATGCTTTGTTTCTTCTCGGTTCGTCAACCCATGATCGAAAAATTTCGGATGGTTTTCGCTATATATAATTCTTCGAAATCTAATAGTCCCGCGCGACAAACTACTCTTCGGTCCGTTTCGCGAGCATCTCATCGTTACTCTTCTTAATGTCAAACCTCATTCACATCATATCGGACCTTGTTTATGAAACGATATGGAACATACAATTTCAAGAATAATGATGAATTGATGATGTCAGTTACTATATATATGAGATTAGGGTCATCATCATCCGCTCCTTTAGTCAACTGTTCATGATGATGTAGGATATAATTTTGTATCGAAAGGTAGAACAACTAATCAGACCGAACGAGAAAATCAACTTAGATCACATACATTCATCCCAAGCAAATACACATTCATGCCCTAATTTATAGAGCTTTTTTTTACATTGAATTTACATTTTCAGCCCCTAACATGTACACATTTTTTTTGGGATGAATAAGACCCAACTTTTCTTTCATCCACAAACAAGACTACTAAACTTTCTTTCCATATTGTTTGTGAAAGGATTACAGAAAAAAGCCATTATATCCGTATAAAAGCAAGGAAACAAATTATAGCCTTTGCTCTTTTACACTTTTTTCTTTCTTTTCTAGGCATATACAAATGAAACCCCCACTATGAAAAGAGAAAAGTTCATAAGTGAAACCATGGTAGATTTTGACCAAGGCAATTGGAACAGCAAACCCTATCCTTAAAATACTTCTAGCTTGTTAGAGGGCTTTGGCAGGATGACCATAATCATCAATAAAGTAAAGGGGAAAAAGAAGTCACATATTTGCACGATTCACTAATACAATACGTATAGTCCAATCACGTACGAGAAAGACCAGTTTCACATTGTTGACCAGAACACATATAACTGGAGACCTCCATCATCATCATAGCAATACTACTTGTTAGCATTGAGACTTAACCAGTTAGTCAGTTACCAACCAACTAGCTAAGCTAGTGCCCTATCTCAAACCATAATGCCCTTCTTTAATCTAGTGATCATGATGATATGTGTATATATATGGCTACCCCATTTGGCAGGAGGCCAAAGAGATTGAGCAGGAAGTGAGTGGTAGACAGGCTAAGTCTTTAACTTTTTGGTAGATATATATATGGCTACCACCTTTTGTTATCATCGTATACAAATAACCACCGATTACATTCGATATATCACGAAAGGATAAAGCAAACTGGAAAGATGTCTGACCATGTCAAACACGACTGGAAACTCCGTATGTCGTATGACGTATCTCCTATAAAGCATTGTATATTGTGTCGTTTTAGACTTGTCTCGTAAGATTCAAGGTACCCGAAATCAAGATGACGGGGAAAAAATCTCAAATTTTGATGAGTATAACTAGTTGGAATATGCTATATCGTGGCTAACATTAATAAGACAATTTAGCAACCAATCACTTTCTTTGTCCCTCGTAGACATTGCAAATGACACACATGTATGTCGATTCATATTAAATGTGTTCAATTTGGATTATGTGGTTCTTGTGAAATGTGCAATCCCTAGATGACCAACTATAGTTGGGACCATGTCACATCCACATACACACATTCATATTTATATACGTGGAAATTAGCCTTCTTGTATTATCTTCATAATTAATGTTGTCAATATGTATCTTGTGGTCCAATTTGTGATCTTAAATATGTCTAGATACTCATGATCCTTGATCTCCCCATGACAAAAAATAAAATAAAAAATCGAGTGCCCTAGAAATTATGGCATTGCCAAATGCCAAGCGGGCGAGCGCCTTATTTGGCTCATGATCATACCCAAATTTCATAATAAATAAGAGGTCATAAGTTTTAGGAGCGTCGGATTTCACACTGCAATAATCTCGACGATGTGCGAATCATCTCTATATCGTAAAAGATAATACGGATCCTTAGCTTCTTGTAACATCTTTTCATCGTAAGAGTTTTATATTCAAATCATTTACAAATGCGGGTATGCAATAAAGAAACAAATAAGATACGCGACATGATGATTTACATTGTGTAGTACGTACTTAAGCTACCCGGCCGTTATCCGAGTCAAAGCTTGAAATGTCCATTAAAAAGAAGGAAACATGAAGCGTATCAAATAAGGATATACATATATATACACACACTAACATGTTCTAGCTATGTCTATTCCTAACCATAAACGAAATGCAAACACATTATCATTTCAGTAAGCGAAATGTTTTGCATGAAAACGAGTTCGGTTATCCCTAAGTGAAACGTTTTGGCATTTCCTAGCGTCTAAACGTGACTAATCATAGGATTAAACGCGCGTTTTTTGAATCATGATTATGGTCCACGTATTTTCAATGTCTCTAATCCAAAATCGAGAACATGAAATTTTGGATTCTGGTTGTAGCTAGCTAACAAAAATTGGCCAAGAGAAGAGAAGGTTTAGATGTCCACCGTATTCATGTAAAAAGCCGGCCAGCAGAGGTGAAAACGACGGCACCGGGAGCCCGCCTGAAATTCAGTCGCTAGCAGACTGACCGACTGACTGTCGTCTCGGCTGGTAAAATTGATCGGTCCAGCTTCAGGATATATACTCACATGTATGCATTTTCCATTGAAAAAACAAAGCGAAATCCAGGGGGCAAAAATCATTGCGTAATGATTATACAGAAAATCATTACGAAATTATTATACAAATTTCCGTCTTGGAAGGAGACGAATGCCATTTGAATAAATCCAAACAAACTGAAACAAATTTTTTGTCCATTTGTTGCAATAAATTCTAATTTAATTGTCGTTTAATTTAATCTTCACCTTATTTGAGCAATGATCACCAACGTTTATATGAATTCAATTTCGTTTATGTTTAGTTTTTTTTTTTTTGCCAAATATATATGAAAAGAGAAACAACAAAAGATAGATGTTTTCAAAGCGGACTCCTCCTCATTCATTAGATAGAGAAGATCACCAAGATTTTGTGGTCTGCCGCCGAACTTATTCTAATTCTATATTTCGATTCGATGTGAGGTCTCTTAAGGGCTCGTTTGGATGGAAAATTCTAACCGATTAATTTGACCCAATTGTTTAGTTTTGAGACAACCTAGTCAAACTGATCCGTTTGACAACATAAAATTTAAATGAAGCAATTCTGTCTGGGGAATTTCAAATTGACTCTTTTTGAGGCATTACAATTGTCTGGAGTGAGGACAGACAATTCGAATTGGCTCGTTTTAATTAAATGACTTGTTTTGTAAATAAAACGTTTGATCAAATTGTCTCGTTTTTTAAATTGATTAATCAAAACGTCCCCTATTGAATTGCAATGAGCATTCTCAATATTATGAGCATCCACAACGAAAACATCCAGTATTTCATAGGAACATAGCATTGCATATGTGTACTTCTATCTCAGCCGAGACAGATATACAGGTTTTCTCCATTTAAATGTCCTTAAAATCCATCATCATCTTCCAACAAAGAAAGCCAAAAAACCAACAACAACAAAAAAAAAACATGCTTTTGGTAATTAAAAATGAATTACAACTTCATAATCTCTGGAAAAATCAAGACCATCCATGCAGGAACCATATCGAGCCCCCGCTCCTCAATTAGCACTCATGAGCCTCCAAATTGTGGCAAACCCCTTCACATTACACCATCTTCCTCTCAACCCTAAAATATATTAACAAAATACAACATTAGTTCGATTGTCGAAATATGTACCGTTTACTAGCTAGTTAGATAGTCACATCTCTCCATCTTATAAGACTTACATGAACGCCGTCTAACGCGATGATGATCGACGGAGCTTAGTAGGCCGTCTTTTTGTTAGTCTCAAGCATCAACCCAAAGTGGATGTGAGGGAAGTGTGCCCACTGTCCATGTCCCAAAACAAAACAATTTTTTATTTATTTATATCAAGCTAGATCTACTTATAAGTCATGTATACCTACATCGAATTTGCTCAAAATTAAAGATGTACTATAAACGAACTTACATTTTTCGCGGCGGTACTGAAAGCCTCGCGGTGACTAATGTCCGGGTTATTAGCCTTGATCCTCTGGATCTCCTCCCTACGCGAATCAATACACATGTACAAAGTTACATTTCACAACTAGTCATTCCTTGTTAGGTTTTATTCAATGAGTTAACTCCAAACTATAGTATACGCACTTGATGAACTGGTTGTACGCAGAAGGCACTCGCTGCCTCTTCTCGGGAGCTGAAAAAATGAACCGAAAAAAACACACATCCCATATCAACAAGTTTTCACCACACCTTTAAAGTCCGAACATTAAGATCAACACGATCGTCGCTGAAGAACGATATACTCACGTCGGTTGATGATCCGTTCTTCAGCTAGGTTAGCCGCGGCCAACGATCGGGCTGCAGGCAGCTTGGTCGTGGCCGGGCTCGATTTGGCAGAAGATGAAGAGGAGCCAGCAGCAGCATGGTGATAGTTCTGGTTACTAGCAACGTTGTTGTTCTGGTATCCATTTCCTACCTATAAAATCACAATAACTAGCTAATACGTAAAGAGGGAACAATATTGAAGTGACTGGAGTATGTTATGTTCCCATGATATGAAATGAAAAGCAACATTTTAGAAACCGTACTTAACCGTTCAGTCAGATTGAAAAGTTGAACCACAAATTTAATACAAAAAATACTCTATTACTAATTTTCCGGTATAACTTTCAATACGGTTTAACGATCGGCACGAGAAGTAGTTATTACATAACTAAATGCTACTGTTCGTGGCCAATCCTATCGAATGTATGAAAGTAATGCAGGCAGGCAGAACCAAACAAAACAAACCCTAACCAGAGAGAAACGACAGGACACACATCTCATCAGCACAAATCCCATCAAATCATGAATCTGAATGTTTCTCTTTTTCTGAAAGAGAGAGAGAAAAGGAAGGCAGCCATAGCTAGCTAGATAGAGAGAGAGAAGGTACTGGGTAGTCAAAATAGGCATCTAGGTAGGTTTTGAGAGAGAAACAAAACAAACAGCTGGGTATTTGCTTTTTGAGCCGCAAAAACCAGGGATTAGCGGCTGCAGGCAGCATCTGCCGCCACAGTCTAAACATTGCATACATAGTAATAGATCCCTTCTTTTAAGAAACACATCCATCCCTCCAACTAGTGAAAAAACAAACCCTAGAATTGCAGAGGAGGCGGCAGCAGCCACGCCTAGCTACTACTATAAGGAAGAGAGAAAATTAAAAGTAGTTTAGTTACCTGGTGGTGGTGGTGCCAGGAAGAGAGAGAGTACTGGAAGGCCGCGGCCATGTTGACCGACCAGAGGTTCGTGCAGTGCCCGCATCGGACGGTGACTATGTCCAGCAGATTGCTGCATGGAACGCTCACCTGCCACCATAGATAAAAGAAGATAATTTTTAGTTAGTCCTCAAAGATCTCACCTTTTTCCATTTTGCTTTGATGGGTTTGATTCCAATACGGGGAGAAGAGAAACCCATGATTTCAAAACATTCGGAGTTCCACGGATTGGTAAGTGGGTCGGGACTCGGTTGAGGGGACGGGGATGTTCGTCCCCTAAGTGTTCGACGAAATGTCTCTGAGAGAGAAAGAGATCTTGTTTGTGGCGCAGGCACTGTGTAAGTGGGTTAAAGAGAGTAGAGACATCTATGGATGGATAGAGAGAGAGAGAGAGGGGGGGAAGTCATGGTTTGTGAAGGACGAGTTGTCTTCATCATCAATTGAAAAAACACTTGCAATTCGTGACAGACGATGACCTTTGTTTCAGAGATGGCTCTCTCACTTTTTCTCTTGACTGTCAAAGAAAGAGAAGGACTTCTGAGTGGAGGATGCATGCCTGTCACTTCTGATCATGAAACCAGCATACACTCAGCTCTTGAAGGAAGCTTTTATCATTCATCACCGGCCAAGAAGGACAACCACCATGAAAACTTGAAATAAAAAAGACTCGAAATTTACCATCCTTTCCCCCTCTTTAAGATTCTCTCTAGATTTGCCACAAGAGAAGCCCAAAAATGACCAAAACCCCACCAAGAGAAAAGGAGAAAGGAGAGAACTTGCTGCTTAAATTAATGGTTGCTAGCTCACATGCATAGATAGATCACCATTACTGTTATATCTTCAATATCCATGGCTGAAATCCCAATTGCTTGATTGATAGGCAGATAGGTAGAAGAATTAAGAGGGAAGAGTAGTATAAAGTTTACCGCAAGCACAATATTGCAGAAGTTGCAAGGGATGTAGCAGAGTTGCTCAGGCACCATATCTATGCAGCTAGACATGGAGATGATCTTCCCTCTTTACTTAACAAGCTTAAGAGATCAACAAGAAGAAACAGGAAGAAAGAAGAGGAGGTTTAATTTCAGAAAATTAGGTGGCTGGCTCTACAGCAAGCCCTTTCTTTCTTAGCTTCTCTCTTGCCCTATCTCTCTCTCTCTCTCTTTCTGTCTGCAAATGGTTATAGAGCAAAGGCAACTGGACTCCCCAAATATATATACACAAAATAATAATTATTAGTATAAAACCCTCATTTTTCACATATTCCTTTTTGTGAGAGAAGTTTTTTTCTCTCTTGCTTTTAGCAGCTCTCAGCAGGCAGCCTGTAGCTTAAATGGGTTTTGCTTTGATTTGCTTTTCTCTGGTATACCTGACTACAGCCTATATATTTACCATTATAACGTATCATAACAGTAGATAGACTTTTTTTTTCGGTGGGCAGGTCTCTTGCCAACACAAATGGACATACAGTTAGATGTCAAGTCTCAAGTGAAAAGACTAATGTAAGTAGTACTTGGGGGTTGGGGGTGAAATCCACTGTTTAGTTACCCAATCAGTTGAGAAATGAAAAGGGGTTCTATTCCCACTTGAATTAGGGTTTGAGGAGGGGGGAGATAAACTAGGTGGCTAGTTAAGTGGGGTTCACCTCGATTTCGGGTCAGTGTGTAATCGGTAAATGTATTCACTATACGACTCAAGTAATGAGACCTAACCGATTCTCAACATGATAGTGGAGGCTCTGGTCAATTCAAATCATGGAAATTAGTCGGTAGGTTTTCGATTAACGGGTACATGTGTAAATGAATTATATATGATCCACATTTTAAAAAAATTTCACACTTGAATTATCGACGCCAGTTTTTGACAACTCGATTTTTCGATTTTCAACATTGCTATAAGTAAATGAAAAACAATGATTTTCACCCCCTTATTGTGGAACATAAAGGCCAATCCTTTGTTCTTACTAATTAGGGTTTATACTTTCTTGTCTAATATAAAGAAACTATTTTCCTAATTCATTCACGGGTGTTGTAGCCAAACTATAGCTATGTAAGTTGGGTAGCTTTAACTTACCAGAACTACTCCTTTTCATAGCCACAAGATATTTTCTATATCCTCTCTCTCTCTCTCTCTCTCTCTCTCTCTCTCTCTCTCTCTCTCTCTCTCTCTCTATTGTTTTTGTGTTGTTCTGAATTTTGGTTTTGTGTGAATAGAGATGGAGGTTTGTAGGCATGGCGATGCAGCAGAGCAGAGTAGTGAATGTGACCACACTTTCCCCTCTCCCAATTCACTTCTACTGCGCGCCATTGATGGAGTAGTAGTACGACAGCGGACGAGGGGGGCGATCCATCCTCCATTTCTCTATCTCTTCCAAACTTTCTAGGGTTTCAACTTTTGTGGTTGTTTTCTAGCTATTTAATGCACACAAAAACTTTAGCAAGAAACGAGGCAATTCTTAGACATCAAGGTAGTATATGGTAATTATTTGTGCTCAGTCGAGTATTACTCGACCTGATTCGTGCAGGGCAGGTAATATCAAATGTGCAGTAGTGTTGGGCGAGACATGAGTACTATTTTTCGACACGTCCCTTCCCGTTCTTGACTTATTTCATGTTCTTACTGCTCTTTAACTTTCTACTATTTAGACTCAAATAGCCTGTCGATTATCTCCATTTTCATTCATGAACTACCTATTTACTCCTAGTTTTCAAATAACATGTAATAATGGTCGATCTACCTCAACACATACCCTACAAGCATTAGTCGACCTGACACGAGCTTGGTATGGAACCGATATTATGTATGGAGGTATATGCTTCATCCTGCCTCATTGTCATCACTACATCGAGGTACATAAACAAAAGAGATAAATATGAGTCCATGTAATGGTTGAATTTCAATAATAGGCATCTTGGTATTGTGTTGCTTATGCTCGAGCTTATTCGAGACTCGTGTAAATAGTCGACAAATTCAATTTAGTCTTAAACCTAGTAATTGTACTAGGGCAAAAACCCTACGGTTGAATCCACCAAGCACAACGAGACATAGTAATTGTAACTCCTCCTTGTCGTGCAAGTTTAAGGTTTGATGGGTGAACTTGTACAAACTCCAAACATAGTACGCAAACACTACTTGTCCAACAGACATCAAAATATTGACATCAACTAGTTCTCAACTAAAAGATCCATCTTATTGATATGACTTGAGTACATATTATATGTCGTCGACTGGAAGTTAGTGGTGTCTCAATATGTACCTTTTATTTTCTTGATTTGATTAGGTTAGCCTGCTACCTTCTCAATCTCTATATAATGTATCCCATCAAGTATAGTGAAACCGGTCTCTTGTTCCCGTGGTTTAGCTAACACACATAGTATTACCACGTATATCTGTATATTTTTTACTTTTATGAAATATCGATTTCCTAATGCGTTCTAACACACCTAATTTGCAACCTCATCGAGCATGTAACCTATCATACTAGCTCTATTTTTCTTTATTATATAACTTCTGTTATTGTATTTTTAAAGTTAGTCCATTTCTTATGCACTTTCCACTTGTTCGTTGAATACGAACATTCTCACATTCAGAGAAAAAAATGCTATACCATGTCAATTAGTTTCAATGTGCTTGAGTTTTAAGGCTACAACCCCAATTGACCAATAAACAATAATTCATAAAGATAAAAGATAGCTCAACAAAAACTGAACCACATAAAATTGGAGCCTAGAAAATGAGCAAACACAAGCAAAAATTCTAGAATAGGAGCAAATGAAGATTCTACTTTTTTTTTATACCACAAGTTGTTTTCATAATCCACCATTAATAAGCCTAGTAAATGAGCAAAAAGAAGTACACAGACCAAAGTGTATAATCTTTATTTCTAACATCTACTTCTCCTGCACATAGAGCAATCATAAAACCTCGTTTTTCCGCAACACTTCTTCACTACACATATACTTGTAGTTTCACAATCCAGTACTGCCAATAGGTCCTGTAAATGAGCCTAGCAAATGGGCAAATAGAAGTACAAAAGCTAAGGTTTTGAATCTACATTTGTAACATTTAATCCTCCCGCACATAGACCAATCACAAAACCTATGCTTTCAGCAACATTTCTCGGATATACACCATATACTTGCAGCTATAACATCTACTTCTCATGCACAGAGCAATCACGAAAATTTCTATTTCATAAAATCAGTGCCCACAATGGGTCATGGAATATACCTTAAATTTTTTAACTTCAAATTTATACCTTAACAATGGGTCCTGGAATATTACATGCAAAAGCTTCGTAGTTGGAGAGGCTCCATCATCCAAATTCTCCTCAAAACGAGAAATGTTGAGATCCGAAAGATTGAATCGGTTCATCTCTTGAAAAAAAAAAAGAATACCAACATCATTATATAAAATATTATTCGTCACATTGACCGCATTCTTAACTTTAAATATTAACTCAACCATATAGGGCTTTGAATATGTGCAACAGGAGCTTCAGTCACATCAGCGTTGACCTTAGAAGTTTGATTTCCCAAAGTCTCTTTCAAAACAACACTGTTCAAATCTGGGAATATGATTTGATATGTTCCTGCATAATTAGCTCTCAGAATAGATGTCTGAGTACTTGAACAGTGTCCTCAACTTCCGTGTGATATGATTAATTGACCATGTTTTATTTTATGAAGAGACTTATTTATTGGTTATATTTTATGAAGGAGTCTTCGATTGATTAAATTGATCATTGTTTTAGTGGGGATGTGTTCGACAACTACGAGAGATGCATGATTTGCTTGCTTCAATATTAGTAAAGGAACTTTAAGAAATTATAAGATTATCGGTATTATAGTGATATTGTTTCAAAAGGTGATCATGATTCATACGTGATTAAAAGATATTAAGAGAAGTTGGTAATCTGATAATTATTAGCATTATATATTGATGGGGTTTCAATACAAAACTCAAAGTTATATGGAACTCCATAATTCAAATTTTAGTCACTGATTTTGACATGTTAGAAATTTGATGGTGCATATTATAAGGGGAAATGAGGGAAACCTATGTTTTTTTGGGATAACTGACATGTTTCTTAGGAGTTGGTGTAGAATCCGGACAATATTTAGTTATGACAGAACAATGGTGAGATGTGAAAATTTATTGTTAGAATGACATATAGTCCATTGAAAATTTGTGGGAGATTGAAAATACCTTCAATATAAAAAAATAGCTCATAATAATATCAAAATAAATGTAGTTACGAACACTGCATGATCAACACTATACGCTGCATGTGAGTACTCAGAAATAGTGACGAACCTTTGTTCATAGTTGGGGTAATTGCAACCACCTTAGAGAGGTAGTGAAAATTTTTCTAGAGAATGGGTAAGTGGTGATTCAAACCCCCTAATCTTCATTCCACATCCATTTGTCTTAAAATCTTCATTAGACACCCTTTGTGGTTTTAATATGCAGTAGAGTTTTTTTCTTCTGAAACTTGCAATTCAAAGTGGAAGACCAGCAATAAACAAGAGAAGAAGATTTTTAGACGGAAGAGAAATAAAAGGAAAAGATTAATTGTCAGAGAAATAAAGCAGTAACACTTTGTTAAATGTAAAAAAAAAATTCAATATTCATATATGCACAAACTTGAACATTGAACTATCATATTTATCATATAAAAAATCAAATGTTACCATTCATTTACAGGACAACATCCACTAAGTGCAACATACTGTCAACATCAACCTACCCCATTAATCCAAACAATCATTGTCCAGATTTCAGCAAAAGCAAACTCCCTCAACTATCATAGTGAAAACTGTTGCCTTAATCTGCAATATTCTATACACTCCAATACAATTCTCTAATTTTTCATAAGCTACAATAAACTGGTCTTCAGAATCACAATGATATACAACTTCCACCCTATCTGGTTCTCCTGAACATATGAAATAACATATGTTATAAACTTAAATGTATAACTGCTAACAAAGGTAACGAAGAA